CTCCTGTGTGTGTGACAGCGCCTGTGTGTGTGTGTGACAGCGCCTGTGTGTGTGTGTGACAGCGCCTGTGTGTGTGGCAGTGCCTGTGTGTGTGACAGCGCCTGTGTGTGTGACAGCGCCTGTGTGTGTGTGTGACAGCACCTGTGTGTGTGTGTGACAGCGCCTGTGTGTGTGACAGCGCCTGTGTGTGTGTGTGACAGCGCCTGTGTGTGTGTGTGACAGCGCCTGTGTGTGTGTGTGACAGCACCTGTGTGTGTGTGTGACAGCGCCTGTGTGTGACAGCGCCTGTGTGTGTGACAGCGCCTGTGTGTGTGACAGCGCCTGTGTGTGTGTGTGACAGCGCCTGTGTGTGTGACAGCGCCTGTGTGTGTGTGACAGCGCCTGTGTGTGTGTGTGACAGCGCCTGTGTGTGTGACAGCGCCTGTGTGTGTGACAGCGCCTGTGTGTGTGTGTGACAGCTCCTGTGTGTGTGACAGCGCCTGTGTGTGTGTGTGACAGCGCCTGTGTGTGTGTGTGACAGCGCCTGTGTGTGTGACAGCGCCTGTGTGTGTGTGACAGCGCCTGTGTGTGTGACAGCGCCTGTGTGTGTGACAGCGCCTGTGTGTGTGACAGCGCCTGTGTGTGTGTGTGACAGCGCCTGTGTGTGTGTGACAGCGCCTGTGTGTGTGACAGCGCATGTGTGTGTCACAGCGCCTGTGTGTGTCACAGCGCCTGTGTGTGTGTGTCACAGCGCCTGTGTGTGTGACAGCGCCTGTGTGTGACAGCGCCTGTGTGTGTGTGTGACAGCGCCTGTGTGTGTGTGTGACAGCGCCTGTGTGTGTGACAGCGCCTGTGTGTGTGACAGCGCCTGTGTGTGTGACAGCGCCTGTGTGTGTGTGTGACAGCGCCTGTGTGTGTGACAGCGCCTGTGTGTGTGTGTCACAGCGCCTGTGTGTGTGACAGCGCCTGTGTGTGTGACAGCGCCTGTGTGTGTGTGTGACAGCGCCTGTGTGTGTGTGTGACAGCGCCTGTGTGTGTGGCAGTGCCTGTGTGTGTGACAGCGCCTGTGTGTGTGACAGCGCCTGTGTGTGTGTGTGACAGCACCTGTGTGTGTGTGTGACAGCGCCTGTGTGTGTGACAGCGCCTGTGTGTGTGTGTGACAGCGCCTGTGTGTGTGTGTGACAGCGCCTGTGTGTGTGTGTGACAGCACCTGTGTGTGTGTGTGACAGCGCCTGTGTGTGACAGCGCCTGTGTGTGTGACAGCGCCTGTGTGTGTGACAGCGCCTGTGTGTGTGTGTGACAGCGCCTGTGTGTGTGACAGCGCCTGTGTGTGTGTGACAGCGCCTGTGTGTGTGTGTGACAGCGCCTGTGTGTGTGACAGCGCCTGTGTGTGTGACAGCGCCTGTGTGTGTGTGTGACAGCTCCTGTGTGTGTGACAGCGCCTGTGTGTGTGTGTGACAGCGCCTGTGTGTGTGTGTGACAGCGCCTGTGTGTGTGTGTGACAGCGCCTGTGTGTGTGACAGCGCCTGTGTGTGTGACAGCTCCTGTGTGTGTGACAGCTCCTGTGTGTGTGACAGCGCCTGTGTGTGTGTGTGACAGCGCCTGTGTGTGTGTGTGACAGCGCCTGTGTGTGTGTGTGACAGCGCCTGTGTGTGTGACAGCGCCTGTGTGTGTGACAGCTCCTGTGTGTGTGACAGCTCCTGTGTGTGTGACAGCGCCTGTGTGTGTGACAGCGCCTGTGTGTGATGACAGCGCCTGTGTGTGTGACAGCGCCTGTGTGTGTGACAGCGCCTGTGTGTGTGTGTGACAGCGCCTGTGTGTGTGTGTGACAGCGCCTGTGTGTGTGACAGCGCCTGTGTGTGTGTGACAACGCCTGTGTGTGTGTGTGACAGCGCCTGTGTGTGTGACAGCGCCTGTGTGTGTGACAGCGCCTGTGTGTGTGACAGCGCCTGTGTGTGTGACAACGCCTGTGTGTGTGTGTGACAGCGCCTGTGTGTGTGACAGCGCCTGTGTGTGTGACAGCGCCTGTGTGTGTGTGTGACAGCGCCTGTGTGTGTGTGTGACAGCGCCTGTGTGTGTGTGACAGCGCCTGTGTGTGTGTGTGACAGCGCCTGTGTGTGTGTGACAGCGCCTGTGTGTGTGTGTGACAGCGCCTGTGTGTGTGACAGCGCCTGTGTGTGTGACAGCGCCTGTGTGTGTGTGTGACAGCGCCTGTGTGTGTGACAGCGCCTGTGTGTGTGACAGCGCCTGTGTGTGACAGCACCTGTGTGTGTGTGTGACAGCGCCTGTGTGTGTGTGACAGCGCCTGTGTGTGTGTGACAGCGCCTGTGTGTGACAGCGCCTGTGTGTGTGTGTGACAGCGCCTGTGTGTGTGTGACAGCGCCTGTGTGTGTGTGTGACAGCGCCTGTGTGTGTGACAGCGCCTGTGTGTGCAACTATCCCTCCTCGTGTGCCAGTGAGCTGCTGTGCTGCTTCCAGACCCAGCCTTGTTCCTTTCCTCTGGCTGGACGGGGACGCTTAGCTGACCCAAGTCCCCCCAGAACCCGGCTCCCCCAGTGGGACTGTGGTCTGGGCCCCGCCCCGCTGCCTCCTCTAGAGCCCCCACCTCCCACACGGAGCCCCAGAGCACAACAGGGCAGCGGGCGCGGCCCGGTGTCGACGACCATCGCCGGGCAGGGCCGTGCCCAGGGATGGGGGGCATTTGTGAGCCCTAACTCCAGGAGGGCCACCGGCTCCACCTGCCGCTGAGCACTGGGCCAAAGGACAGCCGTCCTGGACGCCTTCGGTGAGGACAGCCGTCCTCCCGTCATCACCGCAGTCTCTACTGCAACAGGACTGGAACCAGCCGTGGGGGCAGGAAGCAGGTGGAAGCCTCCGGGCACAGAGTGGAAAGAAGGGGCTGCTGGCGGCCGAGCGGCATGGTGCTTAGCTGAGGCCCGGGAGCCAGGCCGTCCCGTCTGCCGGGCCGCAGGCGACCCACCCCAACTCGGTTCACCTGCCTGTGTGGTTCTGTCCCTGGGAGAGTGTTTCCTTTGTTTTGCTTTGTTTTCTCTGTGTGCTGGTTCTGAGACTTGAACTCGGGGCCTGGGCTCTGTCCTTGTGCTCTTTTGCTCAAGGATGGCGCTCTACACTTTGAGCCACAGCACCACTTCTGCTTTTCAGCCTCCGGAGTAGCTAACAGGCGGGAGCAATGGCTCCCAGCACCTTAGTGGTTTTGCTTTGGAGGACATCTGGATTTTTGTTGGGGGCTGGCCTTGGACCCCACCTTTCCTCGCTCAACACACACTGGATAGCATGCCGAGAACTTTGCACAATCTCCCCCTTGTTCCTAGCCCAAACGTTATTCTCACTGTGCTTAGCACAAGAGTTGCATTCATGGAATCCCCCCCCAAAATAGACACACAGCACCGTGTGCACACATTTCATTATGCTGTATGCTCTCACACATGCATGTAGGGTGTATATGTTGCACACAAGGACCATGTGCCACTGCCAGGAGCTTGTGTATACACACATGCACATACATTTACCTGTGCATTCTTGTGTTTGTGTGTGCACACGTGCATATATACCTACAGTGTTCACACACCTTATGCTCATACGGATGTGTGTGCATGTGTGTGTGAACACCAATGCACACGTGTGTGAATAAATTTGCATGTGTGTGCATGCATGCAGCTGTGCACACATATATCTGTGTGTTTGTGCAGTGTTCGTGCTAAGCCCACAGCAGTCCATGCTGTGTCACAGGTAAGCACTTGGGGCCAGCTGACCTGGGGAGCCGTCCTGGCAGTGTGCCAGAGCCTGGTTCGTCCCTGCACGCCGCTCCCTCGCTCTCCTTCGCAGTCCCTCCCACGACAGGCCCTGGTTTATGGATGGGGACACTGAGGGAGAGGGCACACAAACCGCACAGGTCACACAGCCAGGGAGTGCCAGGGCTGAGCTTCCCACCCAGGCAGCCGGAATGTGTCCACGGCACAGACCACATCCACCGCAAGGACACCGCGTCACAGGCTGGCAACATCATGGGTCCTGAGTGAGCCACGTGAACACCCAGCTTTCCGTGCCCCAACTCCTTCTCTCCTGTCTTTCCTGTCCTCCCCTCTGCCCGCTCCTCTGCCCTGCCAGCCGCGCTCTGGCGGTGGGGTTGGGAGACCCCCTGGCTGCTGGGGCTGGCTGGTATCCCAGTACCCCCTTTCCCCTCCACATGCTGCCTTCACACCCTTCCTGGAGTGGGGGACAGGTCTCTGCTCCCCACCCCAGGCACCTCCACACGCCCCTTTCCCGTGGGACCCCTTTCTCTCTGGCCGCACACCGCAGAGGCCACAGCCCCTTCCCACAGCCCAGGCTCTTGGAGTTTGTGCAAATCCAGCTTTTCCTTCTGTGACATTTGAGGAGCATCTGGGCCCAGAAGGAGAAGCTGGCGGCCTGTGGCCTTCGTCGGACGGGCAGCCCCGGCCTGGGGCGGTGGACCCCGCGGGTCAGAGGTCAAGGCCACTGGGTCATCCACGCGGGGTATCTGACATTTGCAGGTGTGGACCCTCTCTCACGCTACCCAGCAAGGAAGCTGTGTGGAGTGCTGAGAAGCTTCCACAATCCAGCAGGCACGGTCTGAAGGCACTCTCCAGGCCTGGGGTGGTGGGCAGGCGCCTGCGGGAGGTGGGGGTGCTGCGGCAGGGCCGAGGGGCGCCCCAAACCAGCGGCCCACCCCGGCCCAAGGGAGGCTCTGCCTTCTGAGCGGGGGCGGGGCTGGCCCTCGGGGGCGTGGTCTTTCCTGGGGCGGAGCTTCCGGGGGCGTGGTCTGCGGGGGCGTGGCACGGAGGGGCGGGGCCTGGGGAGGAGGCGCGGGCCGGGGAGCGCGCGGCAGGCAGCCGCGAGCGGCCGATCGATCGGGACTCGGGGCCGGCACGCGGGCGGGCGCCGGCGGGGCGCCTTCTCTGCCCGCAGGTCCGGGCCGCGCTGCCCTCGGCCGCCCACCGCGGCCTGTCCCGGGCCGGAGCGCGGTGGAGGGGTCTCCCGAGGAGCCGGGGCCCCGCGCCCCGCGCCCCGCAGACATGGTGGGCCACCTCCATCTGCAGGACACGGAGGACGGCCCGAAGGCGCAGGGCCGCGAGGGCTTGCTGGACAGCCCCGACTCCGGGCTGCCGCCCAGCCCCAGCCCCAGCCCGCCCTTCTACGCCCTGGCGCCCCGCGCCCTGGACGCCGGCGCGGAGGGCCCCGGCGCCCCCTCGGACGCCCCCGGGGCCGGCGAGGCCCGAGCGGTAAGGGCGCGGACGCGGGGTCCCCGCGGCGCCCGCGCGGGCCGCGGCCCCTCCCGGGCTCTCCAGGCCGGTCGGCTCCCGCGGGGCTCCGCGGCCGTCGGGGGCGGGCGGGGCGGGCTCTACCCCGGGCCGGCGGGCGGGGCGGGAGGGCCGGCCCGGCGGGCTCCAGCCCCGGTCCGTGGTCGCTGCGCCCGGTGCCCGCGCCGTCCCCGCCTCCGCCCGAGCGCGGGCCCCGCGGGGCTCCGGACGCAGCGCAGACCGAGAGCCTCGGAGGGCGCCGGGGGTGTCGACGTGGACGCCGGCGGGCGCGGGGAGCCGTGGCGGGGCCCCGGGCCCGCGGAGACGGCGGCCTGCGCCCCCGCCTCCCTGCGGGGCGGGCTCCGCTCGGGCGCAGCCCCTCCGCGAGCTCCCCGCGCCCGCTGCGCTGGGGCCCGGATCGGAACCGGCTCTTACCCGGAAGCCGTGACCTTGAACCTGGGCACGGGACCCCGGGCCAGCGGGAGGGAGGCAGCCGGTGGACGAGGGGGCCACAGGCCGCGGCGTGGAGCCCGCCGGGCCTCTGGCGCCCGGAAGCGCCTTTCCCGGGCCCCGCACGAGGCCGGGCCGCAGCCTCGCTCACGGATCTGGGCCCCGGGTTTCTTTCCCCCGGTGTCGCACGGGTTCGGCCCGCATGAACCGCCCTGCATCCCGCAGAGGCGCAGCCACGCTGGTCCCGCCACGAGGGCCGGCTCAGGCGCGCTCTCCAACCTGACCCCGATGCTGTTACTGTCTTCTGTGCGGCTCAGTAATAACTTCTTGGGGGGTCCTGCGCCGGGGCTGACCTCAGGTGTGTGTGTGTGGGGGGCCCTGCACAGAGGCTGACCTCAGGTGTGTGTGTGGGGGAGGGGGGCCCTGCGCCGGGGCTGACCTCAGGTGTGGGGGGGCCCTGCACCGGGGCTGACCTCAGGTGTGGGGGGGCCCTGCGCCGGGGCTGACCTCAGGTGTGGGGGGTCCTGCACCGGGGCTGACCTCAGGTGTGGGGGGGGCCCTGAACCGGGGCTGACCTCAGGTGTGTGTGGGGGGGGCCCTGCGCCGGGGCTGACCTCAGGTGTGGGGGGGCCCTGCACCGGGGCTGACCTCAGGTGTGTGTGTGGGGGGGCCCTGCGCCGGGGCTGACCTCAGGTGTGTGTGTGGGGGGCCCTGCACAGAGGCTGACCTCAGGTGTGTGTGGGGGGGGGTCCTGCACCGGGGCTGACCTCAGGTGTGGGGGGGCCCTGCACCAGGGCTGACCTCAGGTGTGGGGGGGCCCTGCGCCGGGGCTGACCTCAGGTGTGGGGGGGGCCCTGCGCCGGGGCTGACCTCAGGTTTGTGTGTGTGGGGGGCCCTGCACAGAGGCTGACCTCAGGTGTGTGTGGGGGGGGGTCCTGCACCGGGGCTGACCTCAGGTGTGGGGGGGCCCTGCACCAGGGCTGACCTCAGGTGTGGGGGGGCCCTGCGCCGGGGCTGACCTCAGGTGTGGGGGGGGCCCTGCGCCGGGGCTGACCTCAGGTGTGTGTGTGGGGGGCCCTGCACAGAGGCTGACCTCAGGTGTGTGTGGGGGGGGGTCCTGCACCGGGGCTGACCTCAGGTGTGGGGGGGCCCTGCACCAGGGCTGACCTCAGGTGTGGGGGGGCCCTGCGCCGGGGCTGACCTCAGGTGTGGGGGGGGCCCTGCGCCGGGGCTGACCTCAGGTGTGTGTGTGGGGGAGGGGGGCCCTGCGCCCGGGCTGACCTCAGGTGTGGGGGGGCCCTGCACCGGGGCTGACCTCAGGTGTGTGTGGGGGGGCCCTGCACAGAGGCTGACCTCAGGTGTGTGTGTGGGGGGGCCCTGCGCCGGGGCTGACCTCAGGTGTGTGTGTGGGGGGGGCCCTGCGCCGGGGCTGACCTCAGGTGTGTGTGTGGGGGGGGGGCCCTGCGCCGGGGCTGACCTCAGGTGTGGGGGGGCCCTGCACCGGGGCTGACCTCAGGTGTGTGTGGGGGGGCCCTGCACCGGGGCTGACCTCAGGTGTGGGGGGGGCCCTGCGCCGGGGCTGACCTCAGGGCCCAGGCGCTGACTCTCAGCTTCCTGCAGAATGAAGGCTGTCACCACCACGTGAGCCAGGGCTCCACTTCCAGGCCCTGTGTTTGTTGGAGATGAGTCCTGCGACCCTCCCATCCGTCTGGGGTTGCAGGTGCACACCCCCGTGCACGGCTGCTCTCGGCGCTGAGGTGTGGTGCGGGTCTCCCCGCCTGCCTAGCGGATGGGGTGTGTGGCAGGTACTGGCCCCGGACCCTCTAGCGGGTGAGGGACCAGCCAGGCCTGTTCCGCTGCCCTCAGGTCCGCGTGTGGCCTGGGCCGCGCCGGAAGGCCTGTGGGTGTCCAGGTGCCGCCCCACGGGGGTGCGCACCGGAGAGACGGGCCGCTCGGGACCCTTCCCCTTCCCAGCTCTCGGGAGAGCCGGCCCCACTGAGGGCTCCCCGGAGGCACCGGCCCGCGGCGCCCCGCGGAGGGGGGAGGGCTCAGCCGGGACGCCCGCGTCCTCGCCTCCAGTTCTCATCTAGGACGGCGAAAGCAGGCACGAGCAAAAAGCAGAGGCAGGCAGGCAGGACAGACGGACGAACGACGGACAGACAGCTAGGTGGAGGGCAGAGGGTACGTGACTGGACGGTGGAAGCGCCAAGAACTCCGGCACCTGTGGCTTCCCGGCGCCCGGGCCCGGCCGGCTGCGGGGCCCAGGCAGAGGGAGGCGGGGAGGGCGTCGGACGGGGCGGCTGCGGGGCCCAGGCAGAGGGAGGCGGGGAGGGCGACGGGCGGGGCGGCTGCGGGGCCCAGGCAGAGGGAGGCGCGAGGGACCGACTGGGCGGGCCGGGAGTCTGCAGAGGAAGGCGGGGAGGGGCCCGGGGGGCCCCCAGTGTCCCCGTGGACGGGCCTGGCTCACGGTGCGGCCGTCACAGCCACGTGCCACCCACGGGGCACCTGCGTGGAGCGAAGGCCCAGCGTGGCAGCGCGTGGGGCCGAGGCGCGGCCTGGCCGGCGCGTCCCTGCTGGCCTCCCGGCCTCGGGCCAGCCATGCCCTCTCAGCCTCTGTAGCCTCGGGCAGGCCGCGCACACGCGTGGGTGTGAGGGCTCAGCCCTAGACCCCTGGAGTCCGCTGCCCGCGGCCCAGGGCCTCTGCACGGAGGACAGGCCCCCCCACCGGGGTAGGTCCAGATCCTTCACTCATCCCCCCGCGAGCTCGGGCTGCGTGGGCCCCATCGCCCCACACAGGGTGGGGCCCCCCTACCGCCCAGCTCTCCCCGGGAGCCGCGTGGCAGCCCGGCCTCTCGTTCCTCCTCTGCGCAGCTCCCGGACAAGCGCCGGGGCCTGCAGCCTCTGGACTCGGTTCTCCGAGCCTGCCTGGCCCCCGCCCGCTCCGGAGCCCAGGCCGGCTGGGGGGATCCTGGCGGGGGGGTCGGTGTGTCCAGAGCTGCCAGCGCCCACCACCTGCGCCTGCTGGTGCCTCTCTGCGCCCCGCGGTGCCCAGCCCTGGCGCGCAGGCCTCCGCCGCGCACCGAGGCTACGGACGAGCGGAGGCGCGTGGCGGTGGGCAGGGCACCGAGGGCCGCCACAGCTCTGCGCCCCGGGGGAGGCCCAGCCCGTCTGCGGCCTTGTGCGCGCGCGGACGGTGGGGCAGGGGCCGTGGCAGCGGGCCCCTGGGCAGTGTCCGGTAGAGGGCATCTTGCAGGGGCCAGCCGGGCCTTGGCTGAGGGGCGTTGCCCCAGCCGCAGGCTGCAGAGCCGCGGGAACTCAGGGGTGAAGCAGAGGGTGGCCGGTGGCCTCACCCCCTCCTCGGGTCTGATTCTGGGTCCCGGAGCTTCGTAGATCTCGGTGGCGCCCCCGTGTGGACGGCGGGGTGTTTGCGGCGGGGCCGTCCCGGTGGCGCCCCCGTGTGGACGGCGGGGTGTTTGCGGCGGGGCCGTCCCGGTGGCGCCCCCGTGTGGACGGCGGGGTGTTTGCGGCGGGGCCGTCCCGGTGGCGCCCCCGTGTGGACGGCGGGGTGTTTGCGGCGGGGCCGTCTCGGTGGCGCCCCCGTGTGGACAGCGCGGTGCGTGCGGAGCGGGGCTCCGACTCCGGCTCCACTGGCTGGGAATTGAGCCTCGTTTGCTGCCCGCTGCCAGACGAGCACATCCGGCAGGCCGGGTGCTGGAGGTCAGCCCAGGCCCGGACGCCCCTGATCGGGGCGGGGCGTGTGTTCCTGAGCTTCCCGGGCCCCCGGAGCCCCGGCGGGAGGAGCGGTGGCGGGACGCTGGCCCGGGCCCGCAGCGGGGTGGGGCGAGGTCCTGGTCCTCCGGTCCCCCGCCCTGCCCGCCCTCCTCGCGGGTCCGTGCGGGGCGGAGGGGCCGGGCCAGGGTGCGGGCCGCTCCGCCCCCTTCCTGGGACCCGTGGGCACGGCGCCCGCGCGGGGCCGTGGCCGACCGTGGCTCTCTCCGCAGCCGGCCGCCCTGCGCCCGAGCCCCGCGCCTGGGACGAGGCCGCGGCTGCAGCCCGTGTTCTTCGGGGAGAGCATCCGGGTGGACCCCGAGCCCGCCCGCGAGATCCGGTGAGTGGGGCGGGCCCCGCGGGCCTTCTGGGGGCCCTGGAGAGAACCTCGGCCCGCGCGGGGGGCGGGGGGCGGACGCGGCCCGGTCTGCCCACCCCGGCCGGGCGCTCTCCGCTCGGGGCCGCGGCCCCGCTCCGGCCTTTCCGCCGGCTCCGCGGGGCGAGCCTTCGGCCAGGCGCGGTGCGCCGACCCGACCTCCTGACCCGACCCCTCCCCGCAGCTGCAACTCCGAGGTCACCTACGCCTCCGAGCGGCGCTTCCGGGACAAGGTGTTCTACGCGCCGGTGCCCACGGTCACGGCCTACAGCGAGACCATCGTGGCGGCGCCCGGCTGCTCGTGGCGCCGCTACCGCAGCCAGCTGACCCTGGAGCCGCGGCCGCGCGCGCTGCGCTTCGGCTGCACCACCGTCATCTTCCCCAAGCGCGCGCGCCGCTCCTTCCGCACCACGCTGCGCTGCGGCCTGGGCCGTGCGCGCCGCTGCTTCGCCGCCAGCCTGCGGCTGCAGCCCGGGGACGCGGGGGACGCCGCGCCCTGACGCCCCGGCCCGGCCCGGAGGCTCCCCGCAGGGCCCGCGCGCCCCGGGGCCGCCCCACCCCACCCCGCCCCGCGTCCGGCCAGGCCTGCGGCCGCGCAGAGCCCCGGTGACCCCAATAAAACGCGCGACCCACGGGCTGGAAGGTGTCGGACTCTGCCTCCGGGCTGGCGGGCGGCTGGCGGTGACCTGTGCGTCGGGGAGGGGGCCCGGCCCCCCTCGGTGCCCCCGCACCCGCACCGAGGCCTCACGCTGCGGGGCAGCGCGGCCCAGCCCGCCCGGGCGCTGGCTCCACCCCCCGGGGCAGAGCGCCCGCCTTGAGCAGCAGCAGCTCAGGGGCAGCGCCCGGGCCGAGTTCAAGACCCAGGACTGGCAAAAACAAAATATCCCAGGTCCCCGTGGGCACAGGCGACCCGGCAGCCCGAGGCCCAGCCCCCGGGCCCTGCCCTTGCTCCTGACACCAGCTGAGGGCCTGGCCTGGGCCCCAGTGGGGCACAGCAGGGACGGGAGGCCCCTCCTACACCAGCGTCCCCACCCACTGTGCCGATGGGAAACTGAGGCAGCGGGCATCAGGCTTGGCTCCACAGCCCGCCCCCAGCCTGGCCCGGACCCCAGCTCAGACCCCTGGCCCCGTCTGGAGGCCCCGCTGCTCCCCGCCGGTGCAGGGCTCACGGCAAGCAACTGCCAAGCGCAGTGCCAGGCTCCAGACGAGCCTCCGGCGGCACCCGACACGCTGCTGACCCAAAGCCATGCTGACCGCGGCCAGTGACCTCTCGGCAGGGCAGCCAGGTGCAGGTCTCAGGCCAGCCGGAGAGGAGAGGCAGGGCTGGAGGGCGGCACTTGGCAGCACAGACTGTGCCGGGAGGCGGGGGGGGGGGGGGGGGGGGGGGGGGGGGGGCGGGGGGGGGGCCAGGAGCGTCCACGTTTGTAAATGGGGGAAACAAGGCCAAATGGGTCTGAAAGGCCGCGTGGGAGATGCCTCTGCAGACAGGTGAGTGGAGAACTTGAGAACCCCCAGCAGCAGAGGCTTCCCCGCGTGCTGGCCCCACATCCCCCTGCTGGACACCCTGCAGCCGGCCCAGCCCTGACCCCGACAGGAGCCCAGGGCCCAGGGAGCTGCAGCCCTCCTCTCCCGCACCCAGGCCTCTGCAGAACCAGGAAGGGCTGGGCAGGATGCACAACTTGGAGCCCCAGCTGAGTGAGCAGCTCTCCCTTGCCAGCCCCGCGGCCCCAGGGCATTAAGCCTAAGCAGACAGGCAGGCAGGCCAGCACTGGCTGGGGACCGGGCAGCACCAGCCTGCATGTGGCCCCGCATCCGGCAGAGCCCCTGGCAGCTGAGGCCACCACCACCACCCGACGCTGCTCACCGGGAGAGCAGCCAGAAGAGAGCAGCCTCTGGGGCTCGAGTATGATTCCGTTTTTAATCAGAACAATGTGTGTGAATGACAAGACCCCACCACGCTGCCGATGGCGGCCACAGATCACGCATGAATTCATCCCACCCAGGGAAGGAGGGAGGACGTGGGGTCCCTGGCCTCCGCCCGGGGCCGTGGGGCCGCCTCCGGAGGGCAAGCAGAGGTGGGAAAGCACAGCAGTGATACTGGGGAAATCCTTCCTCGTGGAAAACATCTGAACTCATTCACTGAAGGTATCAAAAATACACCCTGTAAACCAATGTGTCGTTTACACCGCCTCCCTCCCGTGCCGCACCGCACAGCTCCTCGGCTCCTGCGGGCCCGGGCTGCACCCAGCCTGCTGCACTCGGGCCTGGTCGGCCTGGGCCGCCTGTGGGGTCTGTGGACAAGAGCACTGGGGGACAGGGCCTGTGTCGCCGGTCCAGCGGGAAGCGGGTGGGGCAGCGCGAGGGGGCAGGGCCGCTAGCTCGGTATAGACTTTGGTTCCAGATCGAGGGGAGGGCGGGCGGTGGCATGGAGGTGCGTGGTCGTCCTGGCTTGGGTCCCTGGCCTGCCGCCTCCCCGCCTCCCCTCCCTCCCGTCCCGAGCACCAGGCAAACGTCTCCTGAGTAAGGTCACTGCGCAGGGCCAGCCCGGGGCGGGGCTTGGTTAAGGCTTAAGACAGGCAGGAGCCGCGGTGGACGGATGGCGGGCGGTGGACGGATGCGCAGGCCGGCTCCGGGCTGCTCCAAGGCACGCGCCGGCCCCACGCCACTTGCGCTGCACGGAAGTCACTGGAAGTCACTCGCTGTCGGACAGCGTCTCGTACTGAGAGCACAGCAGAGGCCGGGGCTCCCCGTCCCAGGCGCGCTGGGGGCCGGCGGGGAGGCCCGGTGGGGGCGGGGAGCCCATGACTCCGGCCTGCAGCCGCACGGTCAGGGGGTTGTAGGGGAAGGGCGTGGAACCTGCGGGACACAGACAAGAGACAAGGCCTAGCTTCATCTCAGGCCCCAGCACGCCTCCCCCCCATCCACCACTTCTGCCCCGCCCCTGTCCCCTCCCTCTCCCTGCAGCCTGCGGCCCGCCCACGAGGCCCAGGCTGGGGCGGGCCGAGGGCCCACCTGTGGACGAGGGCCGGTCCTCCCACACGCGCGTGGTGAGCGGCGTGCGGCGGTTGCAGTCGCCCTCGGAGTGCACGGAGGAGACGGAGGGCGGCCGCTCTCCCGATGCCGCGCCGGGGGCCGGGGACTTAGCCTTGCGGCTGCCGGGTCTGCCAGGGGCTTTGACCTTCCCGCCACCACCTGCAGGGGGAGGGGGAGGCAGCATTGGTGGCTGCAGAGGGGCGCGGCCAGGGACTGGGTGGGGGGGCATCTGCGCCCGGGGCCTGCAGGGGCTGAGAACCCGATGACACCCCAGCCCAGGCCGACCAGACAGCCAGAGCCCCGGTGCAGCTTGGAGCTGGGCTGCGCCCCACCCCAGCCCCCTAGGACCAGAACCTGCTTCACCCAGGATGGCACTGGGGCTGCCACAGACAGAACTTCTGTGGGACTCTGGGTCCAGATGGACCACTGGGCCCAGGCATCCTCTGCTCGGCTCCTGCCCGTGAGAGGGGCGGATGGGGCCTGGGTGACGGGGGGGCTGGCCCTCTGGTTCTGGAGGTCACACAGACCCCGGCCTCCTCCTATCAGCCCCAGTCCAGCCTTAGCATGCAAGGCAGGCCTGGGGGGGCTGCCTCTGCCCAGTGGGTGGCCCCCCTAGCCCAGCCCTGGGGATCATGGCTGGGGCCTAGCAGGGGAGGGGCGGGCAGGGTGCCGGTATCCGGGAGCGGCAGCGCGGGGGGGGGGGGGGGGGGGGAGGGTGCCCAGCTTCTGATTAGCAAACTCACGACAGGAAACGAGCACAAAAATCAAGTCACAAGCTCCAAAGCCGGAGGGTGAGGCGCGCAGGGAGGGAGGTTAATGACACGGCGCGGACAGACGGGCGGACGGGGAGAGGCCTGCAGACCTGGCGAGGTGAGCGTGGGGTCGCTCCGTCCGTCAGCAGCGGTTACAGGCAGAGCGGCAGCGGGCAGGCTGGCACTGGCATTGAGAGGGTTAAAAGCACCGGTGCCCAGCGGCGGAGGCTCCTCCCACTGCTCGTATTTACCCATGAGCGCCTTTCTAATAATGGCCTCCAGCCCCATGCTGGTGCCCGCATGCTCCTGCACCGCCTGGCTTCTACAGGTCATAAGGCCTGGGAGAGAGACAGACAGACGACACACAGGGGCGGGAGCCAGAGGGGGCGGGGAGGGGGGGAGAGAGAAATACACAGTGAGCACATTTCAGCAAAGCAACACGGTTCTGCGTCCTTCCCTCCCGAAGGGGTGACGGGGCTCCTAACGCGGTGCCCCTGCGCTTGGGCCCCACCACCTCTGTGCGCACCGGGAGGTCAGAAGCCCCAGTGTTCAGTCCTGGCCGGAGGCCGGTTTTTAAGCACCCTTAAATAAAGCGGCAGGCCGGATGGGAAGCAGCCCGTTTGGAGTCGGGCTCCGGGGTACACAGGTGGAGCTGGAGCCTGCGGGCCAGGGGGTGTGTGTGGGGGGACCGCAGCCCGGCCCTAGGCCGGGAGCCAGAGAGAGAGGTGCGGAGGTGCGGGGTGGGGACGCAGCCATGCAGTTATGTGCAGCTGGGGGCAGGGCAGGCTAGACAGGACAACCACGCTTTGGACCCCCCATGCGGCCTGGGCCGCCTCTGCTCTGCGGGGCTCCTTTCCCTTGCTTTCGCTCACAGCTGGTCTGGGGGACTTTTGCAAAGCTGGGTCTCTTTAGCCAGAACGCTTTCAAATCCAGGCCCCTGGGGTTTGAAGGGCTGGAGGCCCCTGCTGGCTGCAGCCCTGGAGGGTCTGGAGGCCACGCGGGGGATGCTCCGGCCATCCTGTCTGTGATCTGGGCCTGGGCTGACCAGCTGGTATGGCAGCTGGGGTGAAGCTCTGGGCCCTGCGCCGGGCCCTGGGGTGAAGTCTGGGCCCTGCGCCGGCCCCTGGGGTGAAGCTCTGGGCCCTGCGCCGGCCCCTGGGGTGAAGTCTGGGCCCTGCGGTTGGGGGTGCAGTCTCTGAGCCCTGCGCCGGCCCCTGGGGTGAAGTCTGGGCCCTGCGCCGGCCCCTGGGGTGAAGTCTGGCCCTGCCCTCTGCCTGCCTCCGGCTCTACTTCTCTTCCCCAGGTCCCCTCACAACGGCATCTTGCGTGGTGTGTGGGCCAGTCCAGCTGTATTTCAAAAACAGCTGTGCTGTGGGCATCAGGCAAGCACACAATGGCAACAGCGGGAGCACCCCAAAATACAAAGATCCCCAAGAGCAGCCCATGGCTGCAGCCAGTGCCAGGGCCCTAGCACTCAGGGAGCGCTGTGACCTGTCCTCAAGGGTTATGACCCATGACCCTACGGCACTGGGTCTGGGTCTCACCATGCCTGCCTCCCATCTTCACTGTGCCACCATAATTTTCTTTTTTGCCATGGGGCCTGAGCTCTGGGCGTGGGCGCTGTCCCTCAGCTCTTCAGCTCAAGGCGAGCGCTCACCACTTCAGCTACAGCACCACTTTTGGCTTTTTCTGCTTATGTGGTGCTGAGGAATTGAACCCAGGGCCTCGTGCAGGCGAGGCAAGCGCTCTTCCACTGAGCCACCTGCCCAGCCCCTCCCATGGTTTTCTATAAACAGGTACACCTGGTGTGGAGCACCTGCATCAAGATTTGGAACATTCCAGGAGCGTCCTCCTGCGGGAAGCTCTCTCAGGCGCCCCCCATCAGCCCTGCCAGTGCCCGCAAGGCTCAGGGCTGGACTCGCGGCCTTCCATCGGAGGGCGGGCCGCAAAGGCCCACCCCTATCACCCCGCAGCCCTCCAGCCCCCAAACACCACATCTTTCCTGCTTCTGCTTAAGAAATAGTGATTTGCACTCAGCTTTCTCACACCTGTGCATGTGATTCTGTAGAAAACAGATCAACTGGCTGCAGTTTTCAGGGAAGCTGTCCTGACCCTGACCTCAAACAGGGGGCTGCCCTGACTTGGCCTCCAGATGCCTGGCATGAGCAGGCGCTCGCCGCAGACAAGCCCCTGGGGCTGCCACCTGGACAGGAACCCCGCGTCCCACAGAGGCAGGCTGGCTGGGGGACGGTACCTGCTCCGGTGATGGCAGGCATGTTGAAGATCTCTGTCCCAGGCTGGCCAATATCTGGAGGTGGGGAACAAGTGGGTGAGGCCTATGGCCCGAAGATCCCAGGATACAGCCTCACCTACCCTGTGTGGTCCTGGCCAGTACAGGGCATGACCTGGGTGGTCCAGCTCCTTCCAGAGGGTCTACAAGGCAGGGTGGAGCGAGAGCCTGAGCCTCACCCACAGGACGAGCGGCCATGCTTGCAGGGCCAGGTTCTGGAGCTCCTGGCTGAGCAGGGCCTTGGACAATGTTCTACACCAGCCCTGGTCAGCTGCGGGCTGCCCTGCAGGAGCCTCTGGGGAAGGGCGTGTGTGTGTGCACCGGCCATCTTGGCCGGCGGCATGCTGTGCTGGCCCGCCCACCCCACAAGAGTCACAAGAACCCACAGGAGGCTGGTGGATGGGTGGAGGTAGCACCAGATCCTGGAGTCAAGGAAGGGTGGTGGGCAGCTGTGGGCGGGGCCTGGCTCCCCCTCCCCCCGTGGGCAGCTCTGGGTGGGGCCTGGCTCCCCCCCCCACCGTGGGCAGCTGTGGGCAGGGCCTGGCTCCCCCCCCCCCCCCCCCCCCGGCTCTCACTGTACTCCGGCTCGTTCCGGTTGTGGGTGTGCAGCTTCTTGTTGATCTCTTGCTTCTTGGACTTGACCATGGCTGAGTTGCTCTCGGTCAGCTTGCTGAAGAAGGCGGGCGGCTGGCTGGTGCCCGTCCTGCTGGGGGCGTGAGACCCCAGAGCGCTGAGTGGATGCGCTACTGGACGGCGTCCACCACCCGCTACCCAGGGACGGGAGCTGACCCACCCCGGCCGAGCCCGAGGTACCTGGGCTCCCCCTGCTCCCCGTCCCGGTACAGCAGTGGGTAAATGGCGCTCCGGGGGTGCCCTGACTCAGCCACGCCCTCTGGCGGGGACACAGGCTCGATGCCATCCTCGCCACCACCGAGGACCAACGTCTTGCTTGGCTCTGGAGACCTGGGTGGGAGAGGCAGGCTGCGCTCAGAGCCCGCTGCCGCCCTGCCTTTCGCAGATCAGCTCTCAGGACTGGGCCAGGCACCCGCCCAGCCAGTGCAAGGCCCCACGTGCAGCCCCTAAAACCATAGAACCTCAATCCCTAGCCTGCCGCAGACCCCTGGCCCCGGCACCGCACCTGCACCTGCCCAGGCCCTGACCACAGGCCCACGGGGGCAGGTCAGAGCGTCAGTGTGTGCTGCGTGCACGTGGGGTGCCCTCCAGCCTCCCCTCCCTGCCAGGCCCTCCTCCAGCCTCCACCTCCTCCTGTGGTGCCCACCAGCCTCCCCTCCTCCAGCCTCCACTTCCTCCAGCCTCCCCTCCCTGCCAGGTCCTCCTCCGGCCTGCACCTCCTCCGGCCTCCACCTCCTCCTGTGCCTGCACCTCCTCCTGTGGTGCCCTCCAGCCTCCCCTCCTCTGGCCTCCACCTCCTCCGGCCTCCCTCCACCTGCTGGCGGGTGGGTCTTGGCAGGCTCTCACCTCTTACCCCCCTCACTGTGTGGGGAGCCGCGGGCTGGGGTGCTGTGCTCAGGGGGTGGGAGGTAGAGGTCGCTGGGCGGGCGGCGAAGGTCCAGCACGGGGCAGCTGGCTCCGGGGAAGGAGTAGAGGGGGGCAGGGAGAGGGGTGCCGAGCTGCTGGGGGTGATGACGAGTGTAGTCCTGTGTGATCACCTCCTGTGGGTCAAGGGGGCTGGTCAGGGAGGGGGGAGAACCGTCCTTCCCCACCCACAGGCAAGGGCACGGGGGGGGGGGGGAGGGTGGAAGAGGGGCGTCTGCCCTGTGCCCGCAGGGCAGACCTACTGGGAGCCGCCCTCCCGGGCACCCAGGGAAGAAGGGTAGTTACACTGATGTGCTGGGCCAGGGTGACCACCCGCTGGTGACCTTTGACCCCTGGGGTGGCCTGGAGCAGCGGGCTGGAGGATGCGTGGCTCTCGGGCAGTGGCCGCAGGTGGGGCAGGTGGAGGGCCTCCCCGCTGAGCTTCCCAGGAACTGCGGACAGGGCCGGCTGTCAGGGCTCCGCACCATCTCTTCTGGACCTCAGTGCACCACCTCCCTACAGGCCCGCCCCCCCCCCCCCCCGGCTGCCGGTGCCGCAGCGCCTGCCCACGCAGTGTGCCCTCCCCCTGACTGCCTGTGCCGCAGCGCCTGCCCACGCAGTGTGGGCCCCCCGACTGCCGGTGCCGCAGCGCCTGCCCACGCAGCGTGCCCTCCCCCCGACTGCCTGTGCCGCAGCGCCTGCCCACGCAGTGTGGGCCCCCCGACTGCCGGTGCCGCAGCGCCTGCCCACGCAGCGTGCCCTCCCCCCGACTGCCTGTGCCGCAGCGCCTGCCCACGCAGCGTGGCCCTCCCCCCGACTGCCTGTGCTGCAGCGCCTGCCCACGCAGCGTGGCCCTCCCCCCGACTGCCGGTGCCGCAGCGCCTGCCCACGCAGCGTGGGCCTCCCCCCGACTGCCTGTGCCGCAGCGCCTGCCCACGCAGCGTGGCCGGCCCCACCTGGCTGCCTGTGCCGCAGCTCCCCCTCCAAGTGGCCCCTGTCAAGCTCCTCTGGGTGTCGGGGCACCCCCTTGTCGTGGGTCAGGCTTGGGGAGCTCACGGGGCTGGCCGGCTCCACTCCGTCGGGGCTGTAGCTGCCACCGTGGTAACCTGGACAGGCAGGCTGGGGTCAGGGGCGGCTGGGTCCAAAAGGCAGGGACACCGTCCCGCCCCGCCCACCGCTGGCTGTGCCCTGGGATGGGGGGGCCCTGTACTGGACACCCCAGGGACAGTGAACAAGAGGGTGAGAGAGAATGGGGCGGGGGAGGGGAGGGAGAAAGGAGAGGAAAGCAGGCTTGAAGCGGGGGAGGCAGAGGGCCGAGAGGGAGGGCACCACGCAGACTGGCACACAGATGGGTGGAGACAGACTTCCGGTGCCAGCCCCAGCGTGTGAGGCAGGGCGCACAGGGTGTCAGCAAGGAGGGGGACTGGGGTCCCGTGTCCTCCCGTCCGGCTGGCACAGCGGAGCCGGCAGTGGGTGTGGACGTGCCCCTCTCTGCGGGACCGGCAGCTGGAAGCAGAGGCCGGGCCCCTGGCCTCCTTGCCGGTGTGGGGCCCCGCCCTCCCCGGGCAGCAGGGTGCCCCTGCTCACACCCCACCCGCTCCCCAAACCAAGGCACGCGGGGAGTGATGGGAGGCGTGGTCGGAGTCCGAATCACAGATCCATTCATTAAAGGAAAAAAAGCGAAAATTCAAAAACAAAACGATAGAACAATGAGCAGGTGATGAGCCTGGTCGCTTGCAAATCGACGAAGACGGATTCAAAACAAAATACCAACAACAAAAACTAAAAGGAAAAAATGGGGAAAAATAAAAAGCAAGGATCTGAAAAGATCGTTAGGCCTCCGCCGGGCGGGCGGCGCCGGGAGTCTTACCATCCAGAGGGGGGTCCTCAGCCAGCGAACCTCCGTCGCGCGGCCCCTTATCGTGGGCAATTTGACGCGTGATTATAGCGTCTATGAAGGTGGCCGCTGTCAGGGTGGTCTTACCCAGAGAACGGAGCTCCAGTTCCTGGATGGAAAAGGGTTTACTTTGAATCTTTTCCCGGTGGGTCTCTGCGGCCGAGGCGGGCGCTGGAGGGTCCGGGCTGGCGTGGTGGGCTGCAAGGCTCTTCGCTGGGGTGCGGGTGATGGCTAGGGGCCGGGGCTCGGAGCTCTTGGGGGAGGCGGCGGGCTCCCGGGCGGGGGGCTTGGGGAGGAAGGCGTGGCCAGTGTCTGCACGTGGCCGCTCCGGCCGCGCCACCCGAGGGGCATCCTTGGATATCAAGACGGGCTCCATGAGGGTGGGGTAGACCCCGTCCAGGGCGCTCCCCAGAGGGCAGTGGGTAGCAGGGGGGAAGGTGGCGGCCGGGCGCACAGGCGAGGAGGTGGAGGTGGACCTGGGAGAAGAGAACCGTGTCAGCCGGCCCTTTCCCGCAGCCCCACCTGCAGCCTGCGCTCCCCGTGCCCCGGCGCAGGCCTGCGGTGGCCCCAGCCGGTGAGGCCCTGGCCGCTCTGCATGGCTCACTGGGCGGCGGTCCCTCCTGCTTCACTCAGCGCAAGCGATCCACTTTCCTGTGACGCCACGGGGCGCCAGGCGCCGTTCCAGCCGTGGGAACAGAGCGCTGAGTAGGGTGGGCCAGGGGACGCCCAGCCTGTCCCTGCGAGGTGCAGCTCGAGGGGGAAGGGACCTCTCGGGATACGGGCAGAGCCAGCTCCACCTCTGTGGCCCCCCGCCCCGCCATGCTGACTCACCAGCTCCCGCGCCCACTCATCCATGCCCACCTGTCACCCAGCCACCTGCCTCTCGCACCCACGGTCTATCCCTCCTCTCCCCCTCCATTCTTGTCCATCTGTCCACCCTCCCTCCCGCCTGAACCATCCCCCACCCACCCCTGGGCTGCTCTCCCCTGTCTCTGCCGCCCCTCCCGCCGCGCCGGCCGCCGTGCACCCACCTGCCTACTCACCTGCCCGCCGTGCCCTCCCGGCCCTCCCCGCCCGTGCGGCCTCGTGCCAACCTGGCCCACCTCAGGACCGTGGGCGTGCTGGGCTCCACGGACGCGATGATGCCCTTCATGCTGGTGTTGTGCAGCACGCTGGGCCTCTGCTGCAGGGCGTCCTGGGTCCGTGGGGAGATGGGTGAGTGCTGGTGGGCATGGGTGGCGGGCCGGCCGCTGCCGCCGCTCTGCTCAGTACCTGACGACAGGAAGGGGAGTCAGTGGAGGCCGGGGTGCGGGCGCCGTGGACCAGGCCGGGGGGGGGGGAGCCTCCGCTGCCCACCGGGCCTCCAGATGGGTGCGTGCTCCACCGTTGTGCTGGACGTGAGGATGGACTTCTCCCGCTCCCGCTCCGCCGAGGCCGTGGACTTGCTCAGGTGGGTGGGGCCTCCTGGGAAAGGCAAAGCAGAGACTCAGCCCTGGGTCTGGGGTAGGGATCTCGCCTGCGGTGGGGTGGGGGGGGGGGGGGTGAGTGGGCGTGGTACCCGGGGAGAGCGGGGAGCTGCTGTGGCGGCTGCTGAAGGGCTGCGGTGCTGTGGGGAGGTAGGCGAGGCGGTCGATGGTGGCGGTGGGGGTGCCTGCGGGTGGCACCAGCACGGGCAGGTGTGGCACTTGGGACAGGTCGATGATGCCTGTGGGGAGTCAGAAGCGGCTGGAACCAGTGTTCCCTTTCTGCCAGTGCTCCTCCCTGAGCTCTGCTCCCTGCCCCCCCCCCACGGCTTTCGGGGTGCTTCCTGTGGCTGGCACCCCACGCTGCCAGACAGGTCCCGCGTCCCAGCAACGCTGTGACTTCAGTTGCTTTGGACCCTGGCCAGCACCCGGCTACTCCTCCGCTCTCCGGATGGCGCTCTGCCAGGCTGTCTGAGCGCTGAGCACGCGCGCCGCCCTGCCTTCAGCCACCCACCTCGCGGACCCGTGGCGTAGTTGAGGGCCAGCGAGGACTCGCGGGGTGACAGCCCACGCAGCGCGTCGGCCCGCTGGGCCATGGCGGACGCGGCGTTGTGGTGCATCTGCTGTGAGGTGATGTAGTCGTTGATGATGGTCTGGCGGTTCTCCAGCGCCGCGCTGTCGGGGTAGCCGCGGATGAGGTACGGCGGGTACAGGTGGGGGTACGTGGGGTTGGGGGCCAGGTGCCGGGGCAGGTAATAGGCAGCGGCTGTTAGAGGGGGAGCAAAGGTCAGGCAGGCCCACACTGCCTCCACCGGCTCCAGACCCCACTGTGCCCCACCGCTTCCCCTAAAATGGAATCCAAGGTCCAGAAGCTGACGTAGATTTGCTGCACAAGCACACGCGCACACGCACACACACCCAGCAGTGCTTCCTACGTGGCAACCCTGCAGCTCTGCCAAACCACATCCAGCCGTTCACCACAGACACAGACCAGACACGTGGACCACAGAGGTGGCAGCGGCAAGGCACCGGTCCCCCGCCCCGGCTCCCGGCACTCACCGGCATCCAGGGGGATCCCACGGGGGATGGAGGTGGGGTCGAAGGCCAGGGGGAGGTGACCGCGGTACAGGTCCACACCGCGGAGCAGGTGCTCGTACGGGGAGATGGGGTGGGGGTGGTGCTCCGGCACCGTGCTGTGTGGGGATTTGGTGAGCTCGCGAGGCGCGGACGTCAGCTTCCGGTCCGGGGCCGCCTTGCTGGACAAGAGGCTGCCTGTGGGGACAGGCACGGTGTCAGGGTGGCTCAGCCCTGCGCTCTGGCAGCCTGGGTGGCGCTGAGGACTGCTGGGTCTCTGGGAGCCTTGGAAGTCCCAGGGTGCCCTCTCCTTCCCAGCTCCCGCTTACTCATTGAAGCCAGTCCCTTCCAGAAAGATCCACCTGTTCACTTGTTTATTCGCTCAAAGTTCATGCCCCACACTAGTGGTAAATATTTATGTAGCACTTATGCCAACTGCTGCTCTGAGAGGTGGGGTCACCCCAAAGAAGAGAAAAGGACCCCAAGCCTGGCCCACTGACGCTAAGGCAAGAGGCTAGTACACGAGGCTGCAAGGTGACAGACTGAGGGAAGAGGCCACCGTCACAGGACGTGACCGGAACAGGACAGGGCGGCAGGGCTGCGGGGTCTGCGTGGGGGCGTGAGCGGGAGCTGCCTGCACGTGGCTGGTGCAGAGCAAGCGGAATGTGGTGGAGGAGGATGGCGGGCTGGCAGGTGTGGGAAGCCTGTGGGGGGCGGGGGAGGACTTCCCTGCGTGTGGGGCAGCGGGCGTGGGGAGCTGGCACGGGGCGCGGCGGGGGCCCCTGCAGCCCACTCACCCTCCTGCAGGCGCGGGGTGGGCTCCCTCGTGGTCACAGGTGAGCCACGTGGCAGGTGGCTGGCAAAGGGCGCCGTGTGATCCTCGTAGGTCAGAGGGCTCTGGCGAGGCTTGCCCAGCTCGGGCACAGGTGCCCCGCGGGCGAGGGAGCCCCCGGTGCCGGCAGCGGCCCCCGGGCGGCTCTTGAGGCTCTCCTCGAAGCAAGCGCGCTCCAGCGCCCGGGCGTCGGCCATGACATCGAGTGGGTGCGCGGCCTGGAAGGTGCGGCCGGGGCTGCCGATGATGGAGCGCACATCGTGCTTCTTGGAGCCCACGGAGGCGGCGCTGGTGTCGTACTTGAGTGGGGTTCCCTGTGGGGTACAGCGGGCGCCAGCTGTGACACAAGCTGAGCCCAGCCTACGACCTCTGCCATGTTCCCCGCCCCCACACACGGCAGAGGCAGCCTGGCCAGGCCTTGGCGGTGGCATCTCCTGACATGGGTGCCGGCCCGCCCCTCCGTGGCCCCGGCCCCAGGCTGCGGCGTCTGGCCTCGGCCTGTCTTGGTGCTGCTTGCAGCGTAACCGAGCTCTGGATGCAGCGCCGATGCAATGCAGTCCCGCTCCTGACCTCTGCTCAGCACCCTGAGCCACGGGAGGCCCAAGGTTTTCCAAAGAATAGTCTGGAATCAGCCTGCCCCACGCGGACGCGGTCTCAGGGTCCTCCCGGCCACGCCGCGCCTCACCTGCGTGATGGAGCCCTCCTTCAGCGGCCGCGGAGCCAGGGGCAGCTCGGGTGTGCGCCGCAGCTCCTCGCGGGGGATCTCGTGGATGGACCGGCCCGCTTCCTTCACGGTGGCCACCAGGCCCTCGTGGCTGGGCTTCAGCTTCAGGGCCCCCAGGGGCTTGTAGGACTCGGGCAGGTCCCGCGGGGGTGGTGTGCCCTCGCGCTTCAGGAGCTTGGCCTCGCGCCGCAGGTAATCCTCCTGCGCCTCCACGTACGCGCGCGGGGTCCCTGCGGCGACACGCACCTCAGCCTGCACCCCTCCCGCCCAGCCCACCACGGGGACGGCGTCACGGGGACGGCGTCACCGGGCCGCCCTGCCAGCAGAGCCCCGCACGCGGCCGTGGGTGCCGTGTCCACGCAGCGCTGCACCAGGGCGGGCCAGGCACTCAGCGGATCCCAAACACCACCCCCGGTTAGCACGCCCGTCCTCCACGGCCCTGCGCGGGGTCCTTCCACACGCCCCGCGCCCGGGCGCCACGGCCGGCGGGTACCTTGCGTGATGGAGCCTCGGATGTGGTGCTGCTCCTTGAGATGGTGCGGGCTGTGCCGCTCAGAGGGGATGGCCCGACCCATGAGTCCTGGGGGCGGGGGCAGGGGTCACCGCACAGAGGTGGACACAGACACCCACACAAAGCCCCACGCTCTGAACCTCACGTCGCACCCACAGATAAGACTGAGCCTCAGGAGAGCCAGCCGTAAAGTGGGGTCAGACGGGCCCCTGCCTCCTCCAGGAGCTGAACCCCCGCTTTCAGGGAAGCTGGCCCCCAGGGCGGGATGGGGCGGTGGTCCCCAGGGCGGGGTGGGGCAGCGGTCCCCGGGGCGGGGCGGGGCGGGACGCACCCTCAATGCTGGCCGAGGAGACGGCCCTGCTCGCCCGGCCCTCCATCATGTCGTAGGTGCGCTTGGGGCCGGCCGTCTCATGCGGCGGGTTCGAGCCGCTCCTGCCCTCCTCCTTGGAGCACTGGGCCCCAGATAGGCTACCTGGGAACCAGACGGCGGGTGACGGGAGCCCAGGCATGGGAGTGGGGGGGGGGGGGGGGGGAAGAAGGGGCGGCATTCCCAGGGTGGCCAAGGCCTGCTATGCCCAATTCCAGGGGGGCAGCACAGCCAGGTGACCCCAGGGAGCTAGCCTGGGCTGGGCAGGATGGGGAGCCCCCGCCCCGCCCCGGCACGCACCCTCGTAAGACAGGACGTGGCCCTTCTTGCCCTCGTAGATGACGTGGCCCTTGATTGGGGTGTCCTCGCGGGCCCGGTCCAGCCGGCTCGGGCTGTCCTCCCCGATGATCCGGGTGATGGTCCCTTTGTACAGAACATCGGCCGGGGTGCCCTGCAGGGGCAGCAGCAGGGGTGAGCGCCAGGGCCGGCGGCAGGGCGCCTCATCCACCTCAAGTCCCTGCCCCTCACTGGACAGCATGGCCCTGTCACCCAGCGGCACTTCCTGCTGTCACCGTGTTCTGAGCCAGACAGCCCTAGGAGTCACCTAGGGACGGGTGCTAGCATCATGCCTACTTCACAAGGGGAAACTGAGGCACAGCGCAGTTTGCTGACATCTCCCAGTCACCTAGTTAGTGAGGGGCAGTGCTGGCCTCAACCCCGGGGTCGTGGGTCCTACTGACACGACCAGCAAGTGGCAGCCTGCAGCGCGCGGCGCGAGAGCCATGGGGTGAAGCTCAGTCGGGCTGGGCACAGAGGGCCGTGCTGTGCCCAGCCTCCCACCCAGGTCCACAGAGAGCTGGGGCCTGAGCGCAGGCGGGACTTCCACACCACACCTGGCTGCCCCGGGACACCAGGAGACCCAGAGGTGCCTGGGGGGGCGGGGTTGAGGCTGTACGGTGTAAGATCCGCCCTGGGGAGGCGGGGCAGACTCCTCCCTCCTCCTGGCTAAGTCTGCCCAGTACCTGGGTCACCTAGGTCACTGGTACCCCTCCATTCTGGGCCACCCTGGCACACAGGACGGAGAGTCCCAGGCTCTCTGAAGCCGCATCCTCAGCTGGGGGTGCCACACCCTCTCCCCACCCCTTCCCTCCCTTTCGGCCCCACACAGCCAGGCAGGCGCTGCAGAATAACCTTCTCTTCCAGCCTGAACAGTGCGGTGTTGTCTTCTGACTGACAGCACCTCTGCGCCACAACACCATTCCACCTCGCCCTTGCCGTGTGAGCGGCGCACACACGCACCCGCCCTACAACACGCGCTCCGCACGCCTGGGCTCACCCCTGGCCCGCACGTGCCAGGAACTACCCTGCATCTCTGCCTTCGCACCTGCTAGTCTCGGGCCAGAACCTTCCTGCTCTCGTCTGCCAAGGTCACGTGTCACCTCTCCTGCCTAAAGATCTTTTTTTTTGGGTCTAGGCTAGTCTGAGAAAGCAGTCCCTCCGCATACATCTGTCTCCTGAGATGCTGGCGCACAAGCATGTGCTGGCTGCCTGCAGATCCTCCTCGCTCATCCCTCCTCAGTGCGCCCAGCCCCCCCCGCCCCGCGCCTCCGTGGGGCCCAGACACCTACGTGGGTGATGGAACCGCGGTAGGAGCCGGGGCTGTCTGCGGGCGCCCGAGGCCCAGGGAGGCCTTTGCTGATGCTCCCGCCAGGAGCTGAGCCCAGGGCTGTCCCTGGAAGACAGGAGACCGGGCTCAGAGCCCCCGCCGCTCCTGCCCTGTCCACGTGGGGAGATGGGCGCCCCTCTCTATAGGGAGATGGCACCCGGCCACCCCACCGCTCCACGCAGCTGGTGTGGCTGGGGACTCGGGGCAGGAGGCAGCCCGGGGCCCGCAGCAGCAGGGCCTCACCTCTCAGCACAGACGTCTCCTGAGCCGTGGGCACTCCAAGACTTTCGGGGGGGCCGGCCTGGCCTCGTGGGGACAGCTGCTCTTGCTTCACGCTGCTGAAAGGTGCTGAGGGCCACAGGAGAGGTGAGCAAGGGCATCTGTGCCCGCCCCACCCGGGCCTGCCGGGATGAGGGCTCATGGCATCCCCAAGCCCAGGGGCTAACCCCCCCCCCCCGCACCATCCCCACCCCAGGGGATGCAGCTGTCCTCACCCAGCTTCTTGGGGTCCATGGTGGCAGGCAGCCCCACGGTGACAGGACCCACTGGGGCCTTGGCGTGCTCAGAGTACGGGACGTGGAGCTGGACCGACATTCCCTGCAGGGCAGAGGCATGGGGGTCACGGGAGCCAAGGCCCTGGGGTCAGCTGTGTGACCTGGGCAGGCCAACGCTTCCCCCGATCCCCATCCCCTTAGCCGTGCGCGTAGTGGCACAGAAGGTTCTGGGAGGGGAGGGGACGGGAGAGGAAGGGGGGCAGCGGCCAGCTGGCCCGTGTGCCCCAGGGACACCCACGCCCAGAGTGAGAGGCAGGCCTCTGCCTCGCAGGCAGCTGGCGGCCCGGGCCGGGGGTGGGGCCTCACCTGGGAGATGGCGCCCATCTGCCGCTCGAGAATGCTGGGGTGCTTGGTGGAGGAGATGAGAGGTGGGGGGTTGGAGATAGCGGGGGCACGTGGCAGCACAGGCCTGGCACCGTCATGAAGGCCCAGGGGCAGCGCGTGACCTGGGGGGCACACGGAGGCCTGAGCACACGATGGGCGCAGGGCACAGGCAGTCCCACGCTGCCTTCCTCGGGCCCTGAGCCTCCGGAGGCGGGCGGCCGGGGCGGGGTGAGGGGCGGCCGGGGCGGGGTGAGGGGCGGCCGGGGCGGGGTGAGGGGAGGCCGGGGCGGGGTGAGGGATGGCCGGGGCGGGGTGAGGGGCGGCCGGGGCGGGGTGAGGGGCGGCCGGGGCGGGGTGAGGGGCGGCCGGGGCGGGGTGAGGGGCGGCCGGGGGCGGGGTGAGGGGCGGCTGGGGGCGGGGTGAGGGGCGGCCGGGGTTGGGGTGAGGGGCGGCCGGGGTTGGGGTGAGGGGCGGCCGGGGTTGGGGTGAGGGGTGGCCGGGGCGGGGTGAGGGGTGGCCGGGGCGGGGTGAGGGGCGGCCGGGGCGGGGTGAGGGGCGGCCGGGGCGGGGTGAGGGGTGGCTGGGGCGGGGTGAGGGGTGGCCGGGGCGGGGTGAGGGGGGCGGGGTGAGGGGTGGCTGGGGCGGGTGAGGGGTGGCTGGGGCGGGGTTAGGGGTGGCTGGGGCGGGGTGAGGGGTGGCCGGGGGTTGGGGTGAGGGGCGGCCGGGGGCGGGGTGAGGGGCGGCTGGGGGCGGGGTGAGGGGCGGCCGGGGTTGGGGTGAGGGGCGGCCGGGGTTGGGGTGAGGGGCGGCCGGGGTTGGGGTGAGGGGTGGCCGGGGCGGGGTGAGGGGTGGCCGGGGCGGGGTGAGGGGCGGCCGGGGCGGGGTGAGGGGCGGCCGGGGCGGGGTGAGGGGTGGCTGGGGCGGGGTGAGGGGTGGCCGGGGCGGGGTGAGGGGGGCGGGGTGAGGGGTGGCTGGGGCGGGTGAGGGGTGGCTGGGGCGGGGTTAGGGGTGGCTGGGGCGGGGTGAGGGGTGGCCGGGGGTTGGGGTGAGGGGCGGCCGGGGGCGGGGTGAGGGGCGGCTGGGGGCGGGGTGAGGGGCGGCCGGGGTTGGGGTGAGGGGCGGCCGGGGTTGGGGTGAGGGGCGGCCGGGGTTGGGGTGAGGGGTGGCCGGGGCGGGGTGAGGGGTGGCCGGGGCGGGGTGAGGGGTGGCTGGGGCGGGGTGAGGGGCGGCCGGGGCGGGGTGAGGGGTGGCCGGGGCGGGGTGAGGGGTGGCTGGGGCGGGGTGAGGGGTGGCCGGGGCGGGGTGAGGGGGGCGGGGTGAGGGGTGGCTGGGGCGGGTGAGGGGTGGCTGGGGCGGGGTTAGGGGTGGCTGGGGCGGGGTGAGGGGTGGCCGGGGGTTGGGGTGAGGGGTGGCCGGGGGTGGGGTGAGGGGCGGCCGGGGGTGGGGTGAGGGGCGGCCGGGGGTGGGGTGAGGGGCGGCCGGGGTTGGGGTGAGGGGCGGCCGGGGGTGGGGTGAGGGGTGGCCGGGGCGGGGTGAGGGGCCGCTGGAGCAGGGTGAGGGGTGGCTGGGGCGCGTGAAAGGCAGCTGGGCCCCCCCCCGCGGCTCACCAGGAGGTGCATAGGAGAAGGCAGAGGGGTCGGCGGCGTGGGGAGAGGCTCTGATCACCTCGCGAGGCGGCATGGGGAAGGGCAGGCCGGACGTCCAGCGCGGGGGCTCGGTGGGCAGCTTCGGGCCCTCGGCGGGGAAGGCCGGGAAGAATGCAGGCTTCTCTGTGGAGGGACAGTGGGTGATGTGGTCAGGGCAGGGCCAGCCTGCTCCGCCTGCAGAGCTGACGGCAGAAGGGGGGACTTGGGGCCTCCGATGGCCGTGTCCTCCAGGAAGCCCCTGCCCGCTGCAGGATCCCGGGACGCCTGCTGAGCGTGGAGGGCGGAGGGTTCTCTGGCCACGGGGTCCCTGCAGAGGACACAGAGCAGCGCCTGGGAATGCCCTCCATTCGCTTTACGAGTTCTCTGTCTGAGGCCAGCGCCTCAGTTACTGGCACGGCCGGTCCAAGGCCCCCGGTGCCCACGGCGTTGCTGTGAGTGGCGGGCGGGCAGCAGGCGGGTGGTGGTGGCCAAGAGCAAGCCTCCTGGTGACCACTATCGCCCGGGACCACCTGCTGAACCCACCAGGCTCACCGTGCAGTGAAGCCGGGCTGAGGCCAGGCGACCTGTGGCTGCAGCCAACACAGGCCACGTGGCCATGGGCGGCACAGGGGCCGGACGCGCTCGTGCAGCCTCCAGCTCCTGTGAGTGAGGCGGCCCCGGCGGGCGGAGGGAGGCGGGCTCCCGCGCCCCTTCATGGCTGTGTGTGCCCCACGGCCCACAAGCGAAGCAGCGCGTGACCTTCACGGCTCAGGTCTGGGGAGTGGGGCCGCGTGTGCCCCCAGCACCAACCCTCTGGGAGACCCTGAGGACGGCAGCAGGGTGCTAAGGTCAGCTAGCCATGCCTGCTCCTGAGACTCAGCTCTGCCTGCAGCAGTGCGGCCTGGCGCGTGTGGACCCCCGTCCTCACCAGACCCCGAGGAGCAGGAAGGTCGGGCTACCGCCCTAGCCCCATGTGCGCCGCCGCCTTGGCTGGCCAGGCTCTCGGGCCGGGGCTGGGTGGAAACCTGGGGCCAGGCCAGGCAGGTGGCGGAGGCTGGAGAGACAGCTTGTTCCTCCGGCCCGGCCCCGGGGGAGCCCAAGAACGCCAGGCCCAACAGCTGTGTGTAGGGGGAGGGGGAGGCTGCTTCCTGAGGCCAGAAGGTCTTTCCGGGCGTGGAGCGGCCGTGCATCTAGGAACCGGTCCTGTGAGCCGGCCAGGGCCCCTGGCCCCTGCTCAGCGCTGACCGGCCACAGCTGTCCAGTCCCAACAGGGCGTAGCCCCCCCAGCCGCAAGGCCCCCCACTGTGCCCGGTCAGTCACCACACACCTGGCCCTGCGCACCTCTGCAGACAGCAGCGCCCACCCCGGCCTCCGCCCCGGCCCGGGGGGATCTATGACTCCCCAGTCCCACGCGTTCACGTGAGCGGGTCTGAGATGGCCACCAGCCCTCACGGTCTGTTTCTCCAGCTCCCTCTGACCTCTTCTCTTTCTGACAGCTTCCTCTGATGCCCACACGCTCCCCCACATGTTCCCGCCCCAGGGCCTTTATGTGTGCTGTTCCTGCCACCCTGATGCCCTTCCCCACTTCCACACCAGCTCTGCCCAGACTCCAACACCCCCCCCACCGGCTGTGCACCAGACGCCCGGGGCAGGGGTCCTCGGCCGGTCCTCTGTGGCGGCCAGGCTCCTGTGACCCGCCCACCGGGAGCCAGCTCCGCGTGGGCCTGAGTGTGCAGCAAGAGGGAGCCAGGGCCTCCGCCCTCAAGGAAACCCATGTTCCACAAGCAGACAGAAGCGGGGCCTGCGCTGGGTGCTCTCCCTGGGGAGCAGCGTGAGGGTGAGAGCCCGCCGGGGCTGCCGGGCTCCGGCCTGCGCAGCGCCAGCCTCCCGGCCACCTCGGCGGGCGGCGGCCGCGGCCCCGCCACTCACCCTCCTTGTCGGTGGGGGGCGCAGGGCTCCTGCTCTTGCCCCGAGGGCTGCTGCTAGCTGGCAGGGACGAGTCGCTCTCGGGCTGCAGGTGTGGTGGGGGCGGAGGAGCGGGTGGAGCCGGCTTTGGGGGTGCCGAGTCCTCCCGGGAGGTCTCGTGGGCCTTGGTGACCTGTGAGGAGCAGAGGCAGTGAACAAGCAGTGGTTCGGGCACTGGAGGGAACAGTCGGTGGCAGCCATGTGTCCAGCCTGTAGCCCGGGAGGGGTCTGCCCAGGGCCCAGCCTGGGATCTCTACAGTAGCAGGACCACGGGGGGGGGGGGGGGGGGGTCCAGGGCCCCCTCCTGGCCAGGGGGCTGTGACAGCGTAGGGGCTTCCAGCCGCCCCACTGGGGTCAGGAGAGCCCGTGGAGGGCAGCGTCCCTGGCCAGGCGAGGTCGGGGGGAGGGCTGGCCCAGGGGAGCCCCAGTCACACACACTCACGATTGGGGGGATGGCGGCCGCACGCTGCTTCAGCTGTTTCAGGTCCAGCGGCTTCTGGGGTGACACGTTGGCCCTGGGGTCGCCTGCCGGGGTGAGGAGGCTGGGTCTTGGGGACAGCAGCCTGAGGGGAAATGAGGGTCAGGCAGGGCGGGGCTCGGGGCAGCCACAGCTCCCCGTGGACTGTCTACACCCCTGGCCTCCTGCCTCAAGCCCTGGATGGTAGAACCTTCCAGAAAGGTCCTGGGAGGGCCATTCAGTCACACCCAGCGGTCCTGACTGGTGCACACGGGGCTGAGCCCCCCTGGCCCATGCACGCCTGGGCGGCCAGAGGCACTGCCACGGTCCACAGCCCGAGACAGCCCGCTGGGCGCATCTCAGGAGAGGGGGCCACAGGAGGGCCAAAGCCTCAGCCACATTAATGGACCGTCATGGGGCTGATCTGTTGCCAAGCCAGAGGGGTCGGCTGGGTGCTGGGCAGAGCTGGGCAGGGCTGGGAGCGAGCTCTGCTCCAGGGGCCGCCCCGTGCGGGGAGGAGCGCAGGGCACACGGCCTCAAGTGGTCCTCCAGCCTCTGCTCAGCCGCCAGCCACCGGGGCCCGTGGGCTCCCGACCTGCCCGCTGGTGGCTGCTTCCTTCAGGAAGCCTCTAGAGGCTTCCAAGACACCAGAGCAGCTGCCTGCTCACGGCCCTGTTGGCGCGCAGCCTCCAGAGCGCCCAGCATAGGCCGAGGGGCGGGCCTCGCTAGGGCTGCCTGTAGACCCAGCCAGTGGCTCTGCCTGGGGACAGAGCAGGGCTAAAGGACCTCACGGCCTGAGCGGGTCCCAGAGGGTGCACGGCACGGCTCCGTGTGGACAAGCAGGCCGCAGGTGGAGGCCTGGCCGCCACAGCTGCTCTAGCCCTCCGTGCACATGCCGGGGAGGGGCCCACAGCCCGGGTGCAAGGCATCTGCAGGAAACCACGTCCAGGGGACAGAGGAGGCACCGTGCTGCCACCGCAGGCCAGGACGGGCGGAGCGGGCACTGCTGTGCAGCCCACACCACCTCCCAGCCCTCCAATCCATCCTTTCAGGAGAAAGAGACTCCATGCGCTTCTGTGGAAGTCAGGACTCGGGAAGGTCTGTGCAGGCCGGAGGGGAGCAAGCCTCCCCGGGGCCTCACACAGGGCCCAAAGGCTGGAGACCCGCCCTGCGGGGAAGCCTCCACCTCCAGGCAGGAGGGCAGGGCTGGGCCGCTGGGGCTGTCTGCCGGATGGACTCCAGCAGAGTGGCAGGTGAGGGGGAGTGTGGTGGCCGTCGCTGCTAGGTGGGAAGGAGGGGGGGAGGGGGGCGGGCAGGGGGAGGCCCATGGGGAGGCACGGGAGTGAGTGGGTGGGCTCTGGCGCGTCCTGCCGGTGTCCCGTGCCGGCTCTGTGTGGTCATGGCTGGCAGTGGGAGGGGTGGCGGCTGCCAAACAGGAAGTGGTCAGCAGGCTGGCCTACGTCCAGCCTCTTTCCTGGGAGGGCAGGGCAGACCCTGAGAGTAGGTGACCAGCCAGGTGTCCACAGCCCCAGCCTGGGGGCTGAGGACGGGCAGGCCCCGCGGGCAGGGCAGCGGCCTGGAGGACTCGGCTCAGTGCCCGAGCAACTCTGCCTCCGGGTCTGCTCAGCCAGCAGAAGTGGGGTGCTGGGCCCAGGCTGGAGCCAGAGGGGCACACAGGGTGCCTGGCAGCTCCGGGCACCCAGGGCTGAGGAAGGTGTGGATCAGATCCCCATCCTCACAGCCAGAGGAGCGGGGGCGGCCTGGGTCAGAGCCGCTCACCTGCTCCCTGTGTCCAGAGAGACTCAGAAACAGCCCACCGTATGGTCAAACCACCAGAGGAGCAGGGCCTGGGTGCCGCGGAGGCCCCACCTCAGAGAGAGAACTTGCACTCTGGACTGAGGCGAGGGCTCTTGTGTTTGGAGAAGGGCACCTCATACAGAGCCCCGTCAGTCACCTGGCCCGGGAAGGCCTGCTGCCACCCTATAAAGCTGGTGGCACCAGGCCTCAAGCACTTGAGCCCTTGCCTGGCAAAAGAGCCCCCCCCCCCCCCACCTGTGGCCTGGAGGGCCTACAGAGCCCTCTTGAAGAGCTGCACAAGCAGGTGTACCCCCGGGCCTTTGCATCTGCACTTCCTGCACGGAGACAAACCAAGCCCCATACTGGCCCCAACCTTGCATCCTGTGCGTGGGGCCATCTTTAGATCAGCGTCTATGGAGGTGGCCAAGACGGGGACACAGGGCCAGGGAGGGTGAGGAGCCACTGGAGGGGGAGCCTGTGGGGCTCCAGGTGTGCGCGCCACAGGGGCTGAGGGAGCTGAGGGTGCCCGGCGCCTCGGGTCGGAGCCCTCCCTCCTCCCAGCAAGCGCCCTGTGCGCAGGGGGGGGACGGGCCTGGACCCGCCGCGGCTGCCCCCACCTGCTCTTGTCGCCTCCCTCGGGCTCATCCGCCTCGTCTGCGCTGCAGGTGGCGCTGGAGTCGCTGTCCTGGGGGGCGCCCAGGCCCTTGGCCAAGGCGGCCTTGCTGCCTGCAGCCTCCTTCTCCACCTTCACTGGTCCCTCGGGGCGGGGTTCAGGGGCCTCGGCACCTGCACCCCGGTCCGGGCCAGAGCCCTGGGCCTCCGCTGCCTCGGCCTCCGCTGCCTCGGCCTCCTCGGCCTGGGCCTCCTCCTTGCACTCGCTCTTGATGCTCCTGCCAGGACCCTCGGTGGCCTCCGGTTCCTCCGCCTTCCCCATGTCCGGTGCAAGCTCCTCGGCCACAGGAGGCTTCCGGTCCTCAGCCTCATCCACCAGGGAGGCCCCGGTGGCCTCGGCTTCCTCCTCCTTGGGAACCACGAGCGGGGCACGGGGCGGTGACGCGGGGGCTGTGGAGCCGCTGGCCTCGGGGGCGGGGGCCGGCCCTGCGGGGGCCGTAGCCTCCTCCGGTGCTGGGGCCGGAAGCTCTGGGACCGGGGCCCCATCGGCACCCTGGGGCTTGGGTCCATGCTGCCCCACATCCTTGGGGGCCTCGGCGTGTGGGGAGGGGACACTCTCCGTGTCCGAGCTGTGGTTGACCGCAGCTGTGAGGGGCGAGCAGAGCGGAGCTTGAGCCACTCAGTGTCTCCACCACAGCCAGCCACCGCGCGCCCAGTGCCAGAGCCCGGGGCCACCGAGCCAGCCCACCTCCTTCCACCCAGCCCAGAGCCGGCAGGGTACTGACAGCGGACAGATGACCTGAGAGGCCCTCCCATGACCACCCCCACCAGGCAGCCGTGTGCACCTGTGCCACTGCACCCCCCGTCCCCCACCCTGCCCACCCCCCACCAGGCAGCCATGAGCACCTGTGCCACTGCACCCCCCCGTCCCCCGCCCTGCCCACCCCCCACCAGGCAGCCATGTGCACCTGTGCCACTGCACCCCCCTGCCCACCCCCCACCAGGCACCATGTGCACCTGTGCCACTGCACCCCCCTCCCGCCCCCACCAGGCAGCCATGTGCACCTGTGCCACTGCACCCCCCCAACCCCCGCCCTGCCCGCCCCCCACCAGGCAGCCATGTGCACCTGTGCCACTGCACACCCCCTGCCCCTGCCCTGCCCACCCCCCACCAGGCAGCCATGAGCACCTGTGCCACTGCACCCCCCTGCCCTGCCCACCCCCCACCAGGCAGCCATGTGCACCTGTGCCACTGCACACCCCCTGCCCCCGCCCTGCCCGCCCCCCACCAGGCAGCCATGTGCACCTGTGCCACTGCACCCCCTGCCCAACCCCACCAGGCAGCCATGTGCACCTGTGCCACTGCACACCCCCTGCCCTGCCCACCCCCACCAGGCAGCCATGTGCACCTGTGCCACTGCACACCCCCTGCCCAACCCCACCAGGCAGCCATGTGCACCTGTGCCACTGCACACCCCCTGCCCTGCCCACCCCCACCAGGCAGCCATGTGCACCTGTGCCACTGCACTCCCCCAACCCCCGCCCTGCCCACCCCCACCAGGCAGCCATGTGCACCTGTGCCACTGCACACCCCCTGCCCAACCCCACCAGGCAGCCATGTGCACCTGTGCCACTGCACACCCCCTGCCCTGCCCACCCCCACCAGGCAGCCATGTGCACCTGTGCCACTGCACCCCCCCAACCCCCGCCCTGCCCACCCCCACCAGGCAGCCATGTGCACCTGTGCCACTGCACACCCCCTGCCCTGCCCTGCCCACCCCCACCAGGCAGCCATGTGCACCTGTGCCACTGCACCCCCTGCCCACCCCCCACCAGGCAGCCATGTGTACCTGTGCCACTGCACCCCCCTCCCGCCCTGCCCGCCCCCACCAGGCAGCCATGAGCACCTGTGCCACTGCACCCCCCCAACCCCCCACCAGGCAGCCATGTGCACCTGTGCCACTGCACCCCCTGCCCAACCCCACCAGGCAGCCATGTGCACCTGTGCCACTGCACACCCCCTGCCCTGCCCACCCCCACCAGGCAGCCATGTGCACCTGTGCCACTGCACCCCCCTGCCCACCCCCCACCAGGCAGCCATGTGCACCTGTGCCACTGCACCCCACCGTCCCCCGCCCTGCCCACCCCCCACCAGGCAGCCATGTGCACCTGTGCCACTGCACCCCCCCGTCCCCCGCCCTGCCCACCCCCACCAGGCAGCCATGTGCACCTGTGCCACTGCACCCCCCCAACCCCCCACCAGGCAGCCATGTGCACCTGTGCCACTGCACACCCCCTGCCCTGCCCTGCCCACCCCCCACCAGGCAGCCATGTGCACCTGTGCCACTGCACCCCCTGCCCACCCCCCCACCAGGCAGCCATGTGTACCTGTGCCACTGCACCCCCCTCCCGCCCTGCCCGCCCCCACCAGGCAGCCGTGTGCACCTGTGCCACTGCACCCCCCCTGCCCGCCCCCCACCAGGCAGCCATGTGTACCTGTGCCACTGCACTCCCCCCGGGCCGCCTCGCTCCCCGAGGCTGGTAAGGCTAGAAGAAAATAAGAGAGGAATGAGAAGGCAGGGTGGCAGCAGGAGTGGGGCGGGCAGCAGGTAGGCGTGGCCATCGGAGGGGCGGGGCTGCTGAAACTTCCCACGGCGCCCTGGCCTGTGCGGTTCTCCCCAGCCCACCCCAGTCCCTCGTCTCTGCCGCAGCAGCGCAGACGCTGGGACAGCAGAGCTGTGGCAGAGGCGGGAGTGACATGCAGGGGGTCAGCCTCTGCTCCGATGGGGAGGGCCTGGCATCCGGCGCCGGGGTCGGGGGGCCTGTCTAGGGGTCCCAGGTGTCCCCAGGTGCAGGGAGGGCCACATGACGCCCCCTCCCCCACTGGCCTCACCCTCCGCCTCCTCGGCCATCTCCTCCTCATTCCCACTGGCGCCCGAGGCCTCCATCTCCTCGTCCTCCGTGGCGGGCGGGAAGGCCGCCTCCTCGTTGGCTGTGGCCGGGGTCTTCTTCTTCTTCCGGCGTGCGTTCCTCTCCTTCTCCTGGGGCACAGGATGGGGTCAGGGCCAGGCCAGCCCATGCCGGAAGCCCAGCCACAGCTGCGAGTATCACCTGGCTCGGGCCACGGTACCCAACCTGCCAGGGCTATTTTTACCAGGGCCTTTCTCCCCTTGTCCCAGAAACACCAGGCGGGACGCTGCACCACGTGCTGGCCAGGCCACCCCGGACATCTCACCCACTCCTGGCGCCCAGAGGACTGGCAGATGCGGAAGCCGGGTGTCGAGGGGTGTGCTGTGTGCCAGGCCCCCCCTCACCAAGCACAATCTGCCCTGAAGACGTGGGAGGAGTTGGCAGGGGGCAGAGGCGTCAACTAGAGGCCAAGAAAGCATGGGGGGTCGGGGGGTTCAGCATGACAGCCAGGAAGTGACATCTGGAGCCGGTGCCGGCAGCTCCCGCCTCTCATCCTAGCTACTCAAGAGGCTGAGATCTGAGAATCAAGGTTCAAAGCCAGCCTGGGCAGGAAAGTCCCCAAGACTCAAGTGGTAGAGCTGAGGGACAGTGCCCAGGCCAAGTTCGAACCCCATGACTGACCAAAAAAAAAAAAAGGACATTTGGGCCCAGATCTGAATGGAGCAGGAACTGGCTAGACAAGGCTGTATGTTTGTGTATGTGCACGTACGTGTGTATTATACACAAAGGCTCTGTAGTATAAGATGTGAATGTTAACGGGACAGAAAGAATCCTGTCCATATACACTGGAACCCAGGGCCCTGCCCGCCCCAGTTCCCACACCTGCCCGTTCCCTGTCTTGTCTATGCTGAGCCAGCAAGCAGCTGAACCCCCCTAGTGGCCCCCCCCCACTTGAGCATGGGCGAGCAGGGCTGAATGGTGGGGGGCAGAGGGAGCGATGGGACAGGGTGGGAGCCATGCAGAGCCCGGGGGTCTGATGGGCCCTGGCGAGGCTGCTCTACAGTGTCAGTGACCCAGAGCACTTTGTGCCCCTGGGACCCACGGGACCCGTGGAGACATGAGTTCATGGAAAAGGCCGGTGTGGAGGGGCGGGACCGTGACTGGCATCCGAGAAACAGCAGAGGCAGAGGGTATGGGGGGCGGGGGGATGCAGGGGCACATCTGCGGGCCAAGGTGGGCCTCCAGGGGTGCTGGGGGCAAGCCGGGCTCCAGCCTGCACTCGGGGACACGGGCGACGGTGCTGGGCACCCGGGCTGTGGCTGTCTATCACAGGGAAGGCCTGCCGGCCCACCTGTCCCGGAAGCCGGTGTGTGTCACCGTCAGGAGGGGGAACGGGGGCCTGGGCACGGCCACCTCTTCCTCATTAGTCAGCTTCATCAGCAACGCTAGCCAGAGGCCACAGCCCACCGACAAGAGTCTGCAGACCTGCCACAGGGCTCGTCTGTCACCATGGTATTCCATGGTCTGGCTCCAGACCTGAGCGCCTCCCAGGGAGGGCATGGGCTGGGGTGCGCGGAGGGGCTGGAAGCTGTGCAGTGCGCAGCCAGGCCCCCCCAATGCCCCTCTTCCCTGTCCTTAGAGGCGGTCTGGCCAAGCCCCGCCCAGGCAGTGGGGGACAAGGGAACATGAGCTGGGAACAGCCCATGGCCCTCCTTTTGGGGGGGGTGGTGTCTGGGAGGCTCTGCGCCCCTCAGAGGGTTTACGTGGGTGACACCCAGAGCCCACTCTCTCCACGCGGGGCCAGGGTCTGGGAACGAGGGGGGGGGAGCAGGGGGGGAGACACACCAGCCTGCTCTCCCTCATCTGTGTAACTCCAACGCAAATCCAGATAGCTGACCCCTACCACATGCCTCGCGGGCCAGGCCTTCCCAGGGGGTCACTGACCTCCGTGGCAGCTCCGCACCGCCGTGCCTGCCACGTCTCCAGGGTCCCCCCACATGGAGAAAGGTTCCAGTCCCCCATCAGGGCCGCCCTGGTCCAGCCCCGGCCCCGTCCACCTCTCCAGGTTACCCAGAATGCCTGGCACAGGGCCTTTGCACTCTGCCCTTCTCTCAGACGGCCTCGGGACTCGTTGCCTCTGTGCTGGGTGCGGTGGGCCTTCCCAGACGTCCCCCGACGTCCCTGTCCACACCGGCTCATCACCGCCCACAGCACCGAGGGCTCTGTGAGCCCGGCCGCGACTTCACGTCCCTCTCACCACAGCTTGCCCTCCCCTGCGCCTGCCTGCCTGCCCCAAGGTCTTCAGCTCAGAGGCTATGACACGTGCCCACGACCACGCAGGCTGGGAGTCAAGCAGCCTGATCGGAAGGCAGGCCAGGTTCAAGCACTCCCCAGCCAGGTGGAAGCTGGCTTCCTCATGAGAAAAGCACAACCTTCAGCCACACGCAGGGGGAGGGAGACCTCGGGCGGACACGGGTGCCAAGCATTACGTAACTAGACACACTCGCCGCACCCCCTGCTTCCTGCTGACGTCCCCAGGTCTCCGTTGGCCAGGCCTGGGGTAAGCGAGAGGGGACAGCACACGGTAGTCTGCCCCCTCCTCCCTGCACAGGGGCCTGGCTGGGGGTGCTGGCCAGGGCAGGAGGCCAGCTGGCACACACGCTACCAGGACACCCGGCCTCCGTGGAGCCCAGCTCCCGGGGCCCTCCTTGCTCAGTGCTCCGAGGCTCGGCACCAGTCCCATACCTCGGGGCTGTGTGCCGCCTGGCTGCTGGTCCCCGGGTCTCCCACGCGTGCCTACAGCGGGAGGCCTTCCTGACCAGAGTCACTCTGCAGACACTGCTGCTCCTTCCGCCTCCAGCCCTGGCCGCTCCCCAGAGCTCCACTCCCCAGCTGGAGGCGCCCAGGGCGCACTCTGCAGCACCCAGGAACAGGCCTGGCCCGTCCGCTTCGCCGCACCAGGGCAGCAGGGCTGGGTGCCCTGCCCCCCCCCCCCCCCCGCAACATTGCCGGGCTAGGGTGAGCAGTGCTCAGCTAGAGTGAGCTGCGCCTCCCGCACCACGTGGCTCTTCAGGCCGGGGGCTGCCAACAGGATGCCTGGTGCTTTGTAGAGAACACCCAGAAGAGCCCCAAAGGAGTGGTGCTACCATCGTCCCTACTCCACAGGTGGGGAAACTGAGGACTGGGGGTGGAGGTGGGAGACAGCCTGTAAAGCGCAGAGCCCTCATCATGGCCGGGACCCCGCACAGAGAGGAATCTGTGACAGAGGGTGGGCGGGGTGCTGAACCCCAGGCAGTGTCAACCCCATGGGCCAAGTGGAGCGCTGGCGGCACACGCCTGTCATCCCAGCGACTCAGCAGGCTGAGAGCTGAGGATCGCGGTTCAAAGCCAGCATGGGCAGGAAAGCCCTGTGAGGCTCTGATCTCCAGTGAACCACCAGAAAACCAGAAGTGGTAGAGCTCTCATGTTGAAGCTGAAGAGCTGAGGGACAGTGCCTAGGCCCAGAGTTCAAGACCCAAGACCGACCAAACCTACAATAAGACAATAAACCCACAGCCTGGACCGTGACCCATCCCCGCCCCGCTGGCCGGCGTCCTGGCCCCTCCTCTCCACCCCAAGGAAAGGCGGGCAGCGGCAGGCTCGTGCCTACAGTGACCAGCTAGAGGAAGAGGCTGGGAGGACTCGGCTGTGCTGACCCGTCCTCTCTTGTGGGGTATGGCTGGCCGAGCCCCCCTCCCGGGGCCTCACAGGCACCCCCACCCCACACAGCAGTCTCTCCAGGCAGTAAGGCTCTGCTCAATCCCCAGGTGCCCTCAGGCTGGAGCCCCCACAAATGTGGCCGGTGTCAGGCTCAGCCTCTCCGGGCTTCAGCTGACTGCATCTCTTTTCCAGAACAAGCTGCACAACTTTAAACCCAGCCTGAGGCCACCCAGGGAGCCACGAGGGCCTGGGCCTCTGCAAGGACACAGGCAGCCTGGTGTCACCCCGGGGTGCCTTACACACCTGCTGTCATGATGTATGTGCATGGGCCCTGCGACTGCTAGGACGGCGGGGTGGGGGGGGCTCCCCACAAGCCTCCTTCCCCCCACCTCCTTCCCAACCATGCTGTCTGGGAAGTAGGAAGACAGGCTCGGCTGGGAGTCCAGCAGCCGCCCCTCTTCCCTCCTCCAGGAGGGCTCATCCCTTCTCTCCTCCTCCTGTGCTGGCTGGGTGACCAGGCCCAGGGCCAGGCGGTGGCTCACCATCTTCAGCCGGTGCTGCTGCAGGATCCCATCCAGGTTCTGCCGCTTCTTGTAGTTAAAGTAGAAGTTCTTACACTGGGACACAGTCTTGGAGCCCACCATGCGTGCGATGGCCGACCAGTTCCGGCCATGTTCCAGGAGACCTGAGGGGCAGAGGGCAGTGAGGGGCGCCAGCCTGTCCATCCCGCTCGGCTCCACACGGCTCAGTGGGGTGGACCCCGCCTTCCCCGCGTGGGGCGCGGAGCCTGGCTGTCCTGACCCCAGAGCCGGCCAAGCGCAGGTGAAGTGCCCTGGGGCGCGGGAGGGGGGAGAAGGGGGGTGGAAGTCAGGCCAGGAGAGAGCCAGGTTCCAGGGGACACTGCCAAGACCCCCCCCCATCCCTTCAGATCTGCACCAGACTCACAGGTCCTGTGGCGGGGCCCTCTGCCAGGGTTCCCAACCTCGGGGTGCAGGCAGGAGCCCCCACCCACCTTGTTCAGGCTAGAGCTGCACAACACATTATGTCCTGAGGCCTTGAACCCCAGAATCAACAGAACCCCCAGGAGGCCCAGGCGGGGCAGCCACTGGCAGGAGGGCAGGTGGTGGGTCCCCGGTGTGGGAAGCTGGGCTAGACTAACAGTTCCTGTAAGCTATGCTTTAGGCCATTTTCCTAAATCAAAATCTGCAAGGAGCTGTGGGCGGGCCATATTTGTCTTTTCTCAGCCATTCAATCACTGAAGAGCCACCTTTTCTCATTCATTCACTCACTCAAGAGCCACCTTCTCTCATTCATTTGAGGTGTGGCCCACTACCCACAAAGCCCGGCAGACAGCCCAGAGGCAGAGGCCCTCAGGGTGTGCAAACCCTTCCCTTCCACTGCAGCCAAAGTCCCACCCAGGACATCAAAGCGACTGCCGCTTGCCAAGGGGGGGGTGCGGGGAGAAGGGGAGAAAGGGGACACCTGTCGCCAGCTAGAGCCCCAGGAACCCCAGGAGTCACAGGAGCCACGTGGCTCCACCCAGCTCCAGGGTTCCTCAAGGGCAGGGGGGAGGGGACGGAGCACAGCTCGGCCTCCTGACCTTTCCCGCCGCCTGCGCCAGCAGCAGCAGCTGCCACATCCAGAGCGGGCGGATGGGGACGCGCGTTTATTTATATTTCCCAGCCCGGGCCAAACGTCAGGCCGGAGGGAGCTCGCCGGGACCGCGGAGGGGCTCCCACGGGGACCCGCGGAGGGGCTCCCACAGGGACTGCTGGGGCTGGGGGGCAACCGTTCCAAACTGAATAAACAAATGAGGAGCTGCCTGGGAATGAGCTGTGGGGCACCTGAGGGAGGGGAAGAGAAGGGGCCCCCCATCTTCCCAGGGCACCTGAGGAAGGGCACGGCACGGGGCAGGGCAGGGCAGGTAGGAAGCCAGGACACATGGTCCTGTTTCCTGTCTGCCAGGCGGGGGGTGGGGGGTGGAGGGGGTCTCCTCCGGGTTAGATCTGGGAGGCCCCGAGGCTAGGGCGCCGGGTGCCGGGCAGAAGGGAAACACGGCCTCTGGTCCCTGGAGGCAGCCCTTCTTCTGGGGAGTCCCGCTCCTGCAGGCCCCTCACCCGCCCACAGCCCGGCCCCTGGGGGTCACTCACATCCTCTCATGGGTGGTTCCCCCTCGGACAAGTTTTCTGGAAACATCCGGCGGGGCTGTGAGGCGGCGGGGCACGGGGAGCGGGGAGGAGGTGCCGGCTCCTGGCTGGCGTCTGCTGGCTTGCAGGCAGCGCAGCTCAGCTCACATCCCGTCCACCCAGGGAGGGGGAGGAGGGAGGAGGGAGGAGGGCAGGCGGAGGCTGCTCTGCGCCTGCCTGCGGTGGCCACCTCTGACGCGTACCCCAGCTGCCGCGGGGCGGGGCGGAGGGGGCGGGGAGGGGCGGGGCGGAGGGGCGGGGCGGGGCGAGGTGCCCTTCCCCGCAGGGCAGGAGGCCGCCAGCTGCGGGTGCCCCTGTGCCAGGCGTCACCAGGGTGCTTGGTGCCCACGGCTCCTCCGGGCACCACTGTGCCCCGGGGGTCAACGAGGGGTGGCTGCCAGGAGCCTTGAACCCTCAAGTCTGCCTCAGGCACACAGGGCTGTGGCTTGGCGGGCAGCCTCGGCCAGGGCCGAGTGTCACCTCCAGACGGGGCTGGCGGGAGGCCGCGGGCTGTGGCTCGGGCCCAGGGCCCAGCTTCGGGAGGGCAGGCCAGCTGGCCCTGGTTCCCTACCCAGCCTTGACCACAAGACTCACACCCCGCGGGGCAGCCCGGGAGCCGCCTGGACGCCCCTCTACAGGAGTACCAAGGCAAGCATGGACGTGGGGCTGGGAACCAGGCCACCTTGGCCTATGACCCCCTCCCCCCACTCTAGCCCCCCCCCCACACCTGCACTCAGCTCAGGGCTGTACTTTGAGCCAGCCACATCTGGGCCTGGCTGACTTCTGGGGTGCTAGGATCACTGACCGCTCAGCCCTCTGACCCCTGGCCTCTCTGTCTTGCCCTAGGAAGTCTCCAGAGCTGCCCAGGGCTCAGATCCTCCCCAGAGCTGGGTCCGTGGGGAACAGAGGGCACTGCAGACCTAGGAGGGAGACCGGTCTGGGCAGGCAGAGCAGGCTACGCACCTGCCCAGCTCCCTGCTGCTGCCCCATGCAGCCACAGAGGCCGCCTCCACACAGAAGCCTTCCTGGGCCTCCCGCAGTGCCCAGCCCCTGGGCACACGTTTCCCACACTTGCTCTGTGCGCGCATGCCAGTGTGCAGGGGAGGCGCAGCCCCTGCCACAGTTTGGGGCTCCGCAGGGAGACAGGGCCTCAGGGCTTGCCCCAGGCCTTCTCACCCAAGGCAGGCTGGACAAGGCGGCCGGCCGGATGCCGCCTCTGCCAAGGGGCAGCCCTCAGCCCCACCTCTTTTCACAGAGAAAGCTATCTGCACACCAAACCTTGAACCCAGAGCACCTCCAGGGGAGAAATGGGTTTCTGAAGCCCCAGGGTCTCAGGGTGGCAGCCGTGCCAGGCACCTGCTGCATGCCTGCCCCGCAGGCCCTCGGGCCTCCCCTCTGCCTGCCGAGGCCCACCCGTGCCTCTCCAACCTCAGCAGAGCACTCCGCCCCAGGGGCGCTCACCAAGCTGGCAGCCATCCTGCTGATGGAGGGCCGGGCTGTGCGCTGCCTCCAGCGCCCGCCCTCCCCCCTGCCTGCCCACCCACCACCCCCAAACCCCGTCCAGGTGGCTCCTGAGCAGTCAGGCTGGCCTGGCTCGGCGGGGGCAGCAGGCACCTGGGGGCCTTCGCCCCTTTGAGGGACACAGACCGCTCTCCAGGAACTGAACCCACCACTCTGCCCTGCAAGCCAGACAAGTCTGGAGCTCAGCGTGGCTGCCTCGGTCCTGGTCTGGACGGACGGGGGCACTGGGCTTTGCTAGAGGAGGGGCAGCCAGGAGACCAGCCCCTCCAGCCGAGCAGGGACCGGGAACTCAAGGCCGGAGTACTGGCCGATCCTCCCTCCCTCCCTTCCTCCCCCTCTCCCTGCAGGGCACTTGGCGGGACAGCAGCTAGCTAGCTCCCTGGGGCTGTCCAATTCCTGGGGACGCTCGGTCTCCAGCCAGTGTGAGCTCTCGGGGACAACGGGCCCTGGGACCAAGGAGCAAGAAGGGTCTGGTGAGGACAGGTGGCCACGTGAGGACCCAGGTTGCCAGCAACAAGGGCCCCAGGGCACGGGCTGCCATGCTAGGCTGGGCAGCAGCACCCGCTCCCGAGGCCTCTGCAGAGGCCCACGCTCTGACTTTGAAATTCTGGTCTCCGGGAGGCAATCTGAGTAGTCTCCTACGGCCTGTGTCAGCCACGACAAATTCCCACTACACAGACACAGTAACCAAGGCCCAGAGAGGGCGGATGAGCTGCCTGAAGGCACGGAGCCAGGAGGCGTCCTGGCCGACGCTCTCTCCGGCTGCGGCTTGGTGCCAGGGAGAGCGCGCCAGAGCTCCGGAGGCCGGAGGAGCACGCCTGACACGGCCACAGCCGCCCTGGGCTTCTGGGTGCCAGAGAGTGGGCTCTAGAATATTCCTAGCCTCTCACTTCCCACTGGCTGTGGAGAGGGAGCGGGTCTGCGCACCTGCCTCCCGCCCCCGCCAGGCGCACAGCTGTCAGCAGCCACCCCGCACCGTAATTGTCCAGATTGCTGTAATTCACGGCAGACGAACGCACGGCACTCCTGGCATTATTAGAAATGTCACCGAGGAGCCGGGGCCGACTCCCTGGCTGTCACTCGCGGCCAACTGCGTGGGCAGGAAGCAGCCAGGCTTGAGACAGCGCAGCCAGGAGCGGCCCGCCCCCTCTGCCCAGCCCGGACGGGGAGAGGGCAGCGGGCGGCCTGCGGGGACAGCAGGCCCCAGGCCCTTGTGTGTGGATGGAACCCCATTTAAACAGACAGGGACGGGCACGGGCTCTGCACCACAGCCAAGCCCACCACCGCCATGACCTGCCAAGCCCAAGGGGTTAGAGGGGGGAGGAGCCCCCCAGGAGCAGCCCCGCCCGCCATCCGCTGAGACAGAGCCCATTAGAGCCTGCCAAGGCCTGGCGGGCCCAGGGGGCTGGGGAGTGCCCGTTAATGGCTTAGGAGTCCTGTTTGGAGTGCTAGAAGGTTCTGGAACTAGAAGCTGAGAGAGTTGCGCAACACTATGGACGTATTTAAGGCTGCTGGATTATTCACTTTTCCATGGCGAACACGGCATGTCGTGCATGCTTAAGAAGCAAGATTAGAGAAAACCGCGTCTGTTTCCAGAGCCCCGTTCACACCGGCCTCTGAGGGCACAAACGGCAGAGCGGATGTGGGGGCGGGGGGATAGCGCCCACACTGCACCCAGCCCCTCCTTGCCCCTGGAAGGCAGCCAGGCGGAGGGCAGGGGTCGTGCAGGGGTCTGGGGCTATTCCCGTGAGCAGCACTCCCGCCAGGCCCATGGTAACCCCAATGAACGCAGCCGGAACTGGGGTTTCACACCACATGCGCCTCCACCGGTGACAAGCTGGCGCTTTGCACCCGAGCCAAGGAGAGACAAAGGGCAGGGAGTGAGGACGGGGAGCATGGGCCTGCAGTGGGCTGCCCGCCCTGCCACGGGACCCCACAGCTCCCAGGCGGAGGAGAGCTGCCCAGCCTGGCATCCTTGCGCCCCTCACACCGCCCGGACGCCATCCGCTTTCACAGATACCACGAGGCCCAGAGAGGGGTCGCCACACTGAGCCTCGAAGTCCCAGCTGTGCGGGCTCCGGAGAACAGCCCAAGGCTCCCAGGAATCACGCGGGGTGCACACCAGGCCCACACCAACTGCCAGCCCACCCACCACGCTGGTGCCCACAAGATCACCTGGAAGCCGAGAACAGCTTCTGTTCACACCAGCACCTGCTGGCCACTCGCTGGGCCTGTGGGCCCCGACCCGCCAGACCGGAACCCGCGTGTGCGCATGCTCCATGCACAAGAGCTCCACAGGCACAGAGCCCCAAAGCCAGGGAGGCCCCGCTCTGCCCCCCCCCCCCCCCCGCAACACATCCAGATCTGCCACCTCGCGTGGTCACACACCTGCCCTGGCCCAGCCCAGGCAGCCCGGGGTCTGGGGCCACAGCCTGGCCTTATGAGGGTGGAACCGAGGCTCCAAGGAGGTACGACCTCCACCACCCCGGCCCCCCCACCCCCAGCTGGGGGAAGAGCCTGCAAACCCCTCTGACGCCACCCCCATACCAGGGAACGCGGGGACCGCACACCTTACCTTTCTTGGCCGTCTCCATCTCCTCCTCCGTCCAGCGAGAGCTCTCGTTCATCTCGATGCAGGCTGGGAGGGAAGGCAGGCCGTTGGCCAGGCTGTATCTGGGACCAATGCCCCTCCACGCAGCGGTGCGGGTCTTCTGGCCCCTTCACGGGCCCCCTCCCCGGCAGGTGGGCAGGGCAGCCACGGCTGACCACATGCCCACAATGGGCTTCGCAGGGGTCAAGGCTGCATGGGTCTACGTGTCTACTTCCCAGCCCATCGTCCAGTCAAGGCTGGGGCCTGACATGGAAGGGTCCCTCCACCGCCCCAGGGCAGCCCGGAGGACCTGCATGGGGCTTGGGACTGAGTTCAAATCCCGACTACACCTGGGACTCAAAGGAGACTGTGTTTGTCCTCTGGGCCTCCAGCAGCCTATCTATAAAGTGGATCTACACTGCTCTTCCTGCAGAGGGGACTGCGCACACTGCTGCCCCCGGTGGCCACACTGGGAGACTGCTGCTCCAGTCCCCCTACTGTTCCCTTGGAGGGAAGGATGGCCAGCTCCTGGCAGGAGAAACCCAGGCCTGTGAGGGTGAGGGTAGAAGTCTAGACAGCCGCCTAAGGAGGGGCAGCCGCTACCTGGTCCACAAGCAGCCAGACCAATGATGTAATAGAAACAAAACAGTGCCAGGTGCCAATGTCTCACGCCCGTCATCCCAGCTACTCAAGAGGCTGAGATCTGAGGATCATGGTTTAAAGCCAGCCCAGGCAGGAAAGTCCCTGAGACTCTTGTTCCAATTAATTACACAAAAGAAAAAAACAGAAGTGGAGCTGCGGGTCAAGTGCAAAGCACTAGCCTTGAGCAAAAAAAGCTCAGGAACAGTGCTTGGGCCCTGAGTTCGAGTTCCAAGAATAGCAAAACAATAATAATAAAAGTAATAAAATTAAGAAAGATAGAACAGGTTGGCTCAGCGTGGCTGCCAGAGCTCCAGCTGCGGTGCTGGTCCCTTATGCTCTTCCCCAACTGATTCCCCTCCGTGTGCTGCTAGGGATACTGAGGCACAGACGGGGAAGGAACTGCAAACTCCACAGCCGACCCGGGGTTCTGAACTCCGACTGCTACAACCAGGCTGCAGCTGCCGCAGTTCACTGGGATCTCGGCGCGTTTCTGTGCGGTGCCCGGGGCCTGCGCCCGCGGCTCCCGCTCTGGGGCCTCACCCAGCTCGGCACTCTGCTGGGGGGTGGCGGCCTCCTCGTGGCTGGCCTCGCTGGCCATGGAGCGGGTGATGCGGCCCTTGCGCCGGCCCTGGCTGTTGGCGGTCTTGCGGCCCTTGGCGGCCACGGCCTCCTTCTCATCATTGTCCTCCCCGGAGGTGTCATCAGCCTTCTCCCTGAGGGTGAGGGACACGCGGAGGGGGTCAGCGGGGTGCGTGCTGCTGCAGGAGGAGGGCTCTGCGGGCGCCCAACGCCATCTCATGTCTGGAGGGAGGGGGGCCACTGATGCTTCTAGGCTCCTGGAAGGGAACAGCCATGTGCTGTGTGGCCAATTTCATCCTCTACGCTGGAAGTGTTCTCCTGCGCAGAGCTCCGCACCTCGGGCCTGCGGCCCTGGCTGCGTCTGTGCACCGCCTCAGCTACGCGCCTGGAGCTTTGCGTCCGGGGCTGCGGGCACGGCTGCCCGCAGAGGCCAGGGTCTCTGGGCTACAGGGTTGCGGAGTCGCTCGGGGTCCGCTCCCGCCCGCCCAAGCAGCCCGGCCCAGGCGAGGGGCACAGGCTGGGCGCAGAGCGGAGCAGAGGCTTCTGGGGCGGGCAGGCGGGCGGCTCAGGAGATTTATGGCCTCTGCTGCCCATTCATCTTCCTGAAAGGCCCTGGCTGGAGCCAGGAGAAGAGGCAGCTGCGCTCCTGGGCCCATCACAGGTACCTGCGCTCCCCCCTTCTCCCCCTCAGCTGGCCGCCTGCGCTCCCCCCTCCTCCCCCCTCCAGCCTCTGGCAGGCGGGGCCCAGGGCCAGGCCTTGATCTGCAGGGGCTGCGCTGACGCTGACACACACAATTCTGCAGGTGGGCGCGCAGCTGGCGTCTCCCGCGCCTGCGACCTCTCGAGGGGGCGGCAGGCAGAGTTCCAAAGCTGCTGCCTGTTTTATCAGCTCCAGAGCCTGGCTCAGGCACAGAGGAGCTATCGGTCTCCCAGTCTCGGGAGGGCGGGGGGGACTTCCAAGAGGAGGGGCCCACAGAGGCACAGGAGGGCTGCCTAGCGGGGCCAGGTGACCACCGGGCAGCAGCCTTACTAAGTGCTCTCCCTGTGGCGGGGGAGGGGCGTGCGTGATGCCTGACGCCGGCAGCGCCTTACTTACTTGCTTAGCTCTTCCTTGTCATGGCCGTCCACCTCAGGCTTGTCCTCCTCCTTCTCGGCCTCCTTCTCCTTCTCCTTCTCCTCCTCCTGGCCCGTCCTGGCCATCTGCTGCTGCTGCTGCTGCTGCTGCTGCTGCTGCTGCTGGGGGCGGGGAAGCAGGTGAGCAGGTGGGCGTGTGAAGTCACACCGGGCACTACCCCCGAAGGGAGGGAGGGAGCTGCTACTGGCCGGAAGAGCGGGCAGCCGGATGCCTGGACGCTGCATGGCCTGGGGAGGCCAGAGCCAGTTCCCTGGGTTCAAATCTTGCCTCCTCGGGGTGGCCGTGTGCCGACTTCCTCAGGTTGATAATGGGGAATCTGGGGTGCTAGGGTGTCTGGCGGGGCTGGCCACCGTAGCCGGAGAACCTCACCGAGTGGGTGTTCAAGTGGGGTACAGGGACCCATGGCGGTTCACGCGAGAGCTAAGTGCTGGGGGTCATGGGGGTCAGGGTAGGGGGCTTGGCCTCCAGGCCATAAAGGAGGAAGTGGGGAGCCCAGTTCCCCAGGCCTGAGGGAAGACCACAGCCAGGTCAGCGGCCCCTCAGGGTCCTGCCCCGGGCTGGGTCCCCATCCTGCTGCCCGTCCCACGGGGCAGGTCCAGAGGCAGCCCGGCGGCCCAGGGCAGGAGGCGGCGCATGCACGCACGCACGCACGCACGGCTAGCTTTCCTGGTGCCTGGGGCCCTCCCTTGCCCCCCACGAGGGCAGGACTTCCCTGACACCCCAGGGGCCAGCACATGAGGCTCAGACTGGGACAGACACCTCAGGAGTGCTGGGGGGGGGGGGCTGGGAAGGTGGCTTGCCTTGCATGCATGAGGCCCTGGGTTCCATTCCTCAGCACCACATACACAGAAAAAGCCAGAAGTGGCGCTGTGGGCTCAAGTGGTAGAGTGCTCGCCTTGAGCCAAAGCAGCTCAGGGACGGAGCCCAGGCCCTGAGTTCAAGCCCCAGGACTGGCCAAAAAAAAAGGAGTGCTGGGGGCGCGGCTGGAGAGTGGCCCGGGCTGCGGCACTGAGGAGAGCAGCCCCTCCCCACGCAGCGAGCACCGGGCCGCCCAGACAGCACTGGGACTCAGAATGCGGGCCTGACCTGTGCGGCAACTGTGGGCTTTTGAGCCCCCAGCTCTAGCAAACCAACAACCACCAGATCCTAGGGACTTCGGTCCCTGCACCGGGGAGGCAGCGCTCCTGGGGAGGCAGCGCTCCTGGGGAGGCAGCGCTCCTGGGGAGGCAGTGCTCCTGGGGAGGCAGTGCTGCAGCCCTCAGTGCCGCCCCGCACCTGCCCCCAGCCTGAAGCCACGGGCCGGCAGGGAGAAGCAGGGCCCACAGCAGCCCTGAGGAGGACGGAGCTGGATGGCCACCCCACTCCTGCAGCTGTGTCCTGGCCGGGAGCTTGGCACTGCCCCGGCTGCACATTCCAGTAGGCCCGCAGCTGGCGCTGGCAAACCTTCCCGACAGATGCAAGTCCCTCGTCCGGGCTGCCCCGGGGCCCCATGCCGGCCTGGGTCTGTGCCGGAGTGTGAAAGCAGCCTTTAAGTGAAGACTGGGCATGGCCATGTGCCAATAAAACTTTATTGACAACAGCTGGAGGCATGGCTCAGGAGGTAGAGCGCATCCAAAGAGCAAAAGCCACCAGATACTGAGTCCAAGTACAGGTCTCGGACAAAAGCAAAAACAAAAACTAACAACAAAACTGCTCCTACAAAAAAAAAAAAGTTGGGCACTGAGGCTCACTCCTGTCATCCTAGCTACTCAGGAGGCTGAGATCGGAGGATCACAGTTAGAAGCCAGCCTTATAAGGAAAATCCATGCGATTTACCTCCAATTAAACAGCACAGGGCGGGAATGTGGCTTGGTGGTAGAGTGCTTGCCTAGCATGCGTGAGGCCCTTCATACCACATAAGCAGAAAAGGCTGGAAGTGGTGCTGTGGCTCAAGTGGCAGAGCGCTAGCCTTGAGCTCAGAGAGGCTCAAGGGCAGTGTCCAGGCCCTGAGTTCAAGCCCCAGGATCTACACAAAACAATTAAGGAAAAATAAAAGGAAAACTTACAAAAGCAGGTGGGGGCCAAGTGGGGGGTGACCTGGGGGGTGAGGTGACCAGGGGGTGGAGCCAGATTGCGGGGGGGGGGGTGGCTGGCAGTCTGTGGGGGGGTATGCGCGGGGGGGGGCGACAGTCGGGAAGTGGTCTGCGAGGGGGGGACAGTCAGGGGGGGCGGTCTGAGGGGGGTAGGGACAATTGGGGGGCGGTCTGCAGGGGGGACAGTCGGGGGGAGCAGTCTGCGGGGGGGGGTCTGCGGGGAGAGCAGTCTGCGGGGGGGAGCAGTCTGAGGGGGGTAGGGACAATTGGGGGGCGGTCTGCAGGGGGGCGGTCTGAGAGGGGTGGGGACAATTGGGGGGCGGTCTGCAGGGGGGACAGTCGGGGGGAGCAGTCTGCGGGGGGGGTGTTATGTGGGGGTGGGGACAGTCTAGTGGGAGCAGTCTGCGGGGGGGGGGTCTGCGGGGAGAGCAGTCTGGGGGGGGGAGCAGTCTGAGGGGGGGCGGTCTGCGGGGGGGGGGGGACCAGTCTGCGGGGGGAGGAGTCTGCGGGGGGAGCAGTCTGAGGGGAGTATGCAGGGTGGGGACAGTCGGGGGGAGCAGTCTGCGGGGGGGGGAGCAGTCTGCGGGGGGGGGGTGTTATGTGGGGGTGGGGACAGTCTAGTGGGAGCAGTCTGCGGGGGGAGCAGTCTGCGGGGGGGCGGTCTGCGGGGGGGGGACCAGTCTGCTGGGGGGGAGCAGTCTGAGGGGAGTATGCAGGGTGGGGACAGTCGGGGGGAGCAGTCTGTGGGGGGGTGTTATGTGGGGGTGGGGACAGTCTAGTGGGAGCAGTCTGCGGGGGGAGCGGTCTGCGGGGGGGCGGTCTGCGGGGGGGGGAGCAGTCTGCGGGGGGGGAGCAGTCTGCGGGGGGGGGAGCAGTCTGCGGGGGGGGGAGCAGTCTGCGGGGGGAGCAGTCTGCGGGGGGGGGGGGAGCAGTCTGCGGGGGGGGGAGCAGTCTGCGGGGGGGCGGTCTGTGGGGGGGGGGACCAGTCTGCTGGGGGGGAGCAGTCTGAGGGGAGTATGCAGGGTGGGGACAGTCGGGGGGAGCAGTCTGTGGGGAGGTGTTATGTGGGGGTGGGGACAGTCTAGTGGGAGCAGTCTGCGGGGGGGGGGGGGGGAACAGTCTGCGGGGGGGCGGTCTGCGGGGAGGAGCAGTCTGAGGGGGGTATGCAGGGTGGGGACAGTCGGGGGGAGCAGTCTGTGGGGGGGTGTTATGTGGGGGTGGGGACAGTCTAGTGGGAGCAGTCTGCGGGGGGAGCAGTCTGCGGGGGGGCGGTCTGCGGGGGGGGGAGCAGTCTGCGGGGGGGCGGTCTGCGGGGGGGGGCGGTCTGCGGGGGGGGAGCAGTCTGCGGGGGGGCGGTCTGCGGGGGGGGAGCAGTCTGCAGGGGGGTGTTATGTGGGGGTGGGGACAGTCTAGTGGGAGCAGTCTGCGGGGGGGGGGAGCAGTCTGCGGGGGGGAGCAGTCTGCGGGGGGGGCGGTCTGCGGGGGGGGAGCAGTCTGCGGGGGGGGGAGCAGTCTGCGGGGGGGGGGGTGTTATGTGGGGGTGGGGACAGTCTAGTGGGAGCAGTCTGCGGGGGGGGGAGCAGTCTGCGGGGGGGGGAGCAGTCTGCGGGGGGGGAGCAGTCTGCGGGGGGGAGCAGTCTGCGGGGGGGAAGCAGTCTGCTGGGGGGGAGCAGTCTGCGGGGGGGAGCAGTCTGCGGGGGGGGGAGCAGTCTGCGGGGGGGGAGCAGTCTGCGGGGGGGGAGCAGTCTGCGGGGGGGGGGGGAGCAGTCTGCTGGGGGGGAGCAGTCTGCGGGGGGGGGAGCAGTCTGCGGGGGGGGAGCAGTCTGCGGGGGGGGGGAGCAGTCTGCGGGGGGGGAGCAGTCTGCGGGGGGGGAGCAGTCTGCGGGGGGGGAGCAGTCTGCGGGGGGGGTGTTATGTGGGGGTGGGGACAGTCTAGTGGGAGCAGTCTGCGGGGGGAGCAGTCTGCGGGGGGGCGGTCTGCGGGAAGGAGCAGTCTGAGGGGAGTATTCAGTGTGGGGACAGTCTGGGGGGAGTAGTCTGCGGGGGGCGGGGACAGTCGGGGGGGGGGGGGTCTGCAGGAGCACCTGAGGCTCTGGGGAGGGGCGGACTTCCCTCAGGGCCTGGGAGGCTCCCTCCGGCCCGACCCTCACTGAGTGGGAGGTTCTGGGGTGCCCATCCCACAGAGCACATAACCCAGGATCCCCACCTTGGGGACCCCGAAGGGTCTGCAGGAGGCTTTGCTGTCCACGCAGGCCTTGAGCCAGGTCGGCTGGGGCCCAGTGCTCCATCGGGAATGTACCCACAAATCCCAGCACAGCTCTGGGGAAATCTTGGGCCATCAGTACACATCCCCAGGGACCTTGCTGTTTTGAAACACAAACACTGCTGAGGACAACAGGCATGACCATGGCTCCCACAACAAGAACGCAGGGACACAGAGAGGGTGAATGAGTTGCCCAAAGACACCCAGCACACCAATACACGGCATCAAGTAATCACGACCCCACACACTAGCCTGGAAGCTACAGGGGGCACAAGGGGGAGGGGGCATTGGCGCTGGGCTGTCAGGTGGCGTCCTGGGGGCTGTGGGCAATCTAACGATCCCACACAGAACATAGCAGCTTTCTAGCAGTGAGGGTGAGAGGACAACTGAACCCTGACCCCAATCAAAGCCAACACCGAGCACCCTCGTGCACTGTGACCTCACACCCAGCCATCAGCTAGGCTGTGTCTCACAGTGGGGCCAGAAGCACAAGGCCTTCCGGCCAGGGCTGGTGACAATGGCAGTGGCCGGCACCAGGCCCTCCACGTGGGCCGCAAACACCCACCAGTGCTGGTCTCCCGCTGGGATGTGTCCCGTGGGCCGGCTCCGGCCTCGTGCGGGCCGGCTCCGGCCTCCCGCGGGCTGGGCTCCGGCCTCCCGCGGGCCGGGCTCCGGCCTCGTGCGGGCCGGGCTCCGGCCTCCCGCGGGCCGGGCTCCTGCCTCCCGCGGGCCGGTCTCCGGCCTCGTGCGGGCCGGGCTCCGGCCTCCCGCGGGCTGGGCTCCGGCCTCCCGTGGGCCGGCTCCGGCCTCGTGCGGGCCGGCTCCGGCCTCGTGCAGGCCGGGCTCCGGCCTCCCGCGGGCTGGGCTCCGGCCTCCTGCGGGCCGGGCTGACCCCGGCCCAAGCTCCACATCAGATCCCGACTCAGACCCTGTGCGGCTGCCAGAACAGAGCCACGCGCCTCCTGGCAGCCGCCCTGCTCTGCCCCCTGGCAGAGGTGAGCTGGGAGGGGAGGCACCGGGCAGCTGGAGGAGGAACAGGCCCAGGCTACAGGGAGACAGGTGCAGGGCTGAGCGCAAGAGGGCCACGCCACAGGGAGCAACACAGAACGGAAGAGGGCAACCATCAGCCAACAGTGCCCTCATCTCACAGGGAGCGGAGGGTCGAAGGTCGGGGGCTCACCCTCCCCCCCACCTCCCCCCACCCTCCTCTGGACAAGGCATGGCCATGGAGCCCAGGAAGAAGCTTCCTGCCCGTCTCCTCGTGCTGTCTCCGTGGAAAGGCCACCGGGGGACCTGACCTGGTCCACCATGACCCCCTCCTGCCCCTGCCCCCTTCTCTGTGGCAAAATGGCCTCCCTCCAGGACATGCATCCTTGGTCACAGCCCAGCACAGTGCTGCACTGGCCTGTGCCCGGCTGTCCACCAGCACACACAGCTGGCTGGCCACTGGCCACTGGCCGCAGCGATCCTACGCCTGGCTCTGCGATTCGTTGGGGTAACGGAACACGCCCTTCCGTCTGGACCACAAAGGACGAGCCGCAGTCTGCACAGCGCACGCCACAGCTGGGGTGAGGCAGGGCCCTGCCTGGCCAGGGACAGGGTGGGGGGCGGGGGCTACTGCCTAAGTGAGGGTCGGCAAAGGGGCCGCCCCTCCCTCTCTGAGCCCAGAAGCCTCAAAAGGTAGACCCGCACTGAGCAGCGGCTCGAAGCCCGTCCAAACGACAGGTCTCACGTGTCTGAGGGGTGGGCGGGCCGGCCAGCTGTGGCTGGAGATGTGGACACCGCAGGCACAGACAGCCATGCTCGCAGCCCTGCCGGCCAGGGCCGACGTGAGGTCCTGGGCTCCGGGCTGCCCAAAGGGGATGCAGGCAGCACGGTTTACCGCTGCCACCAGAAAAGCTTCCTAGCTGGTCACGTACATGACAGGAGACGGCTGTGTCTTGGACAGAGACCTCCCCTCCCCCTGAGGAGAAGACAGCCAAAACTGTCCCCTCTCTCCATCTCTCCAACACCAATCACGGGGACCCTAGGCCTTTGCCAGAATACCCCAAGTATGTACTCGTTCAGTATTTACTGACTGCTTTCCTGGCCAGCCCGTTCCTGGGGTGCAGGGCTCCATGGCCTTTTCTGTAACAGGAACAGAGAAAGGCATGAACCGCTTGATTTCCCTGGCCGCTGCCATGACAACCCAGACGCTGCTGTGAAGATGTGGTGGCTGAGTTCCAATAAAACTTTATTTACACAAACAGGAAGAGGGCCGGGCTTGGCCCTTGAGCCACCCAGGAAGCAATGTGTTTTTCTCTCAAACAGCCACTAAAATAAACACACAGTGCTATTAAAACTTACAATGCTTGAGCTTGTAAACCACCCCCAGTTGTCCCAGGAAGCCTTTGCTTTGGGAACGTGGCCTTTTAACCACAAGACCCTGCACCACCCAGACTGGAGTCCCGGAAATTTCCAGGCTCAAAAGGAAATGACCAGTTCTCCCGGTTCCATTTCCAGCTTCTAGGAAGGCTGCCACCAGAGAAGCCCTAAGAGCGCCTCAGCTCCTGCTACCACTCACCAGGGCACACCCACACACACACCCACATACACATGTGCATGCACGCACACCCATGCACGCATGTGCGTGCATGCGCACACCCACACGCACACACGTGCACACGCACACATGTACACGCGCACACACGCACACATGTGGACCTGCCCCAGGAGGTGACAGCCCACGCCGTGCTCACCTGGCTTTTGCCACGGCGCCGGTAGCTCCGCCTCACCAGACTCTTGTAGTTCTCATTCTTCTTGGTCAGGTAGTAGTAGAGGACACACTCGGCCACCGTCTGCAGGACAGGGAGAAGGCTGAGCAGGAGGCAGAGGCCGGGTTCAAATCAGGCTCCACCACAGCCCGAGAGGTAACCCAGGTGCCAGGGCTCGGCTTGCGTTGCGGCTGTGGACAGCCGTGGGGAGGCGGGAAGGCCCGCCCTCCACGGGCCGAGGCGTGGGGACCCAGCCACCTGCTTCCGTCCTACCACGAGGACAGTGTCAGCAGCCTGCCCCGGTGTGTGTGAACAAGCTGCAAACCCAGACCTGTCCTTGTGGCCATCCCCCCTTCCTGACAACGCCCGGCCTCTGAGCAGCCCCCCCCAGCCCTCACCCATCGGGACCCAAACGATGTGCCACAGGCACTTGGCACAGGACCCAGTCAGATGCCAGCCCACGAACCTCCCGGTACACTGGGAGATGCTCTGAGACCCCCGGCCAGCGCCAAGCAGGGCACCTTCCCCTCCAGGGGTCTGCCCCCCACCCCCCGGCCCTAAACACAAGGCAGCGACGGCCTTCACCCAGAAAGTACCGCCCACCGAGGCTGCTCTGTGGGGCCACAGCAGCGACCCACAGGGGAGAACATTCTCCAACCAGGCCAACGCTGGCAAAGTGGGCGAGGCGGGTGTGCGGGGCTGAGACCTCGCCCCTGGGCTGGCATGGCAGCTCCGCCTTCTGAAAGCTCCAAGCCTTACCCCAGAGGTCTCTTCAGCAAGAGTGCCACCAAGGCCTCCTGCAGACAGCACCACCACCCAGACGGGGTGCTTCACCCCGAATCTCAGCAGCAGGCCTGCGCGGGGGGGGGGGGAGGGGGGCATCCATCCCCCTGTGAGAGGGGAGGGGAGGGGAGGCTATTTCTAGGGCTGGCTAGGTGAGCAGCAGCCTGCAGAGGGCGGACGCTGGGGTGACAGTTACCCGGCCCAAGGCGTCGAGGCTCAGGGGTGCATACCCATGCTGAGGACCGCACAGGCATGCCCCAAGGTGGGCAGTGGGGACGCCATCCCGCTGTGCCCAGCGCTGCCTCTGGCAGCCCAGCCTCCTGGCACGCTGAGGAGCAGGCCCCGCCCCAGGACACCTGTGTCTCTGCCGATGGGCGCTTCCCCCAGGAGCACTGCAGGCTAGGGCTGGGGGCAGGGTGGGCTCGTGTGTCATTTCCAGAGGAGGGTTTACCCACAGTGGATGGGGGGACATGTTGGCATGGGCCAAGAGTGACACGGGGGTGTCCAAGAGGCAGTGAGCACAGAAAGGCTCTGGATCTCCAGGGTGCGGACCCCACCCACCTGCAAGGCCTTCACTGGGCCTCCAGACAAAGCCAAGCTCTCAGACCTGCCCCAGCCTGAGGGCGCTCCTCGGGCCTGCGGGGCTCTGGTCTAGCAGCTCCCCTGAGCTTTCAGGGCTCTGGAAGCCCGAGGCTCCTCCCAGGCCTGGGTGGGGCCGTGCAGCTTCTCCTGAGAAAGGAGGGAGGGGGCAGGGACGCCAGAACCAGGCCAGCAGAGGAGAGGCCGGGCGGGCGGGCGGGCCCTCCCCCGACGGACGCAGGCCCGCCACTCACCTTCCTCTCCAGAAAGGAGGCGATGAGGCCAAAATTCTTGGGATGCTGCGTGAACCTGAGGAAAGAGCAGGGTGGGCCGGAGGTCAGGCCTCGGGGGGCCCTGAGGGGTGCCCGCCATCCCCGGTGCCCGCTCGGAGCTCAAGGCAATTAATCTGGGGGTGTGGGAAGGGCTGCGGCGGCGCGGGCGGGCCCAGGGCGGAAGGCGTTCCTTGGAGTGAGTCACCAGCTGCAGTGCCTTTGAAAATGTATTTGTTTGTCCTGCCGGAGGCTTCCAGGAAAAATGAGGACATGACATGCCTGTCTGTGGGGTCCCCCCACAAGATGGGCTATTGTTTCTCTCCCCAGCTGGACCTGGGAAGCGAGGCCCCAGCCGGCCACAGGCCCACCCGGGCGCGGGGGCGGCTAGCCCCGCGGGGCTTCCCCGGGAGGGCGGGCACTGGCGGGGCGGGCCGGCAGTGCCCGGCAAGGCTGCCTGTGGGAGGGGCCTGAAAGGACAAGGTGGCGGGAGCTGGCACGGCTTCCTGCAAAGCTCGGAAGGTTCCGGGGAAATCACTCAACTGCTGGAATGTCAGGGCCTGGGAACGGGCGGAGGGGATGGCGGGCCCGGCGGACGGGGAGGCGGACAAGGGTGCTGGCTGGGGTCACTGCCCACCCTGGTGTCCCCACAACCTGCCACCACCGTGGGCTTCCTCTGGCAGCAAGTGCCTGGACCTGCCCTGCCAGGCCTCCAGAGGGCCGGGCAGGCAGCCAGCAGGGCCCTTCTGTTCCTGGCTTGTTACTGGGAAACCCACAAGAGCCTCTTCCCCTCGGGGAGGAAGCGGCAGTGCCAGGGCTGCAGGTGGTGACGGGCCGTGCTGATTGTCTAGAGGTCCCGCCCTCCAGACATGGCCAGTCCCACCCTCCAGACCCACAGGAGCCCGCAGACCAGACTTCTCACTTCAGCCGACTCTCTGCCCCTCCCCGCCCCAACAGAACTGCTCTATTTCAGTCAGAACCCTGCCTCCGCTGCTGTGTGGCCCGTAGTAAGCATCTGAACCTCTCTGGGCCTCTGGTGCACTGCCCATGGGATGGGATGGCTTGGCTGGGCTGTTCTAAGGCCCAAGAGGACAAATGAATGAGTGCCGAGACGCCAGGACGCTGCCTGGGCCCAGCCTACACTGATGCCGAGCTGACGCCCACAGGCCCAGGCGGGGTGGGCTCACTTCTCCCGGAAGGTCTCCTTCTCCTGCTCGCTCCACATGTTCATGACTTGGCGGTCCTTGTACACCTTCATGGGGTCATCCATGAGCCCGTTCATGTTGATGAACTTGATCCGCTGCTGGTCTGCGTCGTACAGCATGGGCGGAATGACGGCCAACTGTCGCATCTGCTTCTCCAGGTTCTGCGGCAGAGGGCAGGCGGGCCGGGGTCAGAGGCCAGCCGGCCAGGCGGGCGGGGAGGGAGGCAGGCACCCTCCTGGGAGCCCCGGGCTGCCAGGAAGTGCACACTCCAAGGAGCAAGACACCAACGAGTTAAAAACCACCGACGGCTGGCGCTGGCCGAGGGAGAATTTAAAGGCACTGGGACAGGTTTATGGAGGGCAGGGCAGTAAATTAGAGACTCAGGGCAGCAGCCGCCTCATCGGCAGCAGAAGGCAGCCATGAATTTTCCCTTTGGAAAGGTAACTACCATAAAACACCATAGGGAAGACACACGGCCCAGCTGGGCCCACACTCAGGAGATGGCACTGCCAGGCAGCAGGCCTCTGGGCCAGCTTCCCCAAGGGGCGAGCAAGGGCAGCTGGGAGGAGCCCCAGGCACCAGCCTCACAGCCCCCCAGCCCACACAGCAGAAGGCAGGCAGCGCCCAAAGCAAGGGCTGACTGGAAAGAGGCTGAGCCGCCCTGGCTGGGCCCGTCTCCCAAACCGCCACAGCCAGCCAATCACCGGGGAGGAAGGACATGTCCCCAGAGGCTCAAGGGCCCAAGGCGTCCACTGCTGGCACTGGCCCTCCTAACTCGGGGCTCACGACACTCAGCGGATGGCAATGGGGGCCAGCTCAGGGCTGCGTTCTGAGGAGTCCCAAGCAGCCTTCGTGGTACGCATACCTCTGACCCCCCTTGGCTGCCAGAAAGGCAACTGGCACCGGCCACGGATCGCCCGCTGGGGCTCCTTCCGCCGATGCCCTGTCCTGGCCGGGCGCCTTCTGACTGGGAGCCTTCCCGGAGGATGGATGGCGTCCCTGCCCGTGCCGGCCTCCCTCCCAGGCTCCCAGGGGAACGCAGGGAGGCTTGGGAAATTTCTTTCTCCAATTCTATTCCCAACCCTCACTCCCAGAAATAGCTCACTCGACGGGCTGTGTGGGGCCAGGGCGCAGCAGGGCCCTGCTGGAGTGGGTGACACTCAGCCTAGAAACACCCAGCTCTAGCTGTCAGTCCAGGACACACAGAGGGGAACTTCCTTCCTGTCTGCCCACGAAACCCACCTCTCCACCCACAGGCAAGACGGGGGCCACGCGGCTGTGGCACGGCTGCCCCGGCTCTGCTTCTACCCAGCGGCCACTGTTTGGGAGCGAGTATATCACCAGGTGTTACAATTAGGACTTTTCTTGAAAGGCCCGCAGGCCTCTGTGAACCACCTGCATCCCATCACTCTGGACGGGGCTCCGGGGAGACTGAGGTCTGGGCCGGCCCAGTGTGCTGTCCAGGGAGGGGGCGCGGGCCCCAGGAGTTCCACTGAAAGACCAAGCTTTTCCTTTCATTCCATCGTCACCAACTTCAAGTTACAAACAGCCAAGAGCAGGACAGCTGGCCTGGGCAGGGCAGAAGCTGCCCCTCTGAGCCAAGTCTCCAGGGAGGAAAGAGGTGGGGTCTGTGCTGAACACTGGGAATAAACGTGTCTCCAGCCTGGCTCGCAGACAGGCCGGGAAGGAAGGCCCCTCTGTGTCCTGGCGAGCACGGCCGGCATCACCGAGCTGGCTTCGAGGGGGCTGGGTACCTGGCAAAGCCTGCGAGAATGCCTGTCAGAGACAGACTCCTGTGGGAGGGTCTCGCGGTGCGCTCTGCGGTCAGCCCCAGCTTCCTGCTGCCGGGGCACCAGTGGCCACACAAGCCAGTGATCCTGCCGGCCCCTCCCACACTCCGTGGGGACCCCTCTGCAGGCCACCACTGCCCGTGGCTGCTGGCCCCTGGGGCCTCTACCTGCACCCCACATTCCTGTGGCACCTCACTAAGCACTTCCTGCTGCTGCAGCTGCAGCACAGGGAAGTGGGCGGGGCCAGGGCTGCACTTACCTCCTGCTCCGAGAGGCCGTCAATGATCTCAGACACCTCATGCTCGCTGCGGGCGGCCGACATGGAGAGTCCGCTGCCCCGCTGCCCCACACGGCTGCAGACCAAAGGGATCCAGTCAGGACCGGCCCACCGGCCAGAGTCCTGGGCAGCATCTCAGGGGAACCCTGAGCCCACAGCAGCCTGGAAGGCCACAGAGCTGGATGGCGGGTGACAGGAGGCTGTGCTGCACTGCCAATCCCAGACTCAGGGACCCAGAGAAGGCTGCCCCCGCCCCGCCCATACCGATTCCTAAAGCCAGCCTGAAGACGCAGTGAGACCTGGCACAGATCCTGTAAGCAAAGTCACTCTGTGCCTTGGTCTCTCCACAACGATGGGGATTAACGGGTGGCAGCAGCCGCCTGTCTGATTTTTGGCCGCTGTTCCTAGCGAGCAATGGCTGATCGCTAAGAATAAACAGCAGCCCTCGTCCCCACGCCCTGCCCACGGCCCACCCTCACAGCCGTCACGGGAAATAGGCCCATCCACAGCTCCTGCACAGGGACTCAGACACAGCCGCCCCTCCATCTGGCAAGCTGCACACGGAAGCGAGGGGCAGGTATGATCTGCGGCCCTCAAAAGGAACACTGGTCCCACCGACACAGGGCTGGGTTCTGAGCATCCCAGAGAGCAGCAGTGCGAGCAGGCGGTGGGCCTGTGCTGTCCCAGTGCTTGTGGGAGGGGCAGCCCCTCACCATGCGGTGGGCACGCGCCTGTGCTAGCTGGTTCACCTCTGCACAAGCGTGCTTCCACCAGAGGTCCTGCCCCGCCGCAAGACCTGCTCCATCCTTGAGGGCCTGCCCACATCTCCATCGCTCCCCGCCTGCTCTGCCAGGCTGGGCCAGGGCTTTGTCCACAAGGTCACACCTCCTCCACATGGCCCCACCGGCCAGTGACCGCACCTTCCGCAAGGACATGCATCCTGGCCCGCCCCTCCCACAAGGCCCCGCCCCTCGCTGTGGCTACCTCCTCTAGGACACGCCCCCGGCTTGTCCCTTCCACGCAGCCCCAGGCACCGTGACCACACACACGCACACGCAGCCCCAGGCACCGTGACCACACGCACACACACGCACACACAGCCCCGCTCACCTCTGCATGCGCTCCTGCAGCTCCCGCTGCTTGCGGATCTCGGGGAACTGCTTCTCGTAGTACTCCCGCACCTTGCTCTCCTTGGCACGCCGCCGTGGGTTGTTCTCAATGCGCTCCACCTTCTTCTCCCAGGCCTCCATGAGCTGGTCATAGCGCTGGCAGAACTTCTGCTCCTGTGGGCCAGGCGGCGTCTCTGAGTGCCCCGGCTCCTGCTGCCCACTCACGCTTGCACAAATATACAACACTTGCATACACACACACACACACACACACAACAGAGGCAGACAGATGCACACTTACACAGATCCAAACACAGGCCAGCATGGGCAAAGGACACAGAGGCCCCGGCATCCCAGATTCGGGAAAGGGACATGGCCGCGGTCACCTCCTGAGAGGCCTCATCCCGCCACTGGAGAGAGCAGCAGGACTCAAGCTCATGCCTCGGAAGCCTCCGGGCGCCATGGGTGTCACCCAGCCTGGGCAGGTCCTCCCAGCCCTCCAGGGAGTGGGCTGGACAAAGAGGCCCCAGGCATCATGTGGTAAGCTAAGGGCCCTGGGAAGTAGCGCTTCTAGGGAGTTCTTGTTCCTGGGCCTCACAGCCCCCATTCCCAGCCCGAGCCCAAACCCCAGAGGGCCCTGCCATCCTGTCAGGACAAGGCCCTATCCAAGTCGAACCATGGTGCAGCCTGCTCCACAGCCCTCTATCAGCCCAGACATGCCAGGCCTCTCCTTCTCCTCGGAGTAGCCTGGGCCAGCCTGTGCAGGCCCGTCCTGCAAGGTCCTGCCATCCCCAGCTCCCCACACCGGCCTGGGACTTCAGCACCAGGCTCTCTGGCTGGCCAGGAGGACATGGTTCCTGGGACCTGTCGCCTGACCACTCACCCATTGCTTGCGGGCGTGGTTCCGGCGTTTGAAGTACAGGATCAGCTTCTTCCGCATCGCCTGGTTTCTGTGGGTGGGAGAGGTCAGCCTCAGACTGCAGGGCAGCGGCCCAAACCCGCCCAGGCTGCTGGGGGGTGAGGTGCAGACATGGGGCGGCTCCAGTGGGACCACCAGCGCCACAGACAGCGAGGCCGACCTCGGTCCCCAGCCCCTGCCTGAGGCCTGGCAATCCCAGGCTTCGACCTTTGTAAACTGCCCAACACATGCCCAGGACCCTAACTGGGGTCCCGCCGCTGCTCCTGGGTGGGGCCTGGCCAGCCCTGGGCTCTGCCCTGGCCTCCATGGCATCCCATCCAGTGCTGGGCGCAGGCCTGGGAAAGCCGCAGGGGGCTCGGGGCTGGGGCCGGCGGCCACGCCCCCTCTCACGGTGGGGGTGGGAACAGGCTTATACCACCAGCAGCCGGCAGGGAGGTATGCAAAGACGGACAGAGAGATCAAGACACAAGGAGTCCCAGAGACCAAGTGATAGGATCCAGAGATGGGGACAGAGACTGGAGACACGGGGAGTGGAGATCAAAAGAGGAGGGCAGACACCTGGGGACGGACAAACAGACGCAAGATGGGGGAGGGGGGGCAGAAGGGAAGTCACAGCCTTAGAGGAAAAGGACACAGACTTGAGGGAAGATGCTCAGCAGAGCAAACGAGGGATGTGGACACCCCGCGTCAGCCAGCCCGAGGACTCCGGGCCCCCAACCCTGACACACAAGCCGGAAGCCACAGTGAGTGTCCAGGGCATCGGGGGCCGAGACAGGAGCCAGGACTGCCGCCTCCCTGAACCGATCCCCAATGCAGGTGCACGGCCTTCCTGGGGAGGGTCCCCACGTGCCCCAACCAACAGAAAAGCCACCCTGGTACTGACCCCAGGAGGGCATCACCCTGTGACCTCCAAGACCCTGATTTAAAAGGACAAGAGGAAGCCGGGCGCCGGTGCCTCACGCCTGTCACCCTAGCCACTCAGGAAGCTGAGATCTGAGGATCACGGCTCAAAGCCAGCCCAGGCAGGAAAGTCCGTGAGACTCTTATCTGTAATAAACCACTAGGGAACCAGAAGTGGTGCTGTGGCTCAAGAGGTAGAGCGCTATCCTTGAGCTAAAGAGTTGGGGGACAGCGCCCCACGACCGACAAAAAGAAAGACAAGAGGAGCAGCAAGGCACCATGCCCAGGGCCAGCAGGCCCGGACCACCAGCCTTGGCCTCCCGGGGCATGCACGAGGCCCCGGCCCCCCCCATGGCGCAGCAGGCCTTGGGGTCCCCGCGCTCCAGCCCACTGTATCCTGAGCACATCTCACAAGGTTTCCCCACCAGCATCCAACATCCATCATCCAGCAGCGTCCCCTTGGGACTGCCCTGGCTTGGAGGGGGAGTGGGGGGAGGGGGGAGGGGAGGGGGGAGACAGACATGAGGAGTGAGTCAGGTGGCGACCCAGGCACCGCCGGGGTCAAGCAGTCACCTGGCAAGGGGCCCAAGATGGGGGCTAGAGCTCAGGGTTGCGGTGGAGCAGAGGCCTCCCAGGGGGACGTGAGCTGAGGGGCATCTGGTCAGCAGGGCCAGCTGGGGGGCCCCTGGCAGCCCACACTACAAGCACAAAAGGGAAGGTCAACTGGGCGCCAGTGGCTCACGCCTGTAATCCCACTACTCAGGAGGCTGAGATCTGAGGATCAAAGTTCAAAGCCAGCCCGGGCAAGAAAGACTGTGAGACTCTTATCTCCAATAAACCACCAGAAAACAGGAAGTGGTGCTGTGGCTCAAATGGTGGAGCGCTTTCCTTGAGCTGAAGAGCTGAGGGACAGAGCCCAGGCCCAGAGTTCAAGCCCCATGACCGACAAAAAAAAGAAGTAAAGCTTAGAGCAACCTCAGCACATGAAGCAAGTGAAGACCAGAGCACCAGGGAGGGACACGGGACACGGAAACTGGACATGGGACAGGGGACAGATGGGAGACACCGAGACACAACACCCAGGTCCTGGTTCTAACGCTTCTCTCCAGGGAGTGGTGGGGCTTCCTGGAGCAATGGTAAGGTCCAGGGCCAGACTAGCACAGGAGCCCAGATGACTGCAAACAGCCAGAAAAGGAGAAGGGGGTCAAAATGATGTGTGATCCGTTGACACCAGAGTGTAAGATAAACTCCAGCACAGATGAAATAAACGGCTGCACAAACAAACTGGGGGCGGCAGGGATGGGGGTGATCCACAGGGGGTGATCTGCAGGAGAGACAGAGCAACAGAGCTAATCTCAGCCTCAGCTGGACCCTCAGGTGGACGCAGCATTGGAGGAGACACTGGCAGGGCCTGCAAGTGTGTCAATGCAGAGGTGATCAGTGATGCACTTCACTGTCCACGGATTCAGTGTTTCCCTCACGTGTGCACGCGCGCGCGCACACACACACACACACACACACACGGGTAGGCTGCACCTAAGCACTGGTTTCTACACAAAGCATGGAGGGACCCTCAGCAGTCCCTGAGCGATGGTCACCCTCGTGACCCCCAGTCCCCAGCTCACACCTCATGACGCCCTGACATGCAGGCCAGGGGTGGTGACGGTCAGGGCCTGCCAGCCAGTGCTGCACAGGGGGACAGACGCTGGGCAGGAAGGCAGGGGCAGAGCCTGCATGGCTCCTGGAGGGTCTGCCGGGGATGTGGGGGTAGAAGGAGAGCTGGGGGTGATCGGGGGCTCCTCCAGGGGGAGGAGGTTTGAGCAGAGCAATGGGGAGGGACAGAGTGGGGGCAGGGAGAGGAGGCTACGTCCCAGGGATGTGGAGGGGTGAAGGGGGTCAGGGAATGCACCCCTGCATGCTGGAGAAGAGACATGGTGAGCAGGGCCCCTGAGGTGTCCTAAAAACCCTGGAAGAGCCCGATGGCCCCGGTGACGAGTGACCCATGGCAAGAACCCTGACAGAGATCGTCCGAGGTCACCTAGGACCCAGGAGGGACAGCGCGGTTCCACAGGTCCGGCCGCTCTAGGGCTTGGCTCTGTGGCTCTGGGCAAGTGACTTGGCATCTCTGAACCTCCACAGACCAAAGAGTTCTGCTAAGGACGCTCTGGGCCTGACAGAGCAGGAGGAAGAGTAACCAGGCCAAGAAAGAGCACAGGGAAGGAAGGCGCAGGCTTTGGGGCCCAGAGGACCAGAGGCCCGGGGCCAGTGCCAGCCAAGAAAGCCAGGGCTCCACGTGGGCGGAGGTGCTCAGGCTCCACGTGGGTGGGGCAAAGCTCCTCACCAGTGCCCAATGCTCCGCCTTTTGCCAGTCACAGGATGCTCAGGAAGCTGGCGTGCCAGGGGCTGGACCTGGCAGACCCCAGCCAGCCCTGCCATGTGCTCCAGGCCGTCCCTGCCCGGCGGCCAGGCTGGCGCCTCTGCGGGCGAGCACAGGTGACCTCCGCACGTCCCAGACCTCCGCGCGCAGGAAGCCGAGCGTGAAATGAGCTTCACCACCGCAAGGCCGGCACACAGACACAGAGAAATTAAAGTGACAGGCCCGGTCCCCGGGGAGCGGGTGACCTCCCACCTAGAGGCAATTACAGCAGCGGGGGAGGGGAGACGCTGAGCGGTGAGGGGGGGCTGGTGGCGCCCGCCGCAGGCCCCGCCAGGTCGATCTTGCCGCGCTTGTCACCGCGTGTCACGGCTGCCACCTGCCACGTGCACAGCAAGTGCATCTGTCTCCCCCACTGTGATGTCAGGCCCGGTCCCCCGCCGCCCCTCCAGGCCCAGCCAGGGCTGGCACAGAGAAGGAAGGAGGGGAGGGGAGAGGGGAAGGGGGGAGAGGGCAGGGGAGGGGAGATAACCTGCTCTACCTCGGCACACACACACACACACACACACACACACGGGACCAAAGTGCAGCTTTCCCGCCTAAGTCTCAGAGCTCAGCACACGACCCAGGCACGCCGGGGCAGCCAGAGTGGCCTGTGTCACCCCTGTCTCCCAACCAGGAAACCGAGGCAGGAGGAGCCAGTGGCCAGCCATGCAGACATGCTGCTTGTCAGAGGAGCCCGGAGCCCCACGCCCCAGGTCGCAGAGGGACGGACTGACATCCACAGCGCCAGCGCCGCCTCCAAGCTCCTGCGAGGCTGTCACCCGAGGCCCCTGGGTCCCTCCCGTCACCCTGCCCAGGGTCACAGGGGCTTAAAGCGGATGCATGACGCCCACCAGCTGACTCAGGAATGATCACACGAAACTCAGAAAGGGGAAGGGTGCTCTTGGTGCAAAGTGGAGAAAACCCAGCAAGAGTCTGCTGACAACATGTGCACAACGGTCCTGGCTGACAAGAGACGCACTGCATGCGTGTGCACAACAACGGTCCCGGCTGACAAGAGAGAGACGCACTGCATGCGTGTGCACAACGGTCCCGGCTGACAAGAGACGCACTGCATGTGTGCGCACAACGGTCCCGGCTGACAAGAGACGCACTGCATGCGTGTGCACAACAACGGCCACGGCTGACAAGAGACGCGCTGCATGCGTGTGCACAACTGTCACAGCTGACAAGAGATGCACTGCATGCGTGTGCACAACGGTCCCGGCTGACAAGAGACGCACTGCATGCGTGTGCACAACGGTCCCGGCTGACAAGAGACGCACTGCATGCGTGTGCACAACAACGGCCACGGCTGACAAGAGACGCGCTGCATGCGTGTGCACAACTGTCACAGCCGACAAGAGACGCACTGCATGTGTGCACACAATGGTCCCGGCTGACAAGAGACACACTGCATGTGTGTGCACAACGGCCACGGCTGACAAGAGACGCGCTGCATGCGTGTGCGCACAACGGTCCCGGCTGACAAGAGACGCACTGCATGTGTGCGCACAATGGTCCCGGCTGACAAGAGACGCACTGCATGCGTGTGCACAATGGTCCCGGCTGACAAGAGACGCACTGCATGTGTGCACACAATGGTCCCGGCTGACAAGAGACGCACTGCATGTGTGCGCACAACGGTCCCGGCTGACAAGAGACGCGCTGCATGCGTGTGCACAACTGTCACAGCTGACAAGAGACGCACTGCATGCGTGTGCACAACGGTCCCGGCTGACAAGAGACGCACTGCATGCGTGTGCACAACGGTCCCGGCTGACAAGAGAGAGACGCACTGCATGTGTGCGCACAACGGTCCCGGCTGACAAGAGACGCGCTGCATGTGTGTGCACAACGGTCCCGGCTGACAAGAGACACACTGCATGCGTGTGCACAACTGTCACAGCTGACAAGAGACGCGCTGCATGCGTGTGCACAACGGTCCCGGCTGACAAGAGACGCGCTGCATGTGTGTGCACAAGGGTCCCGGCTGACAAGAGGCACACTGCATGCGTGTGCACAACGGTCCCGGCTGACAAGAGACGCGCTGCATGCGTGTGCACAACGGTCCCGGCTGACAAGAGACGCGCTGCATGCGTGTGCACAACAACGGCCACAGCTGACAAGAGACGCGCTGCATGCGTGTGCACAACGGTCCCGGCTGACAAGAGAGAGACGCACTGCATGTGTGCGCACAACGGTCCCGGCTGACAAAAGACGCACTGCATGTGTGCACACAATGGTCCCGGCTGACAAGAGAGAGACGCACTGCATGTGTGCACACAATGGTCCCGGCTGACAAGAGAGAGACGCACTGCATGTGTGCGCACAATGGTCCCGGCTGACAAGAGACACACTGCATGCGTGTGCACAACTGTCACAGCTGACAAGAGACGCACTGCATGTATGCGCACAACGGTCCCGGCTGACAAGAGACACACTGCATGCGTGTGCACAACGGTCCCGGCTGACAAGAGACGCGCTGCATGCGTGTGCACAACGGTCCCGGCTGACAAGAGACACACTGCATGCGTGTGCACAACGGTCCCGGCTGACAAGAGACGCGCTGCATGCGTGTGCACAACAACGGCCACGGCTGACAAGAGACGCGCTGCATGCGTGTGCATAACGGTCCTGGCAAGCCTCCTGTGCACTCATGTGGGCTGATATAAAGAATCCACTTGAAAAAAAAACCCACTTGCCGCGCACCGATGGCTCACGCCTGTCATGCTAGCTACTCAGGAGGCTGAGATCTGAGGATCATGGTTCAAAGCCAGCCCGGGCAGGACAGTCCGTGGGACTCTTATCTCCAATAAACCCCCAGAAAACCGGAAGTGGCGCTGGGGCTCAAGCGGTAGCCCGCTTGCCTTGAGCTGAAGAGCGCAGGGACAGCGTCAAGGCTCAGAGTTTAAGACCCATGACCGACAAACGACAAAAAAAAAAAACCCACCATTCACAGACACATTGGCCATGCGGCTGACCGCCCGCCGGAAGTTCCAAGGGCTCGCTGTGCTCTAGACGCTGTGAGGGTGCTCCTGCCCTCCCCAGGGCTGCCCCCCGAGACCCCCCCAGGGCTGCCCCCTGGCCCCCCCAGGGCTGCCCCCCGAGACCCCCCAGGGCTGCCCCCCGGCCCCCCAGGGCTGCCCCCCAGCCCCCCCAGGGCTGCCCCCCGAGACTCCCCCAGGGCTGCCCCCCGAGACCCCCCAGGGCTGCCCCCCGGCCCCCCAGGGCTGCCCTCCGAGACCCCCCCAGGGCTGCCCCCAGACCCCCAGGGCTGCCCCCCGGCCCCCCAGGGCTGCCCCCCGGCCCCCCAGGGCTGCCCTGCTAACGCACTCAGCAAACACAGCCCCTTCTTCAGTTGTGAAAAGCCCCAATGTGAGCCCAGGCTGTGGGGACCCCCAGTTTCTATCTCAGGCCTCAAGCGGAGACGGGGGTGCCGGGTGCACCACCACTCCCAGCCTCAGCGGCTCCCACGGAGCGCGGGGCTCATGCTCTTCTACCGAGAGGAAGATGGAGCTGCGTTTTCTCTCGGGACCCAGTGCACCATGACTGAGTGGATGGACGGATGGATGAATGGACGGATGCCAGGCAGCTCTGATTTCCTGGGGAAGCCCCTGCCCCGAGGGCAGCGTGGCTAGGCCCTTCACTCTTACCCAGCACCCCTGCAGGCCCTGGCGGCAGGACGGGACCCAGTGCACCCTCATGGGGGACTCAGGGCCTCTCCCACACGCCTGCGCCCCCAGCCAGTGAGGTAGCACCTCCCAGCGGCCCGGGAGCCATAGGAGCAGCCACGGCTGACCGCAGCGGCCATGCGGCCCTCCAGACCCCAACCCCAGAGTAGACCCCGCCCGAGATTCCCACACCAGCGGCTGGGACCCCCAGAAGTGTGCAGGTGGGTGCTCAGCACCGCGCCTGCCCTGTGCTCCACCCGGCGGAGCTTGGAGGCCTGCCGTGAACAGTCCCCTCCCAGGAGCCCCCAGGAGAGCGGACTCTAGTTCACACATCCCAAGAAGCCAGCGCCCACCCGGCAACTGCCCCCAACACAGCCAGCGTCCCCGCCACACCAGCTGTGCGGCACACAGGGGGCTCTCTCCCCTCCTTGCCTCTAGATAGAAAAGCCCACCACTGGGACCCACCCTGCCAGCCCCAGAGCCGCCACCCACCCCACACTGGTTGTGACGCCCCCTCAGCCGGCCAGGACCACGCGTGTGCCCACTGGCCTTGCCCCTTGCCGGCGCGGGCCTCAGCTGAGCACCGCACCCCACGCCAGCCCCCGGCTGAGCTCCCCACCCCACGCCAGCCCCCAGCTGAGCTCCCCACCCCACGCCAGCCCCCGGCTGAGCTCCCCACCCCACGCCAGCCCCCGGCTGAGCTCCCCACCCCACGCCAGCCCCCGGCTGAGCACCCACCCCACGCCAGCCCCCGGCTGAGCACCGCACCCCATGCCAGCCCCCGGCTGAGCACCCACCCCACGCCAGCCCCCGGCTGAGCACCGCACCCCACGCCAGCCCCCGGCTGAGCACCGCACCCCACACTGGCCCCGGCTGAGCACCGCACCCCACGCCAGCCCCCGGCTGAGCACCCACCCCACGCCAGCCCCCGGCTGAGCACCACACCCCACGCCAGCCCCCGGCTGAGCACCCACCCCACACTGGCCCCGGGAGCGAGCCCACGGCCCGGGTCCCAGGAGCGGCTGGCACTCACATTTTGATGTTCTCATGGTACTGCCGCGTGTCAGAGGGCTGGTTGTACAAGGGCTGCAAAGAGAGAGAGGCAGGTCAACACTGAGGCTGGGGCCCTGGAGAGGGGAACAGGGGCTCTGTGCCTGCACCCCAGAAACCCCAGTCCTGGAGCCGTCACGGGCCCAGCGACTGGCCGCAGGGAACAGGGCCACGGGCAGGCGCTGGGCTGGGAAGGCCGGGACTTGCTCTTCTGGCCCGGGTGGCCGCTCTGTGGGGTGCAGTGGTGCCAGTCTGTGGGGGTCACAGCCCAGGAAAAGCCTGGGCTCCTCCGCCACTCCACACAGGGGCCCTCATGCTTCTTGGGTGCCATGGAAACCTGCTGCCCCGCACTGGCCACCTTTCAGGTCCATGGGTGAAGAGGGTCACGGGGCTACTGTGCACCCGTGCCACACCCGGTGGGAACCCAAGCCAGGTCCACACGTGCCTGTAGCTGGCCGCAGGGTGGAGGCTGAGCTCACCACCCAGTGCCTCCTGCCCGCACGCAGCACTGCAGCAGAGGATGATGGCAAAGCCTGGGTTCGAACTCTGGCTCTGCCACTCTGGCTGGCGACCGGGCTGTGACCAGGTGCGGCCACCGTGTGAGCTGTGCAGACTCCCCAGCTCCCACACACCGACTAGCTGAGCAAAAGCAGAGGCGTGGGAAAGCGGGTCTGTGGGAGGCGGGCAGAGACGGCTTGGGGTACAGGCCCACAGACCCAGCCACGGCCTTGCCGGGACCCCCCAGCTGACCACAGGGTGGTGAGCTGCCACATGAAGCGGTGATGCTGCCTGCTGAGGAAAGCAGCTCACAAATACCAACACCGCCCGACTCACCCGTGCTCGCCCACAGCGAGCACGGGAGGACCGCAGAGAGGTGGTCAGTGGGCAAGGGTCTGCGCTGCCGGCGTCTGGCCGGCTCCCTCCCTGTCCACCCACGGGCCCCAGGAGACGGGAGGAGCTCACGCGGAGCGGACGCCACCAGGTCCTGGGCCTCGGGCCCCGCGGTGCACTTCGGGCACGGCCAGACCCAACCCATCCTGACAAACTGCCAGGGGGGCCAAGCAGCGGCAGGGAGGAACCCACGCCAGCCCGAGGGGCTTGGCAGCCCTCATTTGGTCTTAGGACAATGGCTGGTGGGAGCTGGAAAGAGCCAAGACTCAGGTGTGGGTGACGCAGGGAGGAAAGGCCACAGCACCCGCCCCTCGTGCACCAGAGCGCCGAGTGCGGCGGCCCCGCCGTGAGGATGTCAGAGGCAGGAGCGAGGGGACCCCGCGGAGCAGACGGGATGGGGCGCGCTGGACCCCCAGACAAGGCCCCGTGGCCATCCTGGAGGAGGGACGGGGGGGGGGGGCCATAGGCGCGCCCAGGCCTCAAGCCGCCGAGGAAGGCGGCCCTCAGGCTCCGGACACCCCACACCTCTGCGCTGAGCCCAACCTGGTGGCCATGGCAGTTTTAAAGTAAAGGCCTCCTCACCAAAGCCCAGAAGAGCGAGGAAGCCCCTGGCAGGCAGGGCAGGGTGACTGAGAGACCCGAACCCGGGCCTCTCTGCAAAGAGGGGGTGCAGCATGTGGATGCAGAGCAGAGACGGCAGAAACAAGGTGCTGGTCTGATCAAGGAGACCAGGAAGGCGGGGGGCGGGGGGAGGCATGGCTCCAAGACAGCTTTGGGGTTACCCCGGAGACAGGTGCCCGGGGGACTTGGCTGGCAACAGCCGGTGTCAGTGGGGCCTCTGCCCTGGGCGACACCAAGCGCTCAAAATAACACTCCGAGCAGGAAGGAAGCAGACGAGGAGCAGCAGGAGGGAGGCCGCACCTGCTGGCCCCAGCCTACCTCCCCGCCCCCCCGCCCCACACAGGGCACACGCGGGGCCCAGGGCACCAAGGGGGTGGCAGAGTCCCATAGCCTGGCGGTCCTCCCTCAGCCGCGAGCCCCTCCCTCCCGGAGGTCCCCAGCCATGGGGGCCCCGACTCCTCTCCATGCCGAGGCCCTGGACTCCCAGCTGGTCCCCGTTCCAGCCACGGAGGACAGCCAAGACCAAAGCAGTGCCACAAACTCACACGCCCACCTCACCTTTACTGTGTGGCTCTGAGCAACACACTGCCCTCTGTGCCGCCACACAGGAGAGCCGAGGCTGTATTCCCGCTGCAGGCCACCGAGCCGACAGCCCTGCAGGGGCCTCTGCCCACGACCCCAGCAGGACACCCCCCCGCCCCCCGCCAAAAAAGCCTGCAGCTCTGCTGTGCTGTGCTGTAGCCTGGAAGCATGGCTCACCAGACAAGCCTGTGTGCCCCTGCCACACCCTGAGCCACGGCCCAGCGGCCCGGGTGAGCCCCGAGACCACACGCAGAGGGGCCACAGAGGCCGTGAGCCTGAGAGTGGCTTCTGGCGTATCCCATCTGGCAAAAAAGAGAAACCAAGGCCAGGCACCACCGGTGCCGTGGAAGACGATGCCACCACGCTGGGAGGTGGCCGGAGCGTGGGGAGGCAGCAGAGGGGTCCACACCGGTCCCTGCCACTGCCTGGAGGAGGAGACACCCGTCCACAGAGCACGCTCACGCCGGCCCCCAACAACCAAGCTCACCAGCAGATGGAAAAGCCAAACAGGGCCTCGGATCACAGACCCTGACACCCGAGAGGAGGGGCGGGGAAGGAGCGGAGGAAGAGAGGAAGAAGAGCAGAGGAGGAGAGGAGGAGAGGAGGAAGAGCGGAGGAGGAGGGGAGGAGGAGAGGAGGAGGAGCGGAGGAGGAGAGGAGGAGGAGGGGAGGAGGAGAGGAGGAGGAGAGGAGGAGGAGCGGAGGAGGAGAGGAGGAGGAAGAGAGGAGGAGAGGAGGAGGAGAGGAGGAGGAGGAGGAGTGGAGGAGAGAAGGAGGAGCAGAGGAGGAGAGGAGGCGGAGCGGAGGAGGAGAGGAGGAGGAGCGGAGGAGGAGGAGGAGTGGAGGAGAGAAGGAGGAGCAGAGGAGGAGAGGAGGCGGAGCGGAGGAGGAGAGGAGGAGGAGAGGAGGAGGAGAGGAAGAGAGGAGGAGAGGAGGAGAGGAGGAGAGGAGGAGAGGAGGAGGAAGAGAGGAGGAGAGGAGGAGGAGCAGAGGAGGAGAGGAAGAGAGGAGGAGAGGAGAGGAGAGGAGGAGAGGAAGAGAGGAGGAGAGGAGAGAAGGAGAGGAGGAGAGGAAGAGAGGAGGAGAGGAGGAGGAGGAGAGGAGGAGGAGAGAGGAGGAGGAAGAGAGGAGGAGAGGAGGAGGAGCAGAGGAGGAGAGGAGGAGAGAAGGAGGAGTGGAGGAGGAGCAGAGGAGAGGAGGAGGAAGAGAGGAGGAGCGGAGGAGGAGAGGAGGAGAGGAGGAGCGGAGGAGGAGAGGAGGAGAGGAGGAGAGGAGGAGAGGAGGAGGAGAGGAGGAGGAGGAGGAGGAGGAGAGGAGGAGCGGTGCAGGCCGGGCCGGTGCTGGGGAGGTGGGCGGGGGTCAGAGTCCAGGCCGCAGAGCCAGGGCAACGAGGCCCTGCCTCAAAACCAAGTTCAGAGACGCGAGCCAGGCTGGGCTCGGGGTACGGAGCTGTGGGGCGGGCGCGAGGCCCTGGTGCTGAAAAACCAAGAGACAACGTGCCAACTCCGCACCAAGGCCTCGTCCACAGGACCAGCCGCAGGACCAGCCAGGGGCCCAGCCGGGGACCAGCCGCAGGACCAGCCAGGGGCCCAGCCGCAGGACCAGCCGCAGGACCAGCCAGGGGCCCAGCCGCAGGACCAGCCGCAGGACCAGCCAGGGGACCAGCCGGGGACCAGCCGCAGGACCAGCCGCAGGACCAGCCAGGGGACCAGCCGCAGGACCAGCCAGGGGACCAGCCGGGGACCAGCCGCAGGACCAGCCAGGGGACCAGCCGGGGACCAGCCGCAGGACCAGCCAGGGGACCAGCCGGGGACCAGCCGCAGGACCAGCCAGGGGCCCAGCCGCAGGACCAGCCAGGGGCCCAGCCGGGGACCAGCCGCAGGACCAGCCAGGGGACCAGCCGGGGACCAGCCGCAGGACCAGCCGCGGGACCAGCCAGGGGACCAGCCGGGGACCAGCCGCAGGACCAGCCAGGGGCCCAGCCGCAGGACCAGCCAGGGGCCCAGCCGGGGACCAGCCGCAGGACCAGCCAGGGGACCAGCCGGGGACCAGCCGCAGGACCAGCCAGGGGACCAGCCGGGGACCAGTAGGGGGGCAGCTGGGGGACCAGCCACGGGACCGGCCGGGGGACCAGCCGCGGGACCAGCCGCGGGACCAGCCATGGGCCTGCTCTGAGCCCAGGGCCCCGCGCAGATGGTTGCCGGGCTCCTGTCAGGCCGGGCGGGGTGCAGCCAGGCGGAGGTCCAGGCCGTGGCTTATACTGAAGGCATGCCACCCCCACCCCACCCCAACAATGGGTGTGGGGACGCTCTGTCTGCCTGTCCACCCCGGCTGCCCGCACACCCGTCCTCCGCTCTGGGAACCCTGACAGCTGTCTGGGGGCTCTGGTGCCCGCCGCCGCCCGGAGCCCTCTGTACCCCTGCGTGACAGAAACAAGTGCCACGGCCCACACCGCCCGCCACAGCCACCATGCTCAGTGCCACCCTGTGACCCAGCGGGACACATGCTCCAACTCCCGTCTTATAATGAAGCACAGAGAGGCCGAGAGCCTGCTCGGCATCACACAGCCACAAAGCGCAGCCCGAGGAGCAGAACCTGGATCGCTGGCCAAGAGCATGGGCAGGAAGAGGGGACAAGGCTCCGGATCTGCAGCCCGGTGCCGGCCCTGCGGTACCGCCGCCAGGGCTACCCCGCTATCTGCAGTTCTCTTATTTTATCAGGACACTGTGTTTCCTGCTCTCCCTCAAAGCTGCTGCCCAGGCCTGCGGGCAGCACGCAACTTCCTCCTCCCTGCCCCCACCAGCCCCCCCAGTCCCCACCGCGCCCGGCTCCGCTCACCAGCTCCACCTGGGGCCCCAGGCCTTCCAAGATCCGATGGGCAGCCTCGGCCTTCTTCTGCAGCGTGGCCAGCGGAGGAGAGGGAGGAGAAGTGAGAGGTTAGAAGTGGCGGCGGGCAGGACACGGCCCCGGGCCGCTCCGCGCCTCCCCCTGCCCGGGCCCCAGGGCCCCCGCAGCCCCCACCCAGCCACAGGGCACTGCGCCGTGCCCGCTGTCTCTGCCAGGCCGGGAGGCTGCAGCGGCGAGGGCTCCAGCCGCCATGCCCCCCTTTTTTATTTTCCCAAAGTATATTGTTTATTTTGTAGGAGAGATTGAATTCCTACCAGACTTAAAATGACTCGGAATCACTACCATATGGCTGTAGCTATTAGGGCATTTCACTGATAAGACTTTGGTTGTTTACTTCTGACAATAAGCAATTACATTTGTAAATAAGATCAAATCATATTGGAAACACCACACACAGAAACCTGCGAGTCGCACTGGCCGTAAGCCCCTCACCTGAGAGGCAACGCGGCCCCGAGACTGCAGGGAACCCGAGCCACCGACCCGCCAGCACTCACACCACCCAGCACTCACGAAAACCGCACAGCAAAGCCCTGCTTCTGCCCTGGACTCCAGCTGAACCAGCCTCTCCTACGGACTTCTGACGAGGAACCCGCCATGCCCTTCCTAGGATCGCTGTGTCTCACCATCAGTGACCATTTGCAGAGTGCCAGACTCCCCGCCCCCACCGCCACAACCCGGGGCTGGTGAGGGAAGTGGGCACACGCTAATTCAACAGTCTAGGCATCTGCCTGGCTCCTGCCAGGCCTGGGACACCAAAGAGGCACCGAGCAGCTGGGGAGGGGCGGGCCTTCCCTGAGGCGTAGGGGGAGGACCGGGGATCAGGACCCTGTAGCTGGGCTGCCCAGTCTGAAGCCTGAGTCTCGGCAGCAGGGTCAGCACACACCCTCTCCCATGTGGGACCATGTGGTGTTTGGCGTGGGCTTGGTGGTCAGGCCGCACAAGTCTGCTGCTCCCCAGTGACCCCCAGCTCACAGCCAACCGTGTGAGACTCAGAGCCCGGGGTTGTACCCCGCCTCACCGGGCCCCCACACCGTGTGCCGGGTCTGAACTTGGACCCACAGCCTCAGCGGTCAGGGCCCACGGGGCAGGGACGCCAGCCGTGCCGGGCCACCCACGATCCCGGGACCTTCGTGAGCCAAACTGGGTGCGTACACAATGTGGAAGCCGACGTGGTTTACAGATGGGGAAACTGAGGCCCAAAGGCGGTGCTGCTAGGGGGCCTCCCACACTGCTCTGGGCGAAGCCCCGGGTCCCCCTCACGGCTGCTGGCTCTGGTTCTCCCACCACCCCAGCTGGCACCACAGAGCGATCTGTGGCTCACATGTGCACCCGTGTGCCCCGTGCATGGGGAGGGGAGCCTCACAAACGACCCGGGACCCGCGCACACACGTAAATGTGCACACGCACGTAACACAATCACCAACAGCCCCTCACAATCATGCCAAAACACAGCCACATACACCGTACAAGAGCTATGTGCACACAGCCAACCCGTGAGCATGCACACGTACGCGCACACGCACACACACGCACACACACACACACAAGCGGACCAACACACACAGCTCTCCTCTGCTCCTCTGGGAGAGGCCACAGCGTCTCTATGGATGGCCCTGCAGCCCAGCTCCTGTGCCTCACCAGAGGGCCCCGGGTCGCTGCCACAGGGGAGGGGTCCCAGCCTGGGAGTCACAGCAAGGACCCACAGGCACACCGCACCGCCTGTGCCAGGGCTGCGGGAGGCGGGGGAGGGGGGACATGGGGGGGAGGGGAGGGATGAACCACTGCTTGGAAAGCCCCAACCGGGACTCGGCCCTACACGGCCGTCACCATCCGGCAAGACAGCACACGCCAGGCCCACGCCTGCTCCTGCGACCCCTCCTCCCCAGCCTGCTGCTCTGGCCGCCCCGTCCTGCCCACCTGCTCCCCCCCACACCGCCATCTGCGCACACCTGCCGCTGCCCGCACCACAGGCAGTGCCCGCAGCGCAGAGCTGAGACCTGCTGCAAATGGGAAATGAGCCCACGCCCACAGCCAGCAGCGGGCACTGCCAGCTCGGCAGGTGGCTCTGCCCCGCGGGAGGCTGCCCGTCCCGGCCGGCCAGCTCGGCTTTCTCAGCTTTCACAGACCGACCCTGCCTCCACCTCCCGGAGAAGGAAGGAGGATTAGAATTTAATCCCCCAACCCAAACTGCCTGCGGCCCTGGCTCCAGCTCAGCCCCTCGGACCCCAGCCCCACCCCTCCGAAGGCGCTGCAGGGGGACCTGGCCACTCAGCAGCACCTGCTCAACAAACACTCCCTGAGCACCTACGCCCCGCCCCCAAGGAGCTGCCACCCAGAAAGCCAGATGGGGAGGAGCGGAGATGCCAGGCAGGGCAGGTGTGGGAGGGCTCCCGTGGCCCTCAGGGACAGCCTCAGACCCAGGGCGGGCTGGGCTCGGGCAGAGGCCAGACCCTCACAGCCGCCGCTGGGGGCATCTGCACCTGTTCTCCCACCCAAAATTGGTGGAGGGGGAGAGATGCTACCCCTCCTGCCCAGACCCTTGGCTCACTTGCTGTGCAATCTCAGGCAGGTTCCTCCCTGCCTTCTCTGAGCTTGGGATAGAAGATATCCCAGTGGAATGAGAGGAACATGGACGGGAGCCCAGGGCAGGGTGAAGACCGCGCACCAGTGGGTGAGCTGGTAGGCAGACGCGGCACACGCCGCCCCTGGCATCAAGGAGCACAGGCACAGGAGGTCAACAGTACGGTGGGTCAGAGCCAGGTAGTGGTGGGGACAGGATCTGAACCCAGAACAGCCCGGCAGAGGCTGGGGGGGGGGGGGGGGACCTGGCCTCTCCTGAGGCAGTGTGACCTGGGCACCCGTGCCCAGGCCTCCTGCATTCCACTGCTGCTTCTGGAGGAACAGGCATAGCCGCTCCCAGCTACAGTATCTGGCAGGACCCGTCCTCGGCTCCCAGGGCAGCACCCGTGCCCACCCAGCCAGGGAAGGCATCCTGAGGGCACAGCGGGGGCACAGGTGAACCCCATCTGCCACCGGGACACCGCCCCGCTCTGGCCTCAGTTTCCCCTACCTAGGACGTGGAGGGTGAGCAAGGCTCCGCCCCCTGGCCTGGGTGCACCTGGCCGCTGCCTCGCAGCCTCGGTCCAGCCCTTGGGGCGCCCCTCACGGGGACCCCACCCCGCGTCCTGCCGCAGGACCCGCTCCTTTCACCAAAGGCCAGCAAAGGCTGCAGGGCCGAAGAGTCGGGACCACCGACCCCAGCCGTGGGACTGACCGCACAGAAGCTGAAGCCCAGCCAAGGTAAGAGCCACGCGGCCACACCTGCCCCACTAGGACAGCGGGGACCCGCCACCGAACACGACCTGTGGCCTGTCAGCTCCACACGGGCCCAGGCTCACGCCCCCCTCCAGCCCCAGGGCCCACCCAGGCCGGGCTCCTGCGGGGTGCGTACCCGGTTCTCGTCGTAGATGATCTGCACCAGGCTGCGGTGCTTGGACTCGATGGGCGGCGGCGACACGGGCCTCTCGGGCTCGGGCGGCTTGGCGGCCTCCTCCTCCAGCTGTTGCTGCGGGAAGGGAAGGACACAGCGTGAGGCCACCACCGCCACCCCAGGAAGTCAGGCCGCTCGCCACTTCCTGTGAGTCACGCTGGGGACTCCGCACCCACCCTGGCCCCAGCCCCTCCGGCCACAGATCCAACCTTCTGGGGTTCAGATCCCACCTGAGGACAAGCAGCTGGGATTAGGTGCCCCAACCACCCAGCCCAGCTTTTCCACCCAGGGCTGTGCCACTCTGACGCTACTGGGCTTCTCTGCGCCTTGCTTCCCTCGTGTGGAAACAAAGGGGATGAAAACCCCTAGCCTGGTAAAGGCGGAGCGAGCAACGGTGTCAGCCCCTAGCCTGGTAAAGGCTAGGGAGCAACGGTGTCAGCCCCTAGCCTGGTAAAGGCTAGGGAGCAACGGTGTCAGACCCTAGCCTGGTAAAGGCTAGGGAGCAACGGTGTCAGCCCCTAGCCTGGTAAAGGCGGAGCGAGCAATAGTGTCAGAGCACTGAACGGAGCACGGGAGTCACCACCACCATCCTGGCCACCGCTGCCATCATCACCATCACCACCCCCGCCAACGGCCCTGCATCATCACCATCACCACCCCCGCCAACGGCCCTGCATCTTCACCCTGGACCCCCTTCTCCTACACCTCTGGACGGACCCCCCCCCCATGCTCCGGTCTGCTTTATACCAAAGAGGAAAGCCCAAACCAGAGAGCTCAAGACACTGGCTCTAAGCTACAAAGGAGGCTGTGCCAGGCCTGGCGCCTGCCAGGGCTTCATGAGTGAGATGCATGTGCGGCCTGCTCGCCGCGACCCAAAGGGCTCAGCAATGAAGCCCAAGAAAGGCATACAGGCCAGGGGGTGGGTGCTGGGGTGTTCTCCCTCTGACAGGACCTGCCCCAGGCCCCAGAGAAAATCCTGAGCGGAGACCACACGGAGACCCAGCTGCAGAGGGTCCAGGCCCTGTCCCGTGGGCCGGGACCCAACAGCCCACGCTCCTCCTGTAACCACGCCATCAACCCTCGCGCGTCTTCCTGTAACTACAGGATCAGCGGCGACCGCTGCCTTTTTATCTTGGGCTCCTGCCTCTCCTCACGGTCCTGTGAGGTGGAGGAGGACCTCATTTGTGTGCGCGTGTGCATGTGTGTCTGTGTGTGCATGCACACATGCACGGGTGCCCGTGTGCCAGTCTTGGGGTTTGAACTCAAGGCCTGGGTACTTTTGCTGTTTTATTTTCTCTGATTTTTTATAGTTATTATAAAGCTGATGTCCAGTCCCTGAGCTTTTTTGATCAAGACTGGTACTCTACCACTTTAGCCACAACTACACTTCTGACTTTTTGGGAGTCAATTTTTCCTTCCGCTTGGAACCCCAATCCACGGGTCTCAGCCTCCTGTGTGGCTATGATTACAGTAGGCGTGAGTACCAGCACTGGCTTTGTGCACATTTCTTTTCTTCTTGTGGTCGGTCATGGGGCCTTAACTGGCCTGGGGGCTATCCCTCAGCTCTTCAGCTCAAGGCTAGTGCTCTACCACCTGAGCCACTTCCAGCTTTTTCTGCTTATGTGGTGCTGAGGAATCGAACCCAGGGCCTCATGCAGGCAAGGCAAGCCACCTTCCCAGTCCCATGCTCCTTTCTCAGACCAGGAAGCCAGGGCTCTGACCCGATGACCGCCTATCCTGTCCTCCAGAACCTGGCCTCATCCTGACCCAGACCCCACCTCCAGCCAGCACACACTCGCCGCCCCCGCCCCAGCACATCACACGCATACACACGTGTGCACACGGCCCGCCTGCACTGCACCTGCTTCTTCCTCAGCTTAGAGATCTGCTGCTCCACCATGGTGATCTCCCGGTCCACACGGTCCATGCTCTGAATCAGTTCCTCCTTGGACAGCCTGGGGGGCGCTGGCTCCAGGTCAGGGTCAGTGTGCGGGGGGCTAGGCGGGGACACGGGCTCCAACTTGCCGGCCAGGCCGCGGTCCTGGGGTGGGGAGAAGGCCACGGTGAGCCCTGGTGTCCAGCACCAAAGAACTGGGGGCCAGAGTCTGAGAACAGCTCTGGGACCCCAGCCCAGCCCCGTAGAACACTCACACACTGGCTCTGCAGGAAATGCACGTGGCTCGACCTCCAGGACCCCAGGGACCCACGGGGTCCCTCAAGGGCTGTTAGAAATCTCCAGGACCTAGGGACTCTTGGGAGCCCCTGGGAACAGATGCAGCACCTGGGGGAGGCCCCTTAGCTCTTTCCTTACTGGCGATTTTCCAGGAGAAAGCCTCACAAGCACAGGCCCCTCACTGGGCTTGGCAGCCTCCTCAGTTTACCCAACAGGGCGGGGTAGGCACCAGGGCCGTGGGGGATGCTCATGGAAAAGCAGCCCAGTCCTCACCCGCGCAGCCCTGGGTTCTAATCCCAGCCCGCTCAGTACTCCGCCCCCGGCCCGGGGCTTCCTGCCCATGCAGCAGGAGCGCCGGGGATGCCCCGGGGTCTTGGCCGGCATGGTGAGTGCGGGGAGCCGGCAGGCGCCCAGCAGCCTGGAGCGGACAGTCCTCCCCGGATGTGTGCTGGAAAAGCTGGCGCCCCGCTGCGCCCAGGCCCAGGCCTGCGGTGCCTGAGGGCGCGGGCCCCGCCTGCCGCCCCACACGGCCACCCCCAGGACACAGCCACAGCCCGGCTGTGGCGCCCCCGCCACCTCACCATCCCCCCCTCTGCCCGCAAGGCCGCCCCCGGGGGCACCTTGTCCTCCCCAGACCGCTGCGGGGACTGGCCGCCCCACGGCTCCTCAAACACCGAGTCCCTACCCCACACCCCCAGGGGGCGGCGAGGGGACCACAAGCATGAACGTGCCTGGCCACGGCTCTCCCTTGGCTCCCACGGCCTTCCCTGGTGAGGGCCAATATAGTTGTTCTTGCCACACGGCCACAGGCCGTCCACTGACAGGACCCGGTCCTGACAGCTAAAGCCACCGGGCCATAGACTGCTCAGCTCTGTGCACAGCGCCTGCCACCAAACCACCACCAAATGGCCATCACCAAATCACATCTCCTGGCCACCCTGCGAGCACACATTCAAGGTAGTCTGCATAGCGTGCAAAATCAAAGACCAGGAGTCCGGCGTCGATGGCTCACGCCTGTCATCCTAGCTACACAGGGGGATGAGATCTGAAGATCCAGGTTCAAACCCAGCCAGGGCAGGAAAGTCCAGGAGACTCTGATCTCCAATGAACCACTAGAAAACGGGAAGTGGGGCTGCAGCTCAAGTGGTAGAGCGCTTGCCTTGAGCCGAAGAGCTCAAGCGCCCAGGCCCAGAGTTGAAACCCCATGACCAACCAAAAAAAAAAAAAAAAAATCAAAGACTGGGGGGCTAGGGACACCTCTGGGGTTCTCCCAGCTCTGGGCCTCGATGGCAGGCCGGGACAGACAGAGCATGGAGGCTGAGACTGCCACCCTGGACCCTGGAGAGACGGCTCAACCATCAGCAAACCCTGGCCTTGGGTCTGTGCTGGGAGCCGGCTCCACGCCTGTGCCAGGCTGCCCGTCTGCTCTGCCAGCGGGACACCCAGAGCGCTTCCCCTGGCAGTTCCCAGGTCCTGAAGAAAGTTCGCTGGACCCCCAGGGAGCCGTCTCCTGCCCAGCCTGAAGCCCCAGGCAGGACAGCCACGAAAAGGAACGTTTTCATAGGGAAAATGGGCGCGGCGGGAGTGGAGCCTTCGCCTGACTCTTGGCTCCGCTTCTGGCCGAAATCCACACACAGCAGACCCAAAATCCACCTGCGCCCGCACGCCCAGGCCCAGCCCGTGCCATGTAGCTCCCCAACCTCTGACAGCATGGAGCAATTACCACCTGCAGCCCACCGGCCCCACCGCCCACCGGCTCCACCCCTGCCCAGCCCAGGGAGAGGACAGTCAGACCCAGACATAGGAAGAAAGGAAAGATGAGTTGATAAGAGACAGAGGCAGGGAGACAGCAACACAGAGCCGCAAAGTGTCGAGAGGGACGAGACGGCGGTGGAGACAAGCTGAATGGAGCCGCCGCGGTGAGGCACCTCACGCGGGCAGAGCGTGGGGAGGAGAGGCGCGTCTGCGCCCTGGCTTCCCCAGCAGAGCCAGGCTGGGCCGGCTGCAAGGGGTCTGAGGAAGACTCATCCTGGGACGCGTGGGATTTGCTGACGGCGGGGGGAGGGGGACCCCCGAGTCCCTGTTCGACCCAGGCCTGGCCAACTATGGACGTGGAGCGCAGGAGCCAACCCTGAACCAGCCAGCCCCCTGTCGGCCCCCGTCTGCCCCCCTTGCCTCTTTAGCCAACCGCAAGGGCTCCGCGCCTGGGCCCTGCGCTGCCCTCGGGTCAGCCAAGGCCAGCCTTACCTTGGCGAGGTCCTCCGAGCCGCCAGGCTGGCCAGTGGCCAGCAGGGGCGCGGGCCGCAGCAGGGGGTCGGGCAGCAGCTCCAGGCGCGGCCGCTTGCTCTCCATGAACTCCGCCTCTGCCTTGCCCAGCTCGGGCAGGTAGGGGTGCGACTGCTGCAGGTGCAGCTCCTGGGCCCTGCGGGAGGCACAGATGCCCGTGAAGCAGGTGCCGGGCGCCCGCAGGGAGGGCGCGGGCGGAGCGCCCTCCCAGGCCCTGCGCCCCACCGTTCAGCACGGCGCAGGGACCCGCTGCCCACCCGATCCCGCGGGCAGCCCACTCACCCGTACCCCACACCTCACCAAGATCCACCAAGATCTCCCAGAGATGCACAAACTACTGCTCCCTCGCCCCCACCCAGGGCAGACAGCGCCGGCTGAGCACAGAACACAGGCCAAGGCACCCAGCCTGGCGACTCCGTGATGGGGGTGTCCAGTCTGACCTCTGCTGGCCTCTTGAACTTACCCCTCCATTCTCCCACAGAGGGCATGGTCTGACCCAAGCACACACAGCAAGACTTAGGCCCCGGCCTCCATCCATCAAGCTGGGTCTGGGCTGCTCTAGATGCTTCTCAACACACCCAGAACAGAAGCCAAGCCCCGCTCCACTGGCCTCACCGCCAGCCCGGGGTGATCGGACCCTGCCAGTCACAGGGCCTCTGTGTGTGCCGGGGTCTGCCTGGGCCTCTGGCACCCAGCCCCTTCCCATCCGCCCCGCGCCCCTGTGGTCGCAGGACCACTCGGCTCTTCCTGGCCTGTGTCCTCCACTCCTGTGGCTCTGCCCCCGCCCAAGGCCCGCACCCCGCCCGCGCCTCTCCTCACCGCTCATTCCCCGGCTGGAACTCGGACAGCAGTGAGGGCCGCCTCCTCTGCGACGGGATGACGGAGCCGGGCGACAGGTGCGAGGTGTAGTCCCGGGGGTGGTGCTGGTACTCCAGCAGCCCCACGTCCTGCGGGGCAGAGGAGGGATGGGCAAAGGCAAGTGCAACCGCAGCCTGCTTGCCGCCCCGAGACCAGCAGGCACCTCCTGCCCGCGTCTCCCCAGCCCAGCCCATGGGCACTGCCGGACGCCCCGGTGCGGGAAAGGGCCGCCAGGCTCCACCCAGGTGCTCTGAGTGCCGCCCAGGCAGCCTCGCGTGCCCACCTTCCAGCTGCACGTGTGGGTGGGGCCTGCCGGGGGCCAGGCTGGCAAGAGCCAGGACCGCCTGCCTGAAGTCCCCTGCCCCCCCCCAGCGCCCACACCGGCCAGCCGCCGGTGCGCAGGGACCCAGCAGGCACTGCCGCCACCCCTGCCCACAGCTGCGCAGGCGCCAGACATACACGGCAGGTGAGCGTGGACGGCGAACTTCATAAAGAGCAACGTGAGCAGAAGACACGGCGCACCGGCAGGCCTCAGTCCGCCAGAAAGGGCCAAGGAGCCACGCGGCCCGTGCGTGCCCAGCTGCTTGCACAGGGAGGGGGAAGACGGCACGACCAGGGGTTGTCAGCTCAGGAGCCACCGGCTAGCGAGGGACACACCCTGCACACCAGGGTGCAGAGGCCAGCACTCCGCCGCCAGCGGCAGCCTCGCATGCCCAGCTCACAAACACCACGGTGTGATGGGTCCTGACACACCCAGTCCGACTCCCTACAGCCCTACTGGGCCTCCGCCTCCCTCAGAGCCCTGGACTGGGCCTCCGCCTCCCTCGGAGCCCTGGACCGGGCCTCCACCTCCCTCGGAGCCCTGGACTGGGCCTCCACCTCCCTCGGAGCCCTGGACCGGGCCTCTGCCTCCCTCGGAGCTCTGGACCGGGCCTCTGCCTCCACTGGAGCCCAGGCCTCCACCTCCGTCGGAGCCCTGGGTGGAATGGGCCTGGCCTCTGCCTCCACTGGAGCCCAGGCCTCTGCCTCCCTCTGAGTCCTGGGTGGACCGGACCTCCGCCTCCACTGGAGCCCAGGCCTCCGCCTCCCTCGGAGTCCTGGGTGGACCGGACCTCCGCCTCCACTGGAGCCCAGGCCTCCTCCTCCCTTGGAGCCCTGGACTGGGCCTCTGCCTCCACTGGAGCCCAGGCCTCCACCTCCCTCGGAGCTCTGGGTGGACCAGGCCTGGCCTCTGCTGCTCGCCAGGGCCTGCAGAGCCTCCTCCCAGAAGCCCTGCCTCAAGTCTGTGTTTTTCGGGGTCTTTTGCACAGGGTTTCCCAAGGCAGCCGACGCTAGCCTGGAACTCCCGACCCTCCGGCCTCCCCATCCCAGGGGCTGAGATGACAGCACGCGCCATTGCTGTGTTAGCAGCACATCCCCCAGGGAAAGTAAACGCTTACCAATTAAATTAAGTGGACCCCAACTTCCAAGTGCACCCCAATTTGAGAACTACTCTGTTTTGGAGAGGAAGAGACGAAGCCTGTCTAAAACAAGGAAACAAGACAGGCTTCCCAGCTGACTGACGGGTCAGCTGACGGGCCAGCTGGCACACGGTTACGTCGTGTGGCGACTGACTCGCAATGGTGGCATGGGCAGGCTGGTGGGTGGCACCCCTCTTGGTTTTTGTTTTGTTTGGTGTTTGCCATGCTGTTATTTCCCCGGCTTTCTAGAAAGATCCAAACTTCCTTTTGTTGCCTGGCCTTGCATTTGAGAGCAGGTATTTCCACAGTCAGAAGACGCAGCAGGTGTGTGGGGACATGGCTGTTTCTGAGACTCCAAAGCAAGCGTGGGAGGCTGTGGGCAGCGGGGCAGGGCCGGGCCTCAGCCCTCCACCTTCCCAGAGGTGATGGAGATGCCAGCACAGCCACCCTGTGACCCCCAGGGCCCAGACAGGGGCAGCTCCCAGGAGGCAGAGGGGCAGGAAGCCGGCACGGGGCGGGCTGTGGAGGCCGCAGTGCCAGGCTGCCAGGCCTAGTGAGATCTCCATGTGCAGCCGGGGTGAGGGAGGTAATGGGCACTGCGCCAAGCCCTGCACAGAGCTCATTAGCGGCAGGGGAGAGGGAGAGGGGAACCTGAGGCCCAGAGGGAGCAAGGTACCCTCCCCTGCGCTCAGCAGGGACCACACAGCTCTGTAAAGTGCACGGTAAGCCAGCATTCTGCAGAGGGGAAGAGGGCGGGCCCTGGGGCTCCCAGCCTGAGGGAACGAGACTGCCTCAGGAGGCCCCCTGCAGCTCTTCCTCCACCCCAGAAGCAGCCCAGGAAGCCCACGGGCCGCACAGGACAGGGGAGGAGGCGGCAGTGAGTCCATTCCTGGACTCACAGGATTTCCAGGCCCCCCTGCAATGATGGGGCTACCCCAAGAGTCCCCCCAGGGCCTTTGCACAGGTAGTCCCTCCCACCTGGGGGACTGCCACCTGCCTGGCCCTTCATCCCTCAGTCACAGCTCCACTGTCAGCTCTTCGCTCTTGACCCCCAACTTCGCTCTGGTGACCCCCAGCCCCGCGCCTCCCTGCACCACACAGGTGCCCGCTTTATTTACAGCCACATTCCCGGGGCCCAAGAGACCCGCACCCAACATGCCAGCCGTGTCAGCTGAACAAAGGAAAGAGCGAGGAACCAGGAGTGAGGGAGCGAGGGAGCGGACAGCCACACACAGAGGATGGGTGGGTGACGGGTGAGTGGAGGAGCGAGTTAATCAGTGGGTCGCTGAGTGAACGATGCAGGAATGGCAGATGGGTCAGTAAGCAGACGAGTAACCGAGTAAATGGACAAACGTGAGAAGGGGCGGGTAGATGAGCAGGTGGGCAGAGGGATGGCGTCAGGCACTGGCACCCACGAGGGTCCCAGTACTGGGGTGAAGCGGGCCTGGGACGCGCACACACAGGGGCCTCCAGGCCTGTGCAGCAGGCTGCAGACGGGCTTGTGACAAAGGAGAAAATAACCAGATGGCCCCTCCAGAGCTGCCCGGGTCTAACCTAGGCCAAAAGCCAAAGCTCAGGCCCGAGGCCAGGACGCTGCTCCATCGGGCATCAGGGCACTTGGCCAGCGCCCTACACAGCGACACACACAGCAGGGCATCCTGTCCACAGAAACTGCCCACCACCCCTGTGCCAGCCAGGGGACAGGCCACCCTGGTCCTCGGGCGGGGGGACAGGCCCTGGGCCTCAGGCGGGGGACAGGGGACAGGCCATCCTGGGTCCTCGGGCGGGGGACAGGCCACCCTGGGTCCTCGGGCGAGGGACAGGGGACAGGCCACCCTGGGTCCTCAGGTGGGGGCCAGGGGACAGGCTACCCTGGGCCTCAGGCAGGGGACAGGGGACAGGCCAGACAGGCTGCCCTGGGTCCTCGGGCGGGGGGGGAGGGGGACAGGGGACAGGCCGCCCTGGGTCTTCGGGCAGGTGGGGGGGACGGGACAGGCCACCCTGGGCCTTGGGCAGGTGGGGGGGACAGGGGACAGGCCACCCTGGGCCTCGGAGGGGAGGGACAGGGGACAGGCCACCCTGGGCCTCGGGCCTGGAAAGGAGGAGAAAGGAGGAGCCTGGAATTCCAAACTGTGAAATGACCGATGTGGCCAGGGCGCCTGCCGCTCCACTTCCCACTCTCTCCGTCACCTGTGTGCTCTGTGGAGAACTAGGGGACACACACGGGCATGTACACACACAACCATACACACCCAACCATACGTCCACCATATCCACAGACACACACACACACCATACATGCCCAACTATACCCACTATGTACACAATACACGCCATACACACACATACACACCATACACTTGTCTATTCATACGTACACCACACACACCGTATACATACATACGCTACACACACAACTGTACATACATACGTGTACATACACATAGCACACGCAGCACACATACAACCATACACACATCATATACATACATACCATATGCTACACAAGCTACATGCACGCACGCATGCAACACAGCTAACCTCACAACCTAACTGTCCCTGCTCAATGCTGGGGTCACAGGGGCCAGGCCGCCCAGCCAGCCCTGCCCCCGCCGCGGGCTGCGCGGCGCTCAGGCCACAGACCGAGCTCTCGGCCCAGCGGTGTGGGGATGCTCAGGAAGAGCGAGCACGCTGGGCCCGCGCTGGGCCTCTGCAGGCCACGCCCGTGGGTGGCTCCCCATGGAACCCTCTGCCCTGGGACCCCGGGGAATGGCGTGAGCCCATCCTGAGGAGAGCGAGCTTGAGCAGTGGGATGGGCAGAGCCAAGCAGGAAGGCCAAGGCCGGGGCAGGCTGGAGTGACACCCGGGTCACGGGGGTGGGGTCAGGGGTCAGAGGTCAGGCACTTCCGGGAGGGCACACATGGGTGGCCACCCCCCTCCCACCCAAGACGGGAACTGTGGCTACCAGGCAGAGCCCTGCTCACCCACCTCATCCTCTCAGCCGCATCCTGCATTCCTGCTGCCCCAGGAGTGAGGCATCCGGGGTCAGAGGGCAGGAATGCGGGTGAAAGGGCAGGGGCCGTAGCAGCCTAGACTCCCTGACACTGGCCACGGGGCGGGCAGCAGCCTAGACTCCCTGACACTGGCCACGGGGCGGGCAGCAGCCTAGACTCCCTGACACTGGCCACGGGGCGGGCAGCAGCCTAGACTCCCTGACACTGGCCACGGGGCGGGCAGCAGCCTAGACTCCCTGACACTGGCCACGGGGCGGGCAGCAGCCTAGACTCCCTGACACTGGCCACGGGGCGGGCAGCAGCCTAGACTCCCTGACACTGGCCACGGGGCGGGCAGGTGAGGAGCAGCCTAGACTCCCTGACACTGGCCACGGGGCGGGCAGCAGCCTAGACTCCCTGACACTGGCCACGGGGCGGGCAGGTGAGGAGCAGCCTAGACTCCCTGACACTGGCCACGGGGCGGGCAGGTGAGGAGCAGCCTAGACTCCCTGACACTGGCCACGGGGCGGGCAGCAGCCTAGACTCCCTGACACTGGCCACGGGGCGGGCAGCAGCCTAGACTCCCTGACACTGGCCACGGGGCGGGCAGGTGAGGAGCAGCCTAGACTCCCTGACACTGGCCACGGGGCGGGCAGCAGCCTAGACTCCCTGACACTGGCCACGGGGCGGGCAGGTGAGGAGCAGCCTAGACTCCCTGACACTGGCCACGGGGCGGGCAGGTGAGGAGCAGCCTAGACTCCCTGACACTGGCCACGGGGCGGGCAGCAGCCTAGACTCCCTGACACTGGCCACGGGGCGGGCAGGTGAGGAGCAGCCTAGACTCCCTGACACTGGCCACGGGGCGGGCAGGTGAGGAGCAGCCTAGACTCCCTGACACTGGCCACGGGGCGGGCAGCAGCCTAGACTCCCTGACACTGGCCACGGGGCGGGCAGGTGAGGAGCAGCCTAGACTCCCTGACACTGGCCACGGGGCGGGCAGGTGAGGAGCAGCCTAGACTCCCTGACACTGGCCACGGGGCGGGCAGCAGCCTAGACTCCCTGACACTGGCCACGGGGCGGGCAGGTGAGGAGCAGCCTAGACTCCCTGACACTGGCCACGGGGCGGGCAGGTGAGGAGCAGCCTAGACTCCCTGACACTGGCCACGGGGCGGGCAGCAGCCTAGACTCCCTGACACTGGCCACGGGGCGGGCAGGTGAGGAGCAGCCTAGACTCCCTGACACTGGCCACGGGGCGGGCAGGTGAGGAGCAGCCTAGACTCCCTGACACTGGCCACGGGGCGGGCAGCAGCCTAGACTCCCTGACACTGGCCACGGGGCGGGCAGCAGCCTAGACTCCCTGACACTGGCCACGGGGCGGGCAGGTGAGGAGCAGCCTAGACTCCCTGACACTGGCCACGGGGCGGGCAGGTGAGGAGCAGCCTAGACTCCCTGACACTGGCCACGGGGCGGGCAGCAGCCTAGACTCCCTGACACTGGCCACGGGGCGGGCAGGTGAGGAGCAGCCTAGACTCCCTGACACTGGCCACGGGGCGGGCAGGTGAGGAGCAGCCTAGACTCCCTGACACTGGCCACGGGGCGGGCAGCAGCCTAGACTCCCTGACACTGGCCACGGGGCGGGCAGGTGAGGAGCAGCCTAGACTCCCTGACACTGGCCACGGGGCGGGCAGGTGAGGAGCAGCCTAGACTCCCTGACACTGGCCACGGGGCGGGCAGCAGCCTAGACTCCCTGACACTGGCCACGGGGCGGGCAGGTGAGGAGCAGCCTAGACTCCCTGACACTGGCCACGGGGCGGGCAGGTGAGGAGCAGCCTAGACTCCCTGACACTGGCCACGGGGCGGGCAGCAGCCTAGACTCCCTGACACTGGCCACGGGGCGGGCAGGTGAGGAGCAGCCTAGACTCCCTGACACTGGCCACGGGGCGGGCAGGTGAGGAGCAGCCTAGACTCCCTGACACTGGCCACGGGGCGGGCAGCAGCCTAGACTCCCTGACACTGGCCACGGGGCGGGCAGGTGAGGAGCAGCCTAGACTCCCTGACACTGGCCACGGGGCGGGCAGGTGAGGAGCAGCCTAGACTCCCTGACACTGGCCACGGGGCGGGCAGCAGCCTAGACTCCCTGACACTGGCCACGGGGCGGGCAGGTGAGGAGCAGCCTAGACTCCCTGACACTGGCCACGGGGCGGGCAGGTGAGGAGCAGCCTAGACTCCCTGACACTGGCCACGGGGCGGGCAGCAGCCTAGACTCCCTGACACTGGCCACGGGGCGGGCAGGTGAGGAGCAGCCTAGACTCCCTGACACTGGCCACGGGGCGGGCAGGTGAGGAGCAGCCTAGACTCCCTGACACTGGCCACGGGGCGGGCAGCAGCCTAGACTCCCTGACACTGGCCACGGGGCGGGCAGGTGAGGAGCAGCCTAGACTCCCTGACACTGGCCACGGGGCGGGCAGGTGAGGAGCAGCCTAGACTCCCTGACACTGGCCACGGGGTGGGCAGGTGAGGAGCAGGCATCCAAAGGGCAGGATGGGAGCAGGATGGGGAGTGGGAGGGGAGCCAAAGGCATCTGGCAGCAAGAGCGGCCAGGACAGGCAGCTCAGCCTCACAGGGAGGTCACCCTGCAGCGGCCAGGACAGGCAGGGCGCCTCCGGGCAGCACAGACTCACGGGGAGGTCACCCCGCAGCGGCCAGGACAGGCAGGGCGCCTCCGGGCAGCTCAGCCTCACGGGGAGGTCACCCCGCAGCGGCCAGGACAGGCAGGGCGCCTCCGGGCAACACAGACTCACGGGCCCGGCGCAGAGGCTGGCAGGCTCCCCAGGGCCCAGACGTTGCCGGCAGCAGCGGTGCGCTGTTGGGGCCCCATGCCAGCAGCCCCATCACTGCCTGAGCTGGCCTCAGAGCCTCAGGAGATGAGCAGAGAGGTCGTGAGCGCCAGCGACAGGGCTCTGACGCCAAGGCCCCCGGAAACCAACCCAACCCAGGAGAGCAGAGCGGAGGCTGGGCAGGCTGGGTGGACACAGCTGCGTGGATACAGGACGCACACTGCAAGCTGATCTGCACAGAGCCTCTCACCCGACCCCGCCTCCACCCTCCGGGAGGCCCCGCCTCCCCTCCTCCCGCCCCCCCATCTAAAGGCTGGCTCCACCAGCCCGACCCACTTGCCAGCACAGGGCCGAGAAGGGTCCTGGGGGAGGCTGGCCGCTGTCTAAGACTCAGGGCCACTGAGGCCACACAGCCTGGCTCCAAGGACGTGGCAGAAGAGCCCCCGAGAGGCCGTGGCCTGCCGCGAGTCTTACCGTGTGGGGCCGGGCGATCTGCACCGGGTAGATGCCGTGGGGCGGGTAGCGGGTCTCGGTGGCCCTCCACGTCTGAGCCACTGGCTGTGTGGACCCCGACATGGCGCACGGGGGGCTTTGGGGCCCGGTGAGTGGTAATCTCCACAAAGGACTAGAGGCCGGTCCTCCTCACCAGCCCCTGAGGGGAAATAAACAGAAACAGAGCCCGGTCAGCGGGGACCGCACCCCACCCAAGACCGGGCGGGGTCCCCTCACGGTGGCCCCCAGCAGACCTCCTCCATCCAGCCGCTCACCCGCCACCCTCAGCAAGGGGGGAACAGACAGCCCACGTGGCCGAGGCCCCCATCCACAGCTGCGCCCAGAGCCCGGGAGGCCCCATACCCACTGGGCCGCAAGCACCACGCCACCGCCTGAGGGGCTTTCCGGGCTCCAGGGCAGAGCTTCCCAAAAGCCTCTGGCCGCGGCCTCTGCGCTGCCAGGTCTGGGCTGGGGGGGAGGGGGGGACACAGGCAACAGTGTCCAGCGTCATATCGGGCAGGCGTAGGTCACACAGCGTGACCCAGCGTAGCCCTCCCGGAGGACACCCCCATGAGAAGGTGACGCTGACAGGGCAGGACAGACAGGGACAGGGGGTCAGGGGCACTCAGAGCCCCATGAGGGGAGAGTCTGAGGACAGGAGCCGGTGGGGCCGGGTTCTGAACAGGAGGGCCTCAAGTGGCAGCCCGGCGACCTCAGAGGACAAAGACCCCACAGGCCCCGAGGCTCCCCGCAGAGCCTCCAGTGCCGGCCACGTTGGGACCCTAGGGCCCTGACCTGCGTCACCACAGCTGCTGACCCAGGGCCAAGCCCAGCCCCGGCCCGGCTCCCGGAGAAAGAACATCGTCAGCCTGGAAGAAGACTCCAGACCTGGAAAGCCAAGCCAAGCCGGCTGCTGGGTTGCCCCCCCCACAACGCCTGCCTGGGGCCGGTGCCGTCCCCACCGAGGTGCCCGGCCTGCAGGCCTGTGGTGACAGCCCCAGGGCCCACAGGAGCCACAAGCCTGTCCGTGTCCTGCTCCCCATCCTCACCCTCTGCGGGCGTGCTCATGCCTCTCGGCCCAGGATCCTGGGTGGTCACATGATCTGGGCCCAGCCAATCACCTTCCTGAAGCCAGTGATTGGCTGTGAGGCGGGCACATGACCCAGTCTGAGCCAGGAAGGCTGTCTTGAGACTCTGGCTGAAGACTGGGACTGGCGAGGCCCGCTGGGGGTCTCCCCCAAGCTCTCGGCAGCCACGCGGCAGAAGCTCAGCAACAAGGATAGATAGCTGTGGCTGGAAGGCCCCCACCCGCCCCGTCTGCCACAGCTGGGCCGGCAGGCCCCGGTGGGAAGAAACCAGAGCCCAGCCTGATGCCCCTCCAGAAAGGACATGCCCTGAGCCCACCACCCCTGGGCCGCGTGGCCTGGTGCTGGCGGGCCACCTCCCTCCTTGGGACCTCTGCGAAGTGGAGTGGCCACTCTAGCGGGACTGCCTCAGACAGCCCCACCGGTGGGCAACACGGCCGCTGGCACGGCAGCGCGAGCCTGGGCCCTCGGCTTTCAGGGGTGTCCGGGAGGGCCTGCAGCCACTGGCCTGCAGCAGCACAAACAGGAAGGAGCTGTGCCATCCGAGGACCCCCGTTGGCCGCCAGAACAGCATCCCGGCCAGTGCGGCCGCTGCGGCCTCGTGTCCTATCACCAGTTCAGCAGACCCTCTCCCACAACTCGATCCTCAGGCTTCTGTGTGGAGCCTCAGAGTCTACGGCGCGGCCCTGATGTTGGCCCTGGGACGCCACTCCCAGCATCACGTGGAAGGAAGAACCCACCCAGCTCGTGCACACGTGCATGCTCAGAACAGGGCGTCCACACAGCTGTCTGCTGGTGGAGTACTACTCAGCCATAAAAAAGCATCATACTGAAAAGGGGCCACACGCACACAGTGCAAATGTCTAGAGCAGGCCGTGCCCGGTCAGAGGTGGCCAGGTGAGGCTTGGGTAGAGAGAAGAGGCTTGATACAAGTGAGCGGGGGTACAGCAAAGGAGGAGGGCACTGTGGGGAGAGGGTGCGGAGGAGGCCACGCAGACCTCCAAGAGGAGAGACGGCGGCTGTGGGCAGAGGCCACAGACCCGCACACAGACGTGAGGAAGCGGGCAGGAGGGGCGGCACAGAGGAGGAGGCGGCAAGCAGGGCGGAGGGCAGGGCGGCCGCCAGGACAGAGGCGGGGCGGCCCAAGTGTGGAGCCTGGTAAACAGCAGGCGCTCGACGAGGCTTGCTTGACCAAAGGACAGGCTGAGCCCAGCCGCGGGCCGCCAGAATCCCCTTGGGCTGGGACACCCAGGGCGTGCCACCCCCCAGAGCCCCGCTGAGACCCCGGAGGTGCTGAGCTCTTCACTGACCAGCACCCCCACACAGGGCCTGCACCCAGCCCCCTGCTGCCCCCGGTGGGGTCCCCAAACCCCACATCCAGACAGGCTCAGAGCCCCCGCAGCTGCATTCTGCCCGCCGTGCCCAGACCCACTGTGGCGGCATCCGGCAGTGCCCGCCGGGGCTGCTGGCACACAGGTCCCGTGGCACTGCGGCAAGAAGCTGCCCCCCGACCCCGCTTCCCGAGGAAGCCATGGGGCTGGCCCCCAGGCGCCATGGGCCACGTGTGAGCATCAACTGAAGTCCTGGGCCAAAGACCAGCTCGCCGGCAGGTAGCTGGGCCGCCCCACGGCCCGGCAAGGCCCAGCGCCAGGCCGCCGCCTCCCCTACACCGGCGGCTCCAGGTGAGCCTGGCTGCAGATGGCGACCGAATGCCTCTAGGGTCTCCACAGCAGCGGCTGGCCCAGCCCTCCGTCTTGCTGGGGGAGGGCTGCCGAGCCTCCCCACCCCTGCCAGGGGTCAGGACCCCCCCACACACACTTAGCTCTGAACCCTTGCCTGGACCCAGCTGTGCCTGAAGCTTCCATGGGGGGGGGGGCTGTCCTCAGACAGAGACCCTGGGAGCTCCAGGATCAGGTCCCCTGGGACACTCGGGGCCCCACTCTGGGACGCGCCATCCTCCTCACAACACCAAGTGGGATCCCCACGCGGGGCCCCAGGGGCAGGAGGCTGCCATGGGGGTGCTGGGATGCAGCTTTGCAGACACCCCGTGTAGCCCTGGCGGCACCCCGCTCCTCTAGACTGTGGCCCAGGACAAACCTCCGACCTCTAAGGCCCTCAGGCACACTGGGTCCCGGAGGAGGGAGGCCATGGGCAGAGCAGCAGGAGGAAGGCCGTGGGCAGAGCAGCAGGAGGAGGGAGGCCGTGGGCAGAGCAGGAGGAGGGAGGCCGTGGGCAGAGCAGGAGGAGGGAGGCCGTGGGCAGAGCAGGAGGAGGAGGGAGGCTGTGGGCAGAGCAGGAGGAGGGAGGCCGTGGGCAGAGCAGGAGGAGGAGGGAGGCCGTGGGCAGAGCAGCAGGAGGAGGGAGGCTGTGGGCAGAGCAGGAGGAGGAGGGAGGTCGTGGGCAGAGCAGGAGGAGGGAGGCCGTGGGCAGAGCAGGAGGAGGAGGGAGGTAGTGGGCAGAGCAGGAGGAGGAGGGAGGCCGTGGGCAGAGCAGCAGGAGGAGGAGGGAGGCCGTGGGCAGAGCAGCAGGAGGAGGGAGGCCGTGGGCAGAGCAGGAGGAGGAGGGAGGCCGTGGGCAGAGCAGGAGGAGGAGGGAGGCTGTGGGCAGAGCAGGAGGGGGAGGGAGGCCGTGGGCAGAGCAGGAGGAGGAGGGAGGCCGTGGGCAGAGCAGGAGGAGGGAGGCCGTGGGCAGAGCAGCAGGAGGAGGGAGGTCGTGGGCAGAGCAGGAGGAGGAGGGAGGCCGTGGGCAGAGCAGCAGGAGGAGGAGGGAGGCCGTGGGCAGAGCAGGAGGAGGAGGGAGGCCGTGGGCAAAGCAGGAGGAGGGAGGCCGTGGGCAAAGCAGGAGGAGGGAGGCCGTGGGCAAAGCAGGAGGAGGGAGGCCGTGGGCAGAGCAGGAGGAGGAGGGAGGCCGTGGGCAGAGCAGGAGGAGGGAGGCTGTGGGCAGAGCAGGAGGAGGAGGGAGGCCGTGGGCAGAGCAGCAGGAGGAGGGAGGCCGTGGGCAGAGCAGCAGGAGGGAGGCTGTGGGCAGAGCAGGAGGAGGAGGGAGGCCGTGGGCAGAGCAGGAGGAGGGAGGCCGTGGGCAGAGCAGGAGGAGGAGGGAGGCCGTGGGCAGAGCAGGAGGAGGAGGGAGGCTGTGGGCAGAGCAGGAGGAGGGAGGCTGTGGGCAGAGCAGGAGGAGGAGGGAGGTCGTGGGCAGAGCAGGAGGAGGGAGGTCGTGGGCAGAGCAGGAGGAGGGAGGCCGTGGGCAGAGCAGGAGGAGGAGGGAGGCCGTGGGCAGAGCAGGAGGAGGAGGGAGGCCGTGGGCAGAGCAGGAGGAGGGAGGCCGTGGGCAGAGCAGCAGGAGGAGGGAGGCCGTGGGCAGAGCAGCAGGAGGAGGGAGGCCGTGGGCAGAGCAGGAGGAGGAGGGAGGCCGTGGGCAGAGCAGCAGGAGGAGGGAGGCCGTGGGCAGAGCAGGAGGAGGAGGGAGGCGTGGGCAGAGCAGGAGGAGGGAGGCCGTGGGCAGAGCAGGAGGAGGAGGGAGGCCGTGGGCAGAGCAGGAGGAGGAGGGAGGCCGTGGGCAGAGCAGGAGGAGGAGGGAGGCCGTGGGCAGAGCAGCAGGAGGAGGGAGGCCGTGGGCAGAGCAGGAGGAGGAGGGAGGCCGTGGGCAGAGCAGGAGGAGGGAGGCCGTGGGCAGAGCAGGAGGAGGAGGGAGGCCGTGGGCAGAGCAGGAGGAGGAGGGAGGCCGTGGGCAGAGCAGGAGGAGGAGGGAGGCCGTGGGCAGAGCAGCAGGAGGAGGGAGGCCGTGGGCAGAGCAGGAGGAGGAGGGAGGCCGTGGGCAGAGCAGGAGGAGGGAGGCCGTGGGCAGAGCAGGAGGAGGAGGGAGGCCGTGGGCAGAGCAGGAGGAGGAGGGAGGCTGTGGGCAGAGCAGCAGGAGCAGGAGGGAGGCCGTGGGCAGAGCAGGAGGAGGGAGGCCGTGGGCAGAGCAGGAGGAGGAGGGAGGCCGTGGGCAGAGCAGGAGGAGGAGGGAGGCCGTGGGCAGAGCAGCAGGAGGAGGGAGGCCGTGGGCAGAGCAGGAGGAGGAGGGAGGCCGTGGGCAG